GAGGAGACCGCCGCAGGAGCTACAGAGGACGGAACCACCCGCCCCGAGGCCAGCCACCAGGTCCGGACGGATCCCCCGGACCCCGCAACGTTTCCTCGTGGGCGCGGCCCAAGCGAGGTGCTCCAGTCAACCCGGGACGGGGACTGGCACCTCGGGGGGCTATGTGATGCCGCCGCCACGAAGCCGTTCGGCAGGCGCCCAAATCCCCGACCTCGCCACCACCAAGCAACGGAGCCAACCCCGCGTCCCCCTCACCTCACCTCACACGAACACACCCGCACGCATTTCCCCCCCCCCCCCCCCCATAGAGCTCCGAGGGGAGGTCACCTGGCCGACCGGTTTTTATCCGAGAAACCCTTATCAGGGTTAACTCTCACGGTTTCCGGCGATCAGGGAATTGGATGACCTCCCCCGTGCTACGTGGCACCGTGGCGCTGCGACCAGCCTTAATATGGTGTGGTCGCGGCATGGGGCATTCGGCCACCGCGGTTGAGGCGCATTTACCCCCACACACACCCCCACGGGTCGACGGGGCAAGCAGAGGAGGGACGGGACAGCATGAATAGCGGGACCACAGGAGCTGTTGCGCATAGTCATGGAGGGTTGGGATAATTACGCTTGAGCGCGCAGGCCCCATTGTTAGGAAGGGTAAGGGATTAACTAGGATTTACGCCTTGCACGCCGCACACTGATTAGCATATCAACAGCGCCCGGAACCGCCGTGCGCGGGCTCGAGGTACACGAGCCCATTGTTCAGCGCAGCATCCCCTTTGAGGTAGGGAGGATAAATAGAGGGGCGCAGAGGGGAAATCGCTCTCTTCTCTCCAGGCCAGCGGACCAGCAGCAGCTCCAGCCAGCGACCCGGACGTCCGTGAGACGCATCGAGGTACGTTGTTAGCGCAGGGAGCAGCGAACCTCCGCGGGCGCCAAACAGGGAGTGGGGAGGTGAAGTAAGATAATAGCCGATAAATAGGGAATAGGTGCCGGTTTAGGGGAATAGGCCAGCCTCGTCGACTCACTGATTCAACATTAGTACCAGGTAATAAATCATTAATAGCGAAGCGTGGTCTCGCGTGATCTTGTCGTGCAGTGTGAGCGTGTGGGGACGCGTGTGGTACTGTGTGTGCGTAAGCTCGCGGCGTGCGTAATCGGCGTACCCCAGGTGCGCGATCATAACGTAAGCGGCCAGCAGGCGGTGAGCGCTGCGCGGAGCGGCGCAAGAGTGGGTATCGCGTGTGGAGCTGTATGCGTGTGCGCGCGCACGTTCACTACGTGTATAATACAGGTGCGCGATCCTAACGTGAGTGGTCGGTATTGAGTGAGTGCCGCGCAGAGCTGTGTGTGGGTGTGCGCGTACGTAATTAACCATGCCTATTACGCGGACCCGCTGGGGAGGGGAATCCTCGAGCGACGGCTCTCACCCCATGGGTGAAGAACCCAACAGCGGTTCGCCTAGTAGCGAGGGGGCGAGTAATGAGGTTAATAATGAGGTTAACCCGACCGTTAGCGGTACAGAGGGAGGGATCTCGGGGGCCAGCGACCCCGACAAAATGCCTAAAAGAAATAACTATTCAAATGGTCACAGCGGAAGATTTTCATCACGATAAATGTGCGTTGCCAAGCATTATGGGATACACACGAACTACCTCGCAAGTACTAATAGTGCAGGTCTGAGACTTGCAAGGACTCAATGAATTGTCACAATTTGGGGGTCACGATTAAATGATTCTTTTTTTAATAATCGTTTTCCATCTTGTTGGTATTGTCGATCTTTTATACAGTCGCATATCCGACCATTGCATATCCACCCTGGCAAATGCACCGCCCCACACCCAATGAGGTATTTGTGCACGGTGTGACTCATTTTCTAGTACATTGCTTCTACTACAATATTTACCCAAGAATGTCAGTGTGTAACGCGCGTGACGTCACTCTACGTCGACCAGACCCCTCATTAATAATGTCACTCCGCATGGAGAAGCGCCCCCCCCCCCCATTCATAATAATGAGTAAGTGACGTCACTCCACATTGAACAGCCCCCCTCATTAACAATCATGAACAGGTGACGTCCTCCAAATGGACATCCCATCATTAATAATCATGAGCGGGTGACGTCATTCCACGTGGTGGGAGAGGCGCCTCCTCCCCCCTCCTCGGCGTCAACTCACAACCCTCACGACAAAGGCACAACCCTCACGTCATCACGTGATCTCCGTAACGCTGTTGAGACATCGAAGTAAAAAGGACGTCATGATGAACAAGGGATTATAACCTTTAAATGAAATCGGACTGTGCCACCGCGCCCTTACAAATTGCACACGAATGGATGCAATGAATATCATGTCGCGGTCTGCTTTTCGTTTGCAAGTTTCAGATTTACTGCAATACACCCGTCCTCGGACGGGCAAAAGGCTAGTAGTCAAATGTTTCCCCATGTGTAAAGCAGTTTGCGCAATATTTTTTATCTCCAGCAAAACTATTTGTGCATGGTCGAATAATTGTCAATGTCCACGGATATTCACGTATCCACCTGTAGAAGTCCCCAGCGAGTCTGGAATGTGACGTTGTACTGTTTGTTCTGTCTCGTTCATTAGCCCACACGTAACATTTGCCAAAAAATTGCATCAGTTGTGAACTATCAATTCTTTAACGCATGAGTTAATGCATGTACAACGTGAGCAGAATAATTGATATTTTGGTTAAATTGGTAAATGGCAAGAAGCAGAGGTTCCCAACTTGCGGTCCGCAGATTACCGTGAATGACAGAGCAAGTCATTAGCTGTTTAGTGTAAAGAAAAACGTAAACTAAATATCACCCTTTAAATTGTTTCACGACCCTTCGTACGCCACAATACTATGTCTACTTCCAGGTGTCCGTCAAAGTATCGTCCATTATTGACGGCAGTTCGATATGCATGGTTTAAAACGTCGTTGAGGTAATAAGAGGGGGTTTCCACTTTTTTTGGCAACAAACTGAAACCTTTTTACAAGAATTCATGTCTGCATTAACCACAATACTTGCAGTCAAATACAAAAAAAAACACACGATGATAATATATGCATTGTCCTTGAAACTGATTGGTCCACACCAAGGGACGGCTTTCTTTTGAACCTCGACCCAATTGGTGCTCGACCAGAGGACGCCAGAAAAAAGGGGAAAAACCCTGTTATTACCTTCTTGGTTCTTTCGGTAAAGTCACGTAGAAGGGAAATAATAAAATAATAAAAATTTAACATTATATTTTATTAATAAATAAACATATTTTCTTTTTATTCTTTTATTATTTCCCTTCTACGTGATTTTACCAAAAGAACCAAGAAGATGAATCCCTGCAGTCACGAAAGCTTTAAATCGAAATTTAACCCTATTATTATATTTTGGTACTGGCAAAGGAGGTCCAATGATGTAGATGCTCACCCCGAGCCCTCACTACTTTGATAGTGCATTGTTTTTGAGCTGTACGCCTTTTGGCGTCCTCTGGTTGAGCACCAATTGGGTCGAGGCTCAAAAGAAAGCCGCCCCTTGGTGTGGACAAATCAGTTTCAAGGGCAATGCATATATTAGCATAGTGTGTTCTTTGCTTGCATTTGACTGCAAGTATTTTGGTGAATGCAGACATGAATCCCTGTAAAAAGGTTTCAGTTTTGTTGCCAGAAAAAAGGGGGAAAATCCTATTGTTATATTTTGGTACTGGCAAAGGAGGTCCAATGACGTCGTTGAGGCTTCACTGAGTAAAAAAGTGTAATAAAAACAAGTGTAATAACAAGTGTAATAACACTAAATCTCACGCGTTAAATCTGAAGACGACGCGGACCGCCAGTGCCAAGTACAACCGTGCAAAGTTTTCGCTACAACAGTTGTTGTGAACTATAATTCCTTAACAGCGGATGAGACTTTTACAAACACCTCTTTTAGTCACATCCCGGTGTGTTGTAAGATATTCCGGGTTCATTCCACTGAAGCTGAGCAGCATGAATGTTTTTCACCTGGTCGAGGAGTATTGCAATTCTACGCGAAGTGTTTGCGTTTTGTACAACCATACTACAGCAAAAGCTCTGCTATCCGAAACTTTACCATCTCACACCTATCAATCCATTATCAGTGCCTAACTTATTACAGACCAATTCGGATCTTATTGGTCATCCCGTGCCCTTATAAATCTCAACGTTAATCCGACAGTCTCATCACAAGGGAGAAACACAAAGAAATAGACCAATTTTTTTTCTGTGCCCGTATTGAAATGGCTGTACAGCCGTATATAGGACCTAAAAACTCAAATTTCCCTGTACAAGAATACGGGTTAAACCGTATGGTTTGACAGGTGTGCCACCCAGGATACTCGATTAACCGGCATCTGTCATAGATGCGCTTCAGGACGCTGCCGAGTGGTGGCACCAGCGGCAGCATGTGCACTGGGGGAGCGGTAGTGTAGTGGTTAGCGCGCTGCGCTCACGGCGACCAACGCCAGTGGTGACGATTATCTGAACCGGTCATTGGGTCTTCCCCTAGGTCGACTCAGCCTCAAATGAGTACCTTGTGCAGGTGCGTAAAACAAAGGCGGCCGGGCGGTGTGCTGGCCACCCCACCCCCTTGTGTGCTGTGCCGGCCTTCATAGGTGTTCACTAACAGTACTTGCCCCTACAGTCTGTTAAGGCTATACGGGGGGTCTTTGTCTTGTTGTACGACTGTGTCCTGTACTCTAAACAGCCCCACTGGTTCTTTGCAACCAACTTAAAGGGCCATGGTTTCTATTCCCAGTCAGTGATCAACTCAGTTCATCATCCCTCCTAAGATCAATAACATTAATACCACACTGTGATCAGCTTCAACAATAATTGTTCTAAACTTGGCCATGCCGAGGGACGGTAGGAATTTCAACCCCGGGCTCAGGGCCACCAATGGAGAAGATTGCCATAAAATGCTCTTATAAGGGTTACACATAACATGGTTAACTCGTGGAGGGGATGTGTGGAGTTCGATCGGCAAGTTAAATAGCACACAAGAGTACACATTCAGCCCGAGCGCAACGCAGGCTGCTGTGGGTGTGCGATGCTGAGTGAAGGAGACAGATCTGTGAAAACGGGTTTTCAAGGTCGATGCTAATTTTATTCTGCTCCCCTTCAATAATCAAGCAGACCATCACAGCAATGCCATTATTATAAAGTGCTTCATCTCAATCGATAATAGGCCTGCAACAATTCACCCCTCTCAAGATTCGATACATTACAATTGTGGGGATGCAATTCGACGCAACAGTTGATTCTTTTTAATTTTAAGTGTGGTGCATGTAGCAGCTCTTGTGGCTGCAGGAGTTAGGTGAACAAATTATGCATGGCATATATCAATCGGAAAAAAAAATATCTTATCACGCAGCAATCAATGCATGTGTTGGGAGAGAATATTTTTTCATAATGAATCGATTAATGTCTTGCTGTTTGCCTAGTTTATGCGGCAGTGCAGTTTATGGTTAAATGTAGTTATATGTTGTGTTTGGTGGTGTATCTGGTGGCGGTGTATGGTTGAGGGTGGATTAAGTGTGGTTAAAGGAGAGTGGTGGAATTGCCACTTGTGGGGGAGTTGATGGTTTGTTTGTTAGCCGAGGTTGGTTATTGTGGTTTTGCTGCTGCCAGCGAGTGGTACAGCTCACAGCGCCTCTGAATCCGCACCGGAATCTGACGTCTCACCTCTTCCATTCTGTTTAAATCTAAACAAGACACATACAAACACACAACAACACACGCATGCCACCTTCAACTCAATTACACTCGCAAAGCAACTATTGCTGTGTCTCTGAGCTGCACTTAATAAGAGGGGAAAGTTGTATATATGAAGTGAGGGTAGGGTTGTTAAACACAATGTAAGTAGTCCGAGATGTGGTGTACGATGTGACAGTGATGCAAAGGCTGTTTTTTATTACCTGAATTGTGGTATGTGATGTGTTATGCATTTGTGGTGAAAATGAGATACTTACCAATATCAGCATACACAATTTCTTCCCCATGTCCAGCTTTAGCAATAACGTCACCCCTGAAAAATCCACACAATCACACAGGAAATACATAAAACCAAACTAGGACACAGCGTACCAAACCAACCACCCCAAACCATGCCAACTACAGCACTATACAAATCAGAATATGTATTTATACTGGAGGAATCCGATGAGCTATAAAGATATTTTCCACAGATGTCCAGTAGCGGCATGTCAGAATGTTACAACAACAAATAAAAAACGATAGGAGTGCTGAGCACAGGTAAGGCAATAAAACCACCCAAATCTATAGACAACTAAAACTAAACCACTTCTGCCCCAGCAAGCAAGACCCACCGAGCCATTAGCTTCTTTTCAGTAGCGACCTGCTCACAAATAATAGCTCAGGCTTATCATGTAGAAATTTATAGCAGCAAAATTATCTAAATAATCTAGACGCATTAGAGGAAAAAACAAATGACATAGCATGCATGGTGCGGAGTGGCAGGGTGTGGAGTAACGCGTGGTGTGGAGGGGTTACCAGGGTGAGGATACGGTGCTGTGTCCCCAGGCCACGTACGACGCTGTTTCATCTCTTGCCGGAGACACCGTGGCCACAAACATCTGATTATCAACTGCCCTGTACAACATATAACACACCATAACACACACAAACACCATCACTATACAATAAACCACATGTACACAACTCCAGAACTACATCATACAGCAGACACCATACAATCAAGACCCCATAAAATACACACTATGAGTAGTGATACAACACAGCTACACATGACATCACAGTGACCACTGGACATGGCAAAACACAAAATTACCACGCCATTCCGCACAACCATCACATCCTAGACTACAGTGCAAGCACACCATACACTGCACCATAACGTAAACCACACCATGGCAACACCAAGCAAACCTTATATAATATTTCATTCATTGCATACACGTCCTAGGGACACTTAAATATACACTAGACCAAACACCGTAACCACAAAACACAGCATTAATGCAACATCACTTCCACAGAGTGCTACCACACCCTACCATACTGCACTATATAGCAATGCCTCTGTTGCACACGTTAGCACCATACAATTCACACCACACACACACAACACTGCCACTGCAGGGGTGGGTTACTGGGAGCCCATATCTGGTGTTGCTTAGTGCAGTTGTCCATCCCAAGCACAAATCAATTCGGAACGCACCGAGCACGCTGCAAAAGCTCCCAGTGGACGGGCCCCGTAGTCATGTTGAACGCTCCAGGGCACACGAGCAGGTGACAGCCTAAACACACAGACACACAATTAACTTCTAGATTTGAAGCTTTCGTGACTGCAAGGATTCATATTCTTAGGTATTTTTCGGTAAAGTCACGTATCAAGCTGTCGTGGCTGTGACGGTTCCACCTGAAGACGGAAGCTTGTGTTGCCTCCGAAACGTCGTAATTTTTATTTTATTTTACTTTTATTAATTTTAATTTTTTGCCCAAGTGACTTTACCGAAAAAAACATAAGAACACAATTAACTCTTACACATCCTGACCCACACACAAGCAGGGGGCAGTCTTTACACATGCAAGTCAACACTTGTTTGCACTTACAAACTGCCAGCCTGTACGGTTACTTTACAATGTACATGCTGGTAACATATTCACATTAAAACATTGGTGATGATTAAACAGTGGGAGTCGTCCAGTCTAAATGCACATGGAACATTACTCACTGAACAGCACCTGCGATGAGAAACAAGCTAATCCATAAAACAATTATCTAAATATGTCCTTACACAATGACAGACGTCATTAAAGTCCAGGGAGCTAAGTGCATGAATAGTACAGCTGCTTCCATTGGGCACACAAATGGAATGGCTCCCAATGCACACGCGGCACCACTCACCCCGGTCAGCATAGAGACGCGTGAGCTCTGGGAACCGAAGGTCGTAGCAAATGGCAATCCCGACCTTGCAGAACGCTACGCATGCACACACGCCACAGCACAACGCAGCACATCACTGTTGATGACCCCGAGGCAGTGACGGAAATTCCACATTCCCAGAAGGCAGGCCAGCGTACCTCCGATATAAGTTAAACAAATATAACTAGCCTTTTGCCCATCCAAGGATGGGTGTATTGCAGTAAATCTGAAACTTTCAGGCGAAGAGCATACCGCGACATGATATTCATTGCATTAATGCACGTGCAATTTGTAAGGGCGCGGTAACACAGACCTATTTCATTTTAAGGTTATAATCCCTTGTTCATCACGACGTCCTTTTTACTTTAATGTCTCAACAGCGTTACGGAGATCGCGTGATGTGAGGGTTCTGCCTTTGTAGTGAGGGTTGTGAGTTGATGCCGAGGAGGGGAGAGGAGGCGCCTCAGCCGCCCATGTGGAGTGGCGTCGGCCGCTAATTATTATGAAAGGGGGGGGGGTGTCCATTTGGAGGACATCACCTTATCAGGATTATTAATGAGGGGGGCTGTTCAATGTGGAGTGACGTCACCTGCTCATGATTATTAATGAGGTGGGGGGTGTCCATTTGGAGGACGTCACCTTCTCATGAATATTAATGAGGGGGGCTGGGCGATGTGGAGTGACGTCACGAGCATGAAGGACATTCCTGGGTGATTATAGTCGGTATACATACATATTGGCCTGCTTTATGACAACACAACGGAGACCACGCCACAAGCAACGTAAAACAGCACACCACATACAATACCCAAACAATACACCGCAGAATGTCACATACAACACGGCAGAGAAACACCACGTAACATAACAACACCACACGCCAATACCGCAAGTCAAAGTGTTTCCCTGCTTAGCACGGTGGTAATACTGATTACGTCGTTGTTGCTCTGAGCTAATAGTATGTGGACAGCCGTTTGTTTGTCGGTCCACTGCTGTACGAGGGCTTCCTCCGCACCATGCAGGTAGGAGAGTTATATGACCATACGTCACCACACTGGTCAGCATGGGTTAGTAAAGGTGGGGTTAATCGACATGGAAATAAAGTTTAGTACAGTCAAAAAAATGATTTTGTTGCTACACTGCCATCTCCTGTATATATCTATTGCAGGGGCCAATGTCTTGATATAACAAGCACTACTGACTTTACCACATTGCTGTACAGGACACAATACGATACAGTGAATGAAAAAGACCACACACCTGGGCAATGTGGCAGCGTTATAACAACACTGCATACAATCCCATTACCACACCATGGTACAGCTCTCATTTCAATCCACTTCTGGATGAGGGCCTCTCCACACCATGCATATCGTCAAGTTATTTGAGCATACTTCACCACGCTGGTAAGTGCTGGTTGATGACAGTGGGGAGCATCGACTTGGGTGAATAGACATACTGTGTAACAATGGATGAGTTAACCTCGCAGTGGCATATAATGCCTGTTTTATACATGATGGTCACAACATACATCACCCATATTACACACAAAACCACATCACCTAAAGCAATGTCCTACTGCACGTACGGCACTCCATACCATAAACAAGACTGTAAAGGTACAGTGTTGTGCGGTGAGATGTTGGTGTATCAAGTGACGGTTTGTGTGTTGAACAGTGCGATGTTGCATGATTTTACGAGTGGTGAAGTCTGTCAGTTCCTCTCCAGGGCTCAGCGTTTCCGACTCCTTGAAAGTGATTTTTCCCGGAATGTCAATGTCAAAGAGATGCATCTGCAGAAGACAATCAGTTGAATTATGATCAGCATTCTGGGGGTTGTTCAACCATGCTTTACCACGCAAGTTCATATGGGTTGGTGAAAAGGGTGCACAGGACTGGTTCAACTGTCAGGGAGTGAATCCAAGTGGCCTGCCACTACAAATATGACAAAAATTATATGTATCAACACCTACAACAGAATTTCCATCATAATAAAAGCCAACATCAGCATCTAAAGGAATTTTTAAAACATCAATCGCCACCATCATTATGATGTGTAACTTTCTTAAATTATGATGATTACGTTTGTTTGCCCATGAAAAGATTCACTGTATCTCATTTTCAGGGGTGTTCTGTAAAGTGTTCAGTCGGGGGCAATGATTGCTATGTGTATGCGTGCCTTGCGGAATTTCCCACACAGCTTGCCATCCGGTCCAAACACGAGGCTGGTGTTAAATAGACGATCCCCTGACCGCTCTGGGATTGACCCTGGAAAAAAAAACAGAATGTGAAAACGTTGAGCAAAATGCATCTTCACTCGACAACAGAAATATGTGGGGATATCAACTCTACCATCTTCTGTAGCTTTTATGTTGTTAAAGAAGTTCAACATACATTTCAAAGCTGATATCTTTTTGCAGCCTTTCCCAGTGAATAATGAGCTGCATAATCTTTGTTAAATATTTCCAAGGATGAGAAATATGACATGTGTAGTCGTGCATTGTGTGTTGTATGCCTATAATCAGAACACTGGAGGCAAGGGTTGGGCAGTGAGGTGGCCAGGATGTGCTATTTTAGCAGGCGTCTTTGTGAACACACATCTAGTGACAACAAAAATGTGGACCAGGCTTACATCGATTGGTGGCCAACATATTACCATCGATCTCCTTGTACTGCCATGTGGAAGGACAAACAGTAGAGGCTGCCCGTACAAGTGGTGGAATTATGGCATCAAAGAAGAAGCCTTAACAGTCAGAAAACTTTTTTTACAGGAAGCGATTCTCACGATCAGGGATAGGAAAGAGTAGAAGAACTTCATCCAGCCACATCAACAGCTGCCATGTGTTGACTGACAGAAAATAATCGAGAGACACTGGTAAGACGCTCACCTCCGATGATGGTGATGCGGTGCTCGGCGGCCAGCGCCGCAATCATGTTGCTCGTTTCTCCGGGAACCGTCTCCGCATACTCGCCAAAATACTGCGTCCCGTACGGGCAGTTGAAACATTCCTGCATGCACCACGCGGGGGTCACAAGGGGTCATACCTACAATCACATCCTGCCTTGATGCAATATCATCTTAGATTGTTCCAACTTGCTACAGATGTTTTTCCAAAGTAGAGTATTCCTCCTTGACAAACGTCCACTCTAAGTGAAGACACCACATTGAGCGTGTACTTCTTTAACTATGACATTACACTGCGAAAGAGTATGTGAAACTAGATTTGAAACTTTCGTGACTGCAAGGATTCATATTCTTAGGTTTTTTCGGTAAAGTCATGTCGGTAAAACATCAAAATTAATGAAAATAAAATAAAAATCACGACGTTTCGGAGGCAACACAAGTCTCGGTCATCAGGTGGGACCGTCACAGCCGGATGCAGCTAATCCGGCTGTGACGGTCCCACCTGATGACGGAGACTTGTGTTGCCTCCGAAACGTCGTGATTTTTATTTTATTTTCATTAATTTTGATGTTTTACCTACGTGACTTTACCGAAAAAACCTAAGAATAGTATGTGAAACCTTAAAATGGGCATTGATCTGGTCCCAGCAGTCTACCCCACCAGTTCCAGCAGTCCTGAACTGGTCCCAGCAGTCTATACGACTTGAAGGAAGCCGAGTGGGGGATACACGTCAAAGTGGGCCAGTGAGTTATGTTTTCCCGTTACAGTCGACGTGGTGTAGGGCCACCCTCATATGTTATACACGGCTTGCATTGTGGGGTGGTGGTACGCGGAGATATAGGCGAGATTTGAAGCTTTCGTGACTGCAATGATTCATATTCTTAGGTTTTTTCGGTAAAGTCACGCAGGTAAAAACATAAAAAAGTAAAATAAAATAAAAATCACGACGTTTCGGAGGCAACACAAGCTTCCGTTTTCAGGTGGTACCGTCACAGCCACGACAGCTGTATCAAGTAAATGAGAGATTGCAGAAGCTACCACTCCGTTTATATAATGGTTGCCCCACCACCTTCTCCAACCATTATATAAACGGAGTGGTAGCTTCTGCAATCTCTCATTTACTTGATACAGCTGTCGTGGCTGTGACGGTACCACCTGAAGACGGAAGCTTGTGTTGCCTCCGAAACGTCGTGATTTTTATTTTATTTTACTTTTTAAAGTTTTTACCTACGTGACTTTACCGAAAAAACCTAAGAATATAGATATAGGCGAGTGCAGTGTGGTGCGGGGTGTGATGTGGCACACGTGATACCGGGAGTGAGACGAGCTGTGCACCATTCTGCGCTGCGCGCGATATCAGCTCACGAGCATGTGCCAGGTTCTCCTGCTTGTGACGTGAAACTAGCATCTGCAGGAGTGCCAGGCGGAATCCTAAACACATCACGGCATATCACGCTGTCAACAGCGCACATGGATATGCTGAGCACAGGATGTCTGCTTGTTGACGAAAAGTAAGAAGGCAAGAGTGGTGCCCACATCGGACACCCTGACAGTCGACTCCGATGGCTAGGTGATATCATGAGAAAGGAAAACTACTTTGGCGATGAACATGGGACAGGGTGCAATCTGAAAGGCAGGCCTAGAAACAGATGGTTTGCAGTTGTGAACCAGAACATGGCACTGCTGACGAGCGGAGCCCAGCGCTCCGCTCGTTGTTGTGAGCGTCGCTCTTCCCTATTCAACACACGGACACGCCACTGTTGACACACCACACACCACTAGACACACCAGTGGACACACCACACACACACCTGGACACACCACACACACACAACTGGACACACCACACACACCTGGACACACCACACACACACAACTGGACACACCACACACACCTGGACACACCACACACACACCTGGACACACCACACACACACCTGGACACACCACACACACACACACAACTGGACACACCACACACACCTGGACACACCACACACACACAACTGGACACACCACACACACCTGGACACACCACACACCTGGACACACCACACACACACCTGGACACACCACTGGACACACCACACACACATCTGGACACACCACACAGACACCTGGACACACCACTGGACACACCTGGACACACCACACACACACACCTCGACACACCACTGGACACACCTGGACACACAACTGGACACACCACACACACACCTGGACACACCACACACCACTGGAAACACCACACACACACCTGGACACACCACTGGACACACCTGGACACACCACACACACACACCTCGACACACCACTGGACACACCTGGACACACCACTGGACACACCACACACACCTGGACACACCACTGGACACACCACAGGACACACCACACACACCTGGACACACCACTGGACACACCACACACACATCTGGACACACCACACACACACCTGGACACACCACTGGACACACCTGGACACACCACACACACACACACACCTCGACACACCACTGGACACACCACTGGACACACCACACACACCTGGACACACCTGGACACACCTGGACACACACCTGGACACACCTGGACACACCACTGGACACACCACACACACCTGGACACACCTGGACACACCTGGACACACCACACACACACACACCTCGACACACCACTGGACACACCACACACACCTGGACACACCACTGGACACACCACAAACTACTGGAAACACATCACACACAACTGGACACACCACACAACACTGGACACCCCACTGGACACACCACACACACCACTGGACACACCACACAACACTAGACACACCACACAACACTAGACACACCACACACAACTGGACACACCACACACACACCTGGACACACCACACACACGCACCTGGACTCACGCCCCACTCACGGTCACCAAACACAACGCTCCACAAACACCTTTTGCCACAGGCAAGTTCTCACTCGACATGATCGCGTACGCCGACGTCCCCAGCACTGCCGCCCGTAGAATGTATCCACGCCGGCCCGAGTTGAACTCCGTCCGCTGTTAAACGTCTCAGCGCCGCTCACGAACTCGCTCACTAACTCACCAACTCGCTCACTAACTCACCAACTCGCTCACGAACTCGCTCACTAACTCACGAACTCGCTCGCTAACTCACGAACTCGCTCGCTAACTCACCAACTCGCTCGCTAACTCACCAACCCGCTCGCTAACTCACCAACTCGCCCGCTAACTCACCAACTCGCTCGCTAACTCACCAACTCGCTCACTAACTCACCAACTCGCTCGCTAACTCACCAACTCGCTCGCTAACTCACCAACCCGCTCGCTAACTCACCAACCCGCCCGCTAACTCACCAACTCGCCCGCTAACTCACCAACTCGCTCGCTAACTCACCAACTCGCTCGCTAACTCACCAACTCGCTCGCTAACTCACCAACCCGCTCGCTAACTCACCAACCCGCTCGCTAACTCACCAACCCGCTCGCTAACTCACCAACCCGCTCACTAACTCACCAACTCGCTCACTAACTCACCAACTCGCTCACTAACTCACCAACCCGCTCACTAACTCACCAACCCGCTCACTAACTCACCAACTCGCTCACTAACTCACCAACTCGATCACTAACTCAAGCACCCCGAAGCGGCGGAAACCTGAGAAACGCGCACTGAAATTCCCAGCATGCTTTAGGCGCGCCCGTCACGTGAGCCGGCGTCGACCAATAGAACGGCCGCGCCGCTCGCGCCCGCCCCGCCTCCCGCCTTGCCCCCCGCCCCGCCCCCGCCCCCCCCGTTCCCCCCCCCCCGCCGCCCCGCCCCCCGCCCCGCCCCCCCCCGCCCCGCCCCCCCCGTTCCCCCCCCGCCCCCGCCCCGCCCCCCCCGCCCCCCTATGCTTATGCGTTGTAGGGAAACGAGGCTGTCGCTCATCACAGCGCTCGTGGTGGTGGTGGGGTGCACCTATCCTGGCACGAGCAGCTGTGGTAATTAAGTGTTGTGTGTTTGTGCGTGTGTGTTACGTGTTGTGTGTTTGTGCGTGTGTGTTACGTGTTGTGTGTTTGTGTGTACTAAGTGTTGTGTGTTGTAGGGTGTGTGCACTAAGTGTTGTGTATTAAGTGTTGTGTGTGTAGGGTGTGTAGGGCGTGTTATTGAGTGTTGTATGTGTTGTAGGGTGTGTAGGGAGTGTTATTGAGTGTTTTGTGTGTGTTGTAGGGTGTATAGGGAGTGTTATTGAGTGTTGTGCGTGTGTTGTAGGGTGTGTAGGGAGTGTTATTGAGTGTTGTGTGTGTTGTAGGGTGTGTAGGGAGTGTTGTGTGTGTAATGAGGATGGAGAGGAGCGACGCTCACAACAACTAGCGGAGCGCCAGGCGTCTAAAACGCACAAAGTTGGCACATTTGGGGGTGAGATACGGCTGGGTGGCATCTATCGGTCATCTACCAGTCAGCCAGCCCATGGCATCTGCTGGGTCTGCCCCTCATCTTGAAGTGCCTCGTGAAGTAACAGAAGTGACTGTGTGTGTGTTATTGCGTGGCCAGTATAAAGTGTTAAGAGAGGCTAATTCCCCAGTCCCCACCCCTGTTCTATGGTTTGTGTTGTGCGCGATCCAATGAGAAAGCTAAGATTTTAACGTTACTTTCAAGCACCGTATTAAATTGAAAACGCTGTTGCGTTTGCAGATGAGTGACGTCTGTTAAAATTGCTTTGCCATTGTTAGTCCTTAACATTTTCTGACCCATATTAGATTTGATTATACAGTATTCTCCCAACTGTAATAATCCGGTATGTGCACGAGGAAACCCACTTTCATATTCTTAGGTTTTTTCGGTAAAGCCACGTAGGCAAAACATCAAAATCAACAAAAATAAAATAAAACAAAGATCACGACGCCTCGGAGGCAACACAAGTCTCCGTCATCAGGTGGGACCGTCACAGCCGGATTAGCTGCATCAAGATGCAGCTAATCTTTGTTTTATTTTATTTTTGTTGATTTTGATGTTTTGCCTACGTGGCTTTACCGAAAAAACCTAAGAATATGAATCATTGCAGTCACGAAAGCTTCAAATCTAGAATTAAACCCACTTTCATCAGCACGGCAAATATAAATCGTGTAATTTGTGCAGATTTACAGCCCACTGTGCCACAGTTGTGTAGCCCACATCTAAATCTGACATGTTTGTATTAACTACTGCTGTCTAACTACAGTAACCCAATTAACAGCTTCAAAATAGAAAACTTATCTTTTTTCGGCAATAACCAAGTTAAATGCAGCACTGAAATCCCTTCTCATGCTACTTCTGCCACTGCAGGGAAGGATGAACTTGAGCAGTCTCGACACGGAGCTTTTCCCTGTAGGATTGCCACGGCCCGGTGAGTGACCTTGGAACCCGGCACCATCACATTTCAGTCCTGATGACACAAAACTAGTTTGTAAAGATGGCAGACAGGATTTCAGGATCCATGTCTTGAAGTATGGATCCAGGAATGAGGGTTCAGAATCCCCCTGTGACTCGGCAGCAGGAATTGGATTTTCAAATTGCAGTCTCAAAGACTGGTTGTTATACCTTGGGACAGTACTTTTTATTAAGGAGATCTTGCTAAAGCTGAGCAATACTACTCTGACCAGCCCGCCTTAAATATAAACTGCGAGCTCCTTCAATCTTGACCTCATGATCACCCATGACTATGATCACAAAATGATTAGACTTTAGGAGCTCCAAAGCTCGTGGTTTCCTCATCTCTGTTACACGTGGCCTCTTGTGACTTCCCACCTGATGCTGCAAATGTCCTTTTGATCACTGATCCCCAAAGTCACTCGACCCCCATTCACATCTGATGACCCCTGTGAGTCTCCACATGATGACACCCTAACGCTGTGATACTCAACTGCGACTCTGTGACTAGTCTTCATTGCACCAAACCCCCATGATTCCCATCTCATTGATCTATAACTACATTGCTTCCCATCATTTTTCACTCCCTTGAATGCTTGACCTCGATCTCCCGGGTCTCTCGCAGGAGACGTGATTGAGCTGCATGGACCAGAGGGCAGCGGCAAGACGGAGGTGGTGTACCGCCTGCTGGCGAGTTGTGTTCTGCCTGTGGAGGCGGGGGGATTGGGGATGCGTGCCATCCTGCTCGACATCGACCTACACTTCGACCTCCTGCGTCTCGTCGGACTGCTGGAACGCCGAATTCGTGCTGCCAAGCAACGCCCAGGGCAAGCTGGCGACCATGCCAATAGCCACATTGGTGCCAGCGTGGGTGGTAGTGATGGCTGTGCAGATGGAATTGTAGAAACAGGTGGAAACTGTGCCAGTGGCTGTGGTAGGGGAGGCCATGGTGGTAGTAGGAACTGTGTTACTGGTAGCACAAGTGGCCCTGGAGACCCAACTGGCGACAAACAATGCCTCCTCGGTGGCAACAGAGTAGTTTGTGAAAATAAATGCCATGTTGATGGTGACAGAGATTTGATAACGGAAGACGATGATGATGAGGCTGCGGCAGAGCTGGCGCTACGGGAGTGCCTCAGCTGTCTGTCTATAGCCACGTGCCACACTGCCTCGCAGCTTGAACTGACACTGCTGGCACTAGAGGAACAGGTGGCATTGCCTCCACTTTTGGGCTCGAGCCGCCCGCATGTGGGATTGCTGGTGCTCGATGGGCTCTCAGCATTCTATTGGATGGACCAACCTTGCCCGGGCAGCACCAGTGTGACGGAGCGCTGCTGCGAGGTGCTCAACCGCATGGCACGCCAGCAAGGCCTGGTACTCATCGCCACCACACAACAGCTGTTCAGACCATGGCGGCAGCAGGCGTCACACGGTGCAGGGCCTCGCCCTCTCCTCGGCAGGACCTGGCATGCGTTGGTGACACTGCGCTTTGTATTCGGTCGTGACGACGGTGTCCAGGGGACAGTGACTTCGAAGACTTTCTCCTTGGAGCTCGACCGGGCTCCGGGCGGCACCCATTTCCGGCGCTCGTTCGTTATTAGTGAAGATGGCGTGCGGTTGTTGTAGTATCTGCCACGCGGAGACACGTGTAAATTTTGCAGCCTGGTTGGTGTGCACATGTGATTCGATATCTGTAATGTGGGCTTAGAGAATTTATTTTGATCGACGAGGCAATGCATTATTGCACACCTAATGCACTGTATATGTTTCTGTGTGAGAGCGTTAATGATGATCATGCAGATTTGTGAAGCTCGCAAATCTGTCTGGGCTGTGAGACGACCAAAAACGAGATGGGTTGATGAACCTATATTTTCAAACATTTTGAGTGTTATCCCCTGGCACACGTGGTGAGTGTTATCCAGCTACGGTTTTCTTCCCACAGGAAGCAATATGCCTATTCAAAAGTAGTTGGTCATACATCCCTTGGCAGGATCCTGCGCATAGGAATTTATTCTTTTATTCGTGTTTTAATATTATTCACGTGACCCGTCGCAGCCACTACAAATGCTACAATGCATAACAATGGTAAAAGAAGCATTGATACTCAAATCAAATCGTGACAATTGCATAGCCACGTGTTAATAATCACGGCTTGCATGGTAACTCTCTAGTCCCGATCCGCTTTCAATCATTGCAATAATTTGCACTATGTACTCATTTTAGTCTGAGTGTACATTAAAAAAAGCCAGATGAGGTTAAGTATCCATATGTATAGAAAAATGTATACTCATGCTTATTTGTGGCCCTATAAATTCATACTATGATATCCCAAATGACAGTGTTTAGAGATTGAATACTTAGAGATTTAATACCTATTCAGAAAGTTAGAATTTGGTTGTAAGTTGACTCGGTCCATCATATGGCCAGGGCATGATAAAATAATTACCACTTGAGAAGTCAAATGTTTGCGCTACAGAGAGACTGACATGGACATTTTATGAATGGAATTTCGCTCGCACGCGGAAACAGTCCCGTGTACCAAAGCTGTGTCCAAAGCCATCTAAGCAGAGGTGATCTTGAGAAGTTACTTCGAGGGTAAGAGTGACGTCTGGTACCATCGTGGAGGGCAGAGAGACGATGCGTGAGCAAGTTAACAACCACAGTCGTTTGTGTTATGGAAAAAACCAAACTGGCCTCGTCCAAATTAATGTGAAATTTACACCACTGGTTGCACGAGTGCCGCAAACGGATACATAAGCACTAACCCGTTCTTGTACGTTTGATCCACTGTGATAATTCTCGTGTTTACATAAAAGTGCACCTACATACTCTGTCCATTCGTATAAATTGTTGCTTTTATAATACAGCAAAGCATCACGGAGGCTCGGGCAGCTTTGGCATTAGGATGGTTTAGTGAGTTCCTTTACGAGATCAGGGGCGATTCATTAAAAACGCAATCATCTCTTGACATATGAACGATACAGCAATCTATTCCTCTCGACGAGCTCTACACGATGCGCTAATCAAAGTTTAAAAGTTTTGTTTCTTCTGCGCATTCGTCCTCGCTGCTGCGCTTGAACGACACGACAACGGAATGATCCGCGCCACGTGGGTCACGGCGTTTATATGCGCGGTGGGACGGAGTCGCCAAAAATAAATACATTTATTAAGATTTTGACTTCCGTTCATTCGGAACCCCGGGGTTCCATCATAAGGTTCAATTATCACCTGATTAGACAATTAAACTTAATACTACTAATAGGGTTTCCCCCTTTTTCTGGCAACAAAACTGACACCTTTTGCAAGGAATCCTGTTTACATTAACCACAGTCAAATGCAAAAAAAAAAACATACTCCGATAATTTATGCATTGTCATTGAAACGGATTGGTCCACACCAGAGACAGCTTTTATTAGAGCCAAGTCTCATATGGTGTTCGACCAGATGACACCAAAAGGCACACAGTTCAAAGACAACGCACTATCAGAGTGATGAGAGCTCGGGGTAAGCATCTACATCATGGGACCTCCTTTGCCAGTACCAAAATATACTAATAGGGTTTCTCCCCTTTTTTCTGGCAACAAAACTGACACCTTTTGCAAAGAATCATGTTTACATTCACCACAATACTTGCAGTCAAATACAAAAAAAACAATACTCTGATCATTTATGCATTGTCCTTGAAACTGATTGGTCCACACCAGAGACAGCTTTCTTTTGAGCCTCGTCTCAAACGGTGTTCGACCAGATCATGCCAAAAGGCGTACACAGCACAAAGACAATGCACTATCAGAGTAATGAGAGCTGGGGTGAGCATCTACATCATGGGACCTCCTTTGCCAGTACCAAAATATAAGAATAGGTTTCCTCCTTTTTTCTGGCAACAAAACAGGTGTTAAGATGTTAAAACACCAAACTGAAACCTTTTGCAAGGAATCATGTCTGCATAAACTACAATATTTGTGGTGAAAATACAAAAAAACATGCTTTGACAGTATATACAACGATGAGACGTCTGTCTGCTCGCCTTTACTTTTAAATCCTTTATATTAAGTTCACTTGCTTGCGTGCTTGCTTGCTTAGGACCGTGCAAATCTTTCGGTCGTTTTTTAATCCACTTCCCGTGATCCAATCGAGCTGACATTTTTCACACAGACTCGTTGTGCGTGACAATTAATTTTTGTGAATTTTTTTTCTCCAAAATTTTACACTGTTTAGGGAATTTTTTGTTAAATATTTAATTACCAATTGCTTAATGGTGGCAGACAATCATCTGACCCATAGGTGGCAGCCATCTCAAGCCAGAGGACGAGAGGACTCTAGCCGCCCGTTTCATGATGACGCAAATGTTGACTAACCACATGGCATGAAATCCCTGCCCCCACGCTGCACAATGGAGACTATTTATAGAGCAGTTAAATTGAAGCCGCCAGGTTCTTTAAAGTGATAAAACAGGTAAACGCTAGTGCCCTCGGGAATATACCGATGCCACGCATATAAAGGATTTATAGTGAAAAACTTTGTTTTTACGGGTAAATTTTTTTGCTGATTAATTTATTCACGAAGAAGAAATTCAACGTGCATAACAACCACGACACTGCCGCAAAGTAATATATAGGCGACGTTTCGGGCAAACGTGTCTTCCCCGTAACCATACCTGTCAACCCAAACGGTTTACCCCGTATTTTTGTACTACAGGGAAATTGCATTTTTAGGTCCATATGGCGTACAGCCGTTCAGTACAGGCAAACATTTTTTTTTGTCAATGTGTTGTGTTTCTTCCTTGTGATGGAACTTTGTAGGATGAACGTTGAGATTTATAAGGGCACGGGAGTTACCAATAAGGTCTGAATCTGTCTGTAATAAGGTAGGGCCCTGATAAAGGGGTTAACAGGTGTTTTGCTAGGTATATATAGAGAGACGTCGACAGTCTTATACGTTTACTTTAATCGAACTGTTGACGATTGCGTATAATTGTTAATGGTATTTTAAGTCCGTCCATAAATGACGTCACGCACCTGGGGGGTCAGACATTTGTGACGATGTGTGACGAGGGGGGGGGTTGAGAAATATGACGTCACATCAAAATGCGCAACTTTAAATAAATATAGAATTGTAATAACAACACTAATTGTTATAACACTCCGACAACATCAGAGTGCAGCGCCACATTACATACGCACTACAATGACAATAGTTTAAAGCGATTTGAAGCATGTTTTATTTTCGAATTGAAAATATGGTTTTGGGGGGTGGGGCAGAGCATTGTGACGTCATATTTGAGGGGGGGGTCTGACTTTTTGTGACGCCGCGTGACGAGGGGGGGGGGGGGGTCAAAAATCGTCCATAATTGCGTGACGTCGATAATTGTTTTTTTACCCTTCTATCTGGCAACAGATAAGAAGGGTAAAAAATCATATTCTTAGGTGTTTTCGGTAAAGTCACGTAGGTAAAACATCAAAATTAATAAAAATAATAAAATAAAATAAAGATCACCGAAAACACCTAAGAATATGATTCCTTGCAGTCACGAACGCTTCAAGTCTAGAATTAAGGGTAAAAAAAAACAATGATCATATTTTTACTGGCAAATGAGGTTCCCATAGAATTGCGTGACGTCATTTATGGCTCCGCCCCTTTGTCAAGGATTTCATTCGCCTCGAGGGTCCGGCCGGCCTCGTCGCCATGGCGACAGACGCGGCGAACCCGCCGCGAATCGTTCACCGGGCAGGCAAAGAGGCTTCGCGATTGGCTGAGCGCCGTCACGTGGCCCACGCGGGACCAATCAGCGGGGCGTGTTGCTCACCAACACTCGCAGGAATCTCGCGGAGCTCCGACGCCGACGACGCGCGCGGGGAGAGAAAGGCGACAAAATAAGCAAAGACGACGGCAAAGCGCGAGTCAACTCGTCCACTAACTTCGCTCAAGCGGCACAGGGGACGGCGGCTGCCGATGAGCCGGGCGGCCTCTCAGCGCCACCCTCCACCCAAGAGCAGCAGCAGCGGCGACGGTGACGGCGGCGGTGACGGTGACGGCCGAGCGACCCGCATTGGCCTCAATTGCGTCGACGGGAGGTGTAACGAGGGTAACGTTGGGGGGGATAACGAGGTAACTGGAGTCACAGGGTAACGATGGTACCGCGGGTCACATGTACGAGCGGTTAGTGAGGGTAACGGGAGTGAAGGAGGTTAACGGGCGAGTGGGGTCATGGGGTAACTTGGGAGTCGTGGGAGGAACTCAACAATGTCAGGAAGGTGGTCGAAGGGTAACGAAGGGTAACGGGGGGTAACGAGGGTGACGAGGTAACGGTGGGGGATAGAAGGTAACAAGGGAGCAATGAGGGTAACGAGACGATTGTGCGTGAGGTAACGGGGTAATGGGAGGAATGTACTGAGGAGGGTAACGCGGGTAACAGGGTAACTGGAATAACACATTTTTTTTATTGAAAGCTTTCGTGACTGCAGGCATTCATCTTCTTGGTTTCTTTCTGTAAAGTCACGTAGAAGGGCAATAATAAAATAATGAAAATATTAAAAAAATTGTTATTGTTTAATATTTGCATGATTTTATTATAAAACCAAAAAAATATTGTTTTATATTAACATTATTTTATTATTTCCCTTCGGTATTTTTTGTTTGTTTTATATTTGCATTATTTTATTATTAAACATTTTTTGTAATTGTTTGATATTTGCATAAATGTATTATTTTCCTTTTGCATTATTTTATTATAAAACAATAAAACAGTTAATGTTTTATATATGCATTATTTAATAATAAAATAAATTGTTTTACATTTGCATTATTTTATTATTTCCCTTCTTCGGTAATTTTTTTTATTGTTTTATATTTGCATTATTTTATTATTTCTCTTCTACGTGACTTTACTGGAATAACAATGTAACGGGGTTACGAGAAAAGAAAAAAAAATCGCGTGTAGCGAGATTAATAAGGCAATGATGGTAACTATGGTAGCGAGAGTAACGCGGATAATACGGCTCACGGGATAACGAGAGTAACGAGGGTAACGCAAGGTAAGGGGCAACAATTTGCAAGTGTTGATGGTGCAATAATTGACAGCTTCGACGGGGGCCTCTGTTAACATCACCAATAGCACGGACAGTGATGGGGATGTTGCTCTGGTAACGATGGTAACATGTTATCACTGATGGTGATGGCAATGCCATTGGGAGTAACGATGCTAATACGTTGTCACTGGCAGTGTTGAGGATGTCACTGATGGTGGTGGGGATGTCACCGTAACATGTACTCTTATATCTTGCCATGTGCTTGTATTTTTGTTTGCATAGACCCTTCTTTCTGTTCTCGGGTATAAATGATGCAGATTTTTTTTTTACCTTTTTGCCAGTATCAAAGTATGAAATAAGTAGAGTTTTTCACTATAAATCCTTTATATGCGTGGCAGCGAACTTAATATAAAGGATTTAAAAATATATTCGCCTGTGGAGGACGCGGGGATCGATCCCGCGACCTTTGGCATGGGAAGCGAGGGCGCTACCAACTGCGCTACTCCGCCACGGCCTGTGGAGGGGTTACGCTCTGGGATCTTACACTCTGACGTTCAGCCAAAGCCATGAATGCGTTCTATTTGAATATATGTAAAATACTTTTTTTTTGCCTAAAAAGTGTAAAATTTTGGGAATTTTTTTTCACGAACATTAATTAATTGTCTGGCACAACGAGTCTGTGTGGAAAATGTCAGCTCGATTGGATCACGGGAAGTGGGTTAAAAAACGACTGAAAGATTTGCACGGTCCTAAGCAAGCAAGCAAGCACGCGAACTTAATATGAAGGATTTAAAAATAAGAATGTTTTACCCTTTGGGGCCGCCCATAAATGACGTCACGCACCTGGGGGGGGGGGGTCAGACATTTGTGACAATGTGTGACGAGGGGGGGGGGTGTTTGAGAAATGTGACGTCACATCAAAATGTGCAACTTTAAATAAATATAGACAACACGTTCTACTTAATTAAATAGACATTTTCGTAAATGTTTTCTCCTACAACATCAGAGTGCAGCGCCACATTAAATATGCACTACAATGACAATAGTTTAAAGCGATTAGAAACATTTTTAGGGGGGGGGCAGAGCTTTGTGACGTCATATTTGCGGGGGGGGGGGTCTGACTTTTTGTGACGCCGTGTGACGAGGGGGGGGGGGTAAAAAATCGTCCAAAATCGCGTGACGTCATTTATGGACGGCCCCTTTCCGGCAATAAAACACCAAATAGAAACATTTTGTAAGGAATCAAGTTTTTATATTATATCAGAGCATGTTTGCATGTTGATTCCTTGCAAAATGTTAGTGTTGTTTATGTTGTGGTTGCTGTTTTTGATAATGTGTTCAGTTTAAAAATGTGTTGTGGTATCATGTTTATCTTAGTGTTGTCTTTGCTTTTTTCTCTATGATAGTGTTGCATTAAGTGTGTTGACAGTTGTCCTGTTGCTCTCTGATTATGTTGCTATAGTTGGTGTGTTATAAGAATAGGTTTTCCCCTTTTTTCTGGCAACAAAACAGGTGTTAAGTTGTTAAAACACCAAACTGAAACCTTTTACAAGGAATAATGTCTGTTTTAACCACATACTTGTGGTGAAAATACCAACGAAAAAACATGCTCTGACAGTATATGCAATTGTCTTTTAAACTGAATGGTCGACACCAGAGACAGCTTTCTATCAGAGTATGTTTTTTGTTTGCATTCTGACCACAAGTATTGTGGTTAATGCAGACATTATTCCTTGTAAAAGGTTTCAGTTTGGTGTTGTAACATCTTAACACCTTTGGAACCTCCTTTGCCAGTAGCAAAATATGATAATTGTTTTTTTACCCTTTTATCTGGCAACAAAACTGACACCTTTTTTATAAGTAGTCATGTTTGCATTGACCACAATACCTGTGGTCGGAATGCAAACAAAAAACACAACTCTGATAATGTATGCACTGTCCTTGAAATTGATTGGTCCACACCCCAGACAGCTTTTCTTAGAGCCTAGTCTCACAAGGTGTTGGACCAGATGACGCCAAAAGGCGCACAACTCAAAGACAATGCACCATCAGAGGATGAGTGCTCGGGGTAAGCATTTACACCATTGGAACCTCCTTTGCCAGTAGCAAAATATGATAATTGTTTTTTTACCCTTTTATCTGGCAACAAAACTGACACCTTTTTTACAAGGAGTCATGTTTGCATTGACCACAATACCTGTGGTCGGAATGCAAACAAAAAACACAACTCTGATAATGTATGCACTGTCCTTGAAATGGATTGGTCCACACCCCAGACAGCTTTTCTTAGAGCCTAGTCTCACAAGGTGTTGGACCAGATGACGCCAAAAGGCGCACAACTCAAAGACAATGCACCATCAGAGTATGAGAGCTCGGGGTAAGCATTTACACCATTGGAACCTCCTTTGCCAGTAGCAAAATATGATAATTGTTTTTTTACCCTTTTAACTGGCAACAAAACTGACACCTTTGTTATAAGGAGTCATGTTTGCATTGACCACAATACCTGTGGTCGGAATGCAAACAAAACACAACTCTGATAATGTATGCACTGTCCTTAAAATTGATTGGTCCACACCCGAGACAGCTTTTCTTAGAGCCTAGTCTCACAAGGTGTTGGACCAGATGACGCCAAAAGGCGCACAACTCAAAGACAATGCACCATCAGAGGATGAGTGCTCGGGGTAAGCATTTACACCATTGGAACCTCCTTTGCCAGTAGCAAATTATGATAATTGTTTTTTTACCCTTTTATCTGGCAACAAAACTGACACATTTTTTACAAGGAGTCATGTTTGCATTGACCACAATACCTGTGGTCAGAATGGCAGACGAGGTCCCATGCAGTTTATGTGTTGTTCATGTACATGTTATTTGTAGGTTACATTATATTTCCATATCTGTCATTTTCTTTGCAGGGGCCACCATGGCGGGCGAAGATGTCCGAAGAGACTTTGTCCTCATGACAGTGGCGAACTACTTTGGGCTGGCGGCACAGCACACGGGCGTGCAGCGTCTATCCACCTCGCGGGCACTCGCCCGCTTTCTGGATGACCCCGACAGCCTGGTGCTGGCAGCAAGAAGGAGCGGGGATGAGATGGCGCTCTCTGACACGGTGACAACCATGGGATGCCAGATACATGGTTCAGCGACTAGCCTAGTGCTTATTACTGATTGTGATAGCATTGGCGTTAATGATGGCGTTAAACATCTTTGTGAAAAACTATGCATATATTTAAAATATATATATACATAATGGTTACTAAGCACAGGCCCAAAGCCCCAAAATTTCAAGTGGCCAGGAGCAAATGGCAGAATTGAAAATATATTTGATAAAATGTCTGCGGACCTACATCAGACATAACCTACGTCAGGTTAGGGACATAACCTACGTCAGGTTATGTGCCTAGAAAAGGTGTCGAAAATCGATACGACACACATGATTCACCAACAATTGCCTCCATAGCACTAGATCAATGGACGGCATTAATGCTGAGCTATTGAGTAGTGGTGACGACAAACGGGTAATGATAAATAATGGTTCTCTCATCAATGCACACAGTTTTATTGATGAGGGACTCTGCTGTAGGTGGATATGAAGCTGGACGCGGTGGAGTCCCAGCAGCAGCGACAAGTGCTCGTGTTCTTCAAGCTGCGTGCCGCTGCTCTGTCCGCAGACAACGTGCACTCATGCGTGCTCGTGTCCTCGCTGGCCGACTCGCCTGTGCTCGCATTGTACCACGCAGTGCGCTACGTGTACGCCCCCCTACTCACTAAGGTGCGTCTGAGAGAGCGCTTGCAATTCATGTGTATGTGTTTTTGGATGTGTATGATTGTTTGTTCCTTTGACCAAATATGTGTGTTTATGCCATTGACCAAATTAACTGCAGTGTGTCCGATTCCATAAAATAGTGGAAGCTAATCAGGATTTTAGCTTGGAGAGTGCTTGTGGGCAATAGAGTGCAGTGTGGCAAAATCTATTATTGTGCTCCACTCCCCCCACCATCACCAAACCCGCATTGACCATTGTATTGAAGGTTGGTCAAATACTTTTCACGAGCCTACAAGGTATGGGGAGACCCTCATCCAGCAGTCGATTGACAGAAATAGGCTGTACGTGTCCATACATGTATGTGTGTTTAAATGAATGTGAGAAATGGTGGTGCATAATTCAGTGCACTGTGCTGCAAACCCATAATCCTGAGGTCAGTCTCCAGCTACTGACCACACCACCCTCTTAGGAGTTGTATCGTCAGTTTCCACAAGAGGCTGTTGTCGGCTATGCAGGGTACTTTTGTTTCTTTGTGTCTTACTGACCTCAATAGATGCTCATGAGTAGCATTTTCTCTCACAGACTGAAGTTGAATGTAAAATCTTTGTGCAAACGGTGTATATGTACAGCCTTCCACGTGTGTGTCTGTATGAAGGATGATGGTGATCCCAAGTTGCAGTCTCTCCTGAGTGAACTAGAGTCCGGTTTAGGCCGAGTCTTGAGGCAACAATCTGACCCCACGGGCAGACGTGGACGCTCAAAGGCTCAGGTGGAATCTGACCTCTCTGGTATGCACTCACACTCGTACACGTGCACATGCACGCTTGAGATGGGTTGAGCATACAGCTGCCTGCACCACCTGTAGATCAGCGCCATTTTTATCCCTTAAAAGCCACTTTCCTTTGTATAACGAAATCAAACCCCAAGTAGTGCATATCACTATAAAGATGAAGGCCCCCCGTAAAGCCTAAACAGACTGTTGGGGCAAGCGTTGTTAGCAAGCACAAATGAATATTATATTCTTGGGTGTTTCGGTAAAGTCACGTTGATAGGTTCAAAGAAAAGAACAAAAATAACAAAAAATTACGACGTTTTGATCGCAACACAAGCGGTCGTCTTCAGGAAAGGGGGGTTAGCTTCCAAGGCAAAATGTCTATAAGGGTTTGAAATGGGCGTCGCCCAAATGTCAGCAGCCAATGTTAATGTAAGTGGTGGGCAGCCAACCCGACGGTGGTTGGTTTTCCACCAATCAAAGAGCTGCCAGGTGAAAATTTGCATGTTAAAAAGGTTTAAGTCAAGCACATATGAAGGCCGACATGGCACGTGAGGGGGTGGGTGGCCTGCACCACGCCGGACCGCCTTTGTCTCCCTAGTGGCAATGTTTGCACACCACACCAGGTACTCATTTTAGGCTGAGTCGACCTAGGGGAGGCCTAGGACCGGTTACGATATTCTTCACCGATGTTGGCCGTGAGCGGGAATCTAACTCGGGGCGCCGGGTTCAGAGCACTGCGCGCTCACCGCTACACTACCACTCTCCACTCATATCACTACTCCCACTCACACACATCTATGTAAATTTAAGCAGTCTCACGTACTTTCATATCCACACTTATACACAGATACACACATACAGAAAATTACAAAGATGCCACATTTAGATCTATATATTGTTGTTGCAAGCATCTTTAATAAGCACCTATTCAAGCTCGTATTGCACACTGGAGGAAGTTGTGATCATCATTATGAATGCTATACAACACTTCCACAGGGGTGGTGTATACAATGTAAGGCAGTCAATCATTTTAGCTGAATCAACCTTAGGGAGGCCAGCACTGATACATGTACCCATTCACACACACAGATACACACACTAACACAGGCAGCTGAAACATATTTGCACACATTCACACACACAGTTGGGTGCACACACACCAAAGCGCGTGCGAATGTGTGTGTGCCTGTACTCCTGCGTACATACGTATGTACTTGAGCACGTGCAATTGTGGGAATGCATATGGTATTTATGTCTGTGTGCATACTACAGGTATCCTTTCGCCGTGCGATGAGTTTGAATTTTGGGCGGAATTGGCTGCACGGGGAGGAGAGGGCGCCCCCCGTGCTAGTTCCTTCCATTTGATGTTTGAGCCCCTCACCAAGGTAACACAAAGCTGTGCACAGCCACTCACACCATAACGATGCGATCACACCCACGACATCATTACACAACCCTATTGTCTACAATGTGTCAGCATTCTCAACGACTAATTCATACAGTGCCTTTGATCACGGATAATACACTACTAATGTAACTTTGTGAATATGGAAATGTATATTACAAATTAAGGGAGCATGGTAGTAGTGGTCCACAAGTTAAAAGAGAAAATAGCATTTTGCTATTTTCATTACTGCTGCTTAACAACAGAAAATAATGCATACAATATCAGACCTAACAATTCAGGCCCTTTAGAGCAGAGAGTGGGCATAATGATTGATTTATATTTGGAGCTTAATCTGTGGTGCCCAAATCACTGAAAAGTTTGAGGATGTTTATTTAAAAAGTGTTCACATGCCAACTGCAATTTTCAGTGTTTTAAAGGTAGAACACAGTGAAATGTGATCTCTAAACGTGATTTAGTATTTTTACCCTCCATCTACTTTGAAGAAGAACCTTCGCTTGAAATGCTTGTCGAACATTTTTCTTGCATTATTCGGCAGTGTTGATAATGAAGTGGTGAGTTAGTTTTGATTTGCGAATTGAACCATTGGCTTGATGAGTACTAGCTCAGTGGCAAGTGCATCGTTTGTCTGTTGAAAAAGAATGAATATTGAGAGCTTTCAGTGTGCCAAAATTGCCAATTGTGCAAAGGTTTGCATTTGATGTCGGTGACATGGGGGTACAGGATTTTGCGACCCTGCACTCGTTAACACTTGACGAGGTGGCAGAAGTGCTGGAGGTGACACGAGAGATCCTTGAAGATGTGTGGAGGCAGACGGAGCATGAGCCGTACCCACAGCAGCGAATGGAGAACCTCCTTCATCTCATCGGTAACCACTTGCTTGCTCACATGATTGCTTAAGCACTGTTACAATGGCTTATAGACACGATCCCTTCCTGGCTCATACAGTCGCTGTTAAGATTGCTCACTCACATCACTCGTTCACCCACTTGCACTTGCACACTCTTACGATTAGTCGTTTGCATGATTACTCACATGCTCTTAGGATCGCTCTCCCTCACTGTTATAATAACTTGCTCACACAACCACAAATAAATCAATCACATTACACTCACGCTCTCCCACTATTGCTTGGACAGGGGTCGGCAACCAAAATAACAAGAAGAGACATTTTTGTTTTAATTGGGTACAAAACTCAATATTTCAAGAGCCGCAATATTTTGTGAATACATACATACATTATGTCACGAAGAAGTGTGTAAAGAGCCGCATGCGCCTCAGGAGCCACAGGTTGCTGACCCCTTTGCTAAAACATTCGCTCGCTCACACAATCTTAGGGAAAATGCACTCAGAATTTTCTGCACTGATATACTTTTACGATACATTCTTTGTTGCACCTCAGAATTTCTTTATGAAAGAGACTGTTTCAATGGACTTGCTTTTGGTTACGATCATCAGAAATGTATACGTATGCATTGTTGGTGGCACGAGTTTTGTTGCTTCTCCTTCTGCTGCTGGTTCTGTTGCTTATGCCATCACCTGTGGTGCTGGTTCTGCTCGTACTCGCCTGCGTGCATGCATAGGTGCCTCCCTCGCGCGGCACGTGTCTCACGCCCTGGCAGGGGTGCCCCCATGGGTGGCACCGTTCTCTGAAGTTCGGGAGGCACTGTCTGCAGCGGCGTCACTCTGCCAGCGCTGGACAGACACATGCGAGCAGCTCACGGGAGCCGCCTGGAGCCGGTTCACCCCCCATGCTTGGCGTGGGGGCGCCGTGAACACTGATGCAGTGCAGGGGTTGGCCTCCCGCCTCCGACAGGTGCCTCTGACTAATTGTAGCTGTGTGTGGATATCAGTCTTATTCTAGCAGTGTGCAGAGGATAATACGATGTCAGAGAACTGAACGGGCTCCACTGAGCTTCTGGGTTTGAATTTGTTGTTCAGCTACCCGCAGTTGAAATTAGTTCTCAAATGTAATAAGTTTATGGTCTCAGCCCGCTCTTGAATGACTGAATAATAACATATTAAATTTGGTGTTAGATTAATTTGTCATAGTCCACCAAAGACCAAGAACACACTGCATTATTAAATTTTACGAATTCATTCATTGTTTAATAATTAATGGTAAAGTTCACACAACATGCTTTGAATCACATATGTAAGAATCAGTGTTTTTAAATTTGTTCAGATTATGTGTTAAATAGCTAGTTTGAATTGTCACGATAAAATGGACAATTCAAACAAGACTGCAAAAACCCCCTAAATGGTGACATCGAATTACCAAATGATTATATAGTGTCCCTCTGTGCCATTGTGGCCACTTGTGGGTGTATACCTGAGTCCACATTTCTCTGTGTGCATGACTACATTTGCACTCCTATTCTATCTTCACGTAGGTGTTCTCCTGTACCAGTGTGTTTATCTGTTTCCGTGTCTCCGTGGTATTGTCTGCTTTTGTCTCAGGTGCTTAGCCTGCGCACTGCTCATGAGCAACTGCTGGCACTGCTATCAGGCTCTGAGAGAGATACTGTTCAGCCGAGCAAGGCTTTCAAGCCATTTGAAGGCCTCAACCCCTTGCACTACAACCCCTACACGCAGGTACGCAGGCTTGTGTGCTCATGCCTTCAGATGTTCAAGCACATTCATAGAAGGTGCTCTTGAACTGCATGCACACAAACACACACTTGCTTACACTCACTCAGACACACAGCCTCACATTAACAAAGACAAAGACTCACACAAAAACAACTGACATTAGCATACACTAACACAGCCTTACACACAGATTCATGTATATGTTGTGCAGTAGAACCACGTGGAGACGAGGGATACTATAAGGGCTGTTGCCATTTATTAAACCACTGTTACACTCGACACTCTATGCTCACACCAGTGTAGGTGCTCTCTATCTCGGTCCTTACCCGGACACTGAATACTATCTGGACCCTACCCTCGTCTATCCCCTTGGCTCTCCCACTCATCTGCCCGGAGCGGGGGTTCAACCAACACCACTCCGCGACGAGGAGAAAGAAACACTCTGCAGCCGATCCTTACTCTGGCTCCCCACAACGACCACGCCTTCGTCACGGGGGTCTCCCTTAAGAACCTCTTGGGCGGCTCCTCCCCCGAGCTCGGACCCGCCTTGTTTCCCGAAAGGACCTCTTAGACCACTCGTGACATTGCGTCATCCTTGACTGTCAGCTCGCACCTCCTTCTGTTCACCTCCTCATGGTTACTCACAATACTCCTCTCCATATATATTAATTACATGATTACAACATTTTGGATGAATCGAAAAAACATGTTGGGAATTAATCTGAAAATATGTTATCGGAAGTGATATGAAACTTTCCTTAAAAATCCTAAATCCTAAATGTTTTAATGTGAAACTCATCCTAATACACACGCATAGCTTCAAAGACAAATATTCCCCAAATAGCCTTAGCAGACTGTTGGGGCAAGTGCTTCTTAGCGAGCACCTATGAAGACCGGCATGGCACACGAAGGGGTCGGTCGCCAGCACAGCGCCCGGCTGCCTTTGTCTCCCTAGTGGGAATATTTACACACTGCACCAGGTACTGATTTGAGGCTGAGTCGACGTTGGGAGGCCGAGGACCGGTTCAGATAATCTTCATTGGTATTGGTCGTGAGCAGGAATCTAACTCGGGTCATCAGGTTTGTAGCACAGCGCACTAACTACTATGCCACCACTTCCCGCACGCACAGCTACACATACACATTCACCCCCATATAAACTCTTATTTCAGTCCCTCCAGAAAAACGCGGAGTTTTTTGGTGATTGTTGCGGGCAAAAATCGTTGATTATGCGGCACGTTTTCTTAAAAAATGCGATGGAATATGCGGGATATTTATGCAATTTTATGCGATTAAATTGCGGGAACTTGCAAAAATTGCGGGAACTTGCAAAAACTGCGGTTTGATGAAAAAGAGAAAAAAAAGTGATTCCCCCAACACCCTATTCACTAGGCTACTACTTTAATGTAAAGAGTAATTTCTTATTACTTCCTATGATAAGCAAGCATACTACATCACAGAAAGTGCTGGGAATATTTAAGTTCTCATCTTGTTTTATTTCAGACCTTAACAAACAGATGGCTCAAACTTACAAAACATTGAGTCGAACAAGTTCTGTAGCTTTACAAAATGAATATGCTACAACTTCTGTAAAAATGAATAAATAAAATATTAAAAAATAAAATGTGTGCTTCCTGTTTTACAGAGGTAGCTATACAAAACAGACATCTTCTGTTAAAATAAGTGTTTTCAGTGCACAGTAACGTAAGCAATACAGTAACAGTACAGTCTTACAGTAATGTAAATGTACATACTACTAACAAAAAAGTGCAATCTTACAACTGTAAAGTTGCATAAACTCCTGAATAAAACTAACTACGTAGCCTCTAACACTTCATAACGTTCCCATGGCAACAGGGGAAATGGCTGCGCTTGTGTGAAGTAAACGCAACATTTTTCAACTTTCTGCTAAGATATATGTGACTTTTTGCAACGAAAATGCGGGGATTATGAAATCATGCAAGCCCGCATATTTTGCGCGCGGAAATCTGCAATTTATGCGGCGAAAGTGCGGCGTATTTGAAAAAACGTGCCCCCCGCATAAATATGCGGACTTTGGCTGATTTTGCATGGAATCTTGCGATCGCATAATCGCGTTTTTCTGGAGGGACTGTTATTTACAGTCACACACAGGAAGATTAAAACATAGCTTATGCAACACTCATTATCACACACATATACCCATGTTAAAATACACTTCGATTTTCAAGCTATCACAATGACACACATACAGCCTTTTACAATGAATACATAGATTATACCAAACACATATTTACAAGTAATCATAATGATACGTCTTTTATAAACATGCAATCTTACATTTACCGCGTGGCCTCTCAGCCTCTGTGGCAGACCGCGGTGTTGCAATACGAACGGGTGGTGGAGCCAGCAGAGTCTCGCGTGGCAGCAAAGCTTCGGAGTCGCCTCATGCAGACCCAGGGAAACCCTGCACAGGTGTGTGATGGTGAATTTGTTTGCCAGAGGAGGTGCGAAGCACATTGCACAGCTTGGCAGTGGGATCAGTGACTGTCAGACATGGATGGGCCTTCCACAAAACTGCTAATGAAAGGATGGCATGCATGCTTCCCTGCCTGCAATCATTCTAATTGCTTGGCCGAGAGGATAGATTCCACAATATTTGAAGGACGTCCAAGTGGTCCATTTTATGTGTCGATGTGTACATGTATGTGTACATGTATGTCCATACAGTGAGGGAAAAAAGTATTTGATCCCCTGCTGATTTTGTACGTTTGCCCACTGACAAAGAAATGATCAGTCTATAATTTTAATGGTAGGTGTATTTGAACAGTGAGAGACAGAATAACAACAACAAAATCCAGAAAAACACATGTCAAAAATGTTATACATTGATAATTGGTTCTTTACCCTTCTATCTGGCAACAAAACTGACACCTTTTTGCAAGGAGTCATGTTTGCATAGACCGCAATACCTGCAGTCATAATACAAACAAAAGAACATAACTCTGATAATGTGCACTGTCCTTGAAGTTGATTGGTCCACACCCGAGACAGCTTTCCTTCGAGCCTAGTCTCATATGGGTTGGACCAGATGACGCCAAAAGGCGCACAACTCAAGGACAATGCACCATCAGAGTATGAGAGCTCGGGGCAAGCATCTACACTATGGGGACCTCATTTGCCAGTACTGGCATTGTCCTTGAGTTGTGCGCCTTTTGGCGTCATCTGGTCCAACCCATATGAGACTAGGCTCGAAGGAAAGCTGTCTCAGGTGTGGACCAATCAACTTCAAGGACAGTGCACATTATCAGAGTTATGTTCTTTTGTTTGTATTATGACTGCAGGTATTGCGGTCTATGCAAACATGACTCCTTGCAAAAAGGTGTCAGTTTTGTTGCCAGATAGAAGGGTAAAGAACCAATTATCATATTTTTACTGGCAAATGAGGTCCCCATAATGTTATACATTGATTTGCATTTTAATGAGGGAAATAAGTATTTGACCCTTCTGCAAAACATGACTTAGTACTTGGTGGCAAAACCCTTGTTGGCAATCACAGAGGTCAGACGTTTCTTGTAGTTGGCCACCAGGTTTGCACACATCTCAGGAGGGATTTTGTCCCACTCATCTTTGCAGATCTTCTCCAAGTCATTAAGGTTTCGAGGTTGACGTTTGGCAACTCGAACCTTCAGCTCCCTCCACAGATTGTCTATGGGATTAAGATCTGGAGACTCCCTAGGCCACTCCAAGACCTTAATGTGCTTCTTCTTGAGCTACTCCTTTGTTGCCTTGGCCATGTGTTTTGGGTCATTGTCATGCCGGAATACCCATCCACGACCCATTTTCAATGCCCTGGAGGTTCTCACCCAAGATTTGACGATAATGGCCCCGTCCATCGTCCCTTTGATGTACAATGCATAAGAAGACCTTCATCCAGCAGTGAATTGTCAAAGGGATGTGTATCATTATTATTTGTATCTGTGTGACAGCTACTGCAGGAGTTTCACAGGTACCGTGAGCTGCTCTGCCGACCACACATCAGCCAAGAGCTACTGTCTGAGCGGGAGACGCTGCTGGCACAACTCACAGAGTACAACAAGAGTGAGCTCACTCAAAATGTGTATGTGTGTGCGTGCCTTGTGGGTAGCGGAGGTGTGGTGAGTAGTGCACTATCCTACCAACTCAGCAACCTAATTTTAATTCCATCCATCTGTAACACCAGTGACAAAACTTTCCCTTGGTCGTCTCAGCCTTAAATGAGTACATAGCTGGTTTGTTTTGTAAGTATCTCCACTGGGGTGACAAATGTGGCTGGCCATATTTCTTCCACACCATCCCAGTCGTATTCAGCATTTGCTAACACCACTTGCCCGAAGAGTGGTGTTAGCTTAACAGGTTATCTTTGTCTTTTTGTACCTTGTGGCTAGGTGTGGTGTAGTGATAAATATTGTGGTGATGCATGTTAGAGTGTGATGTGGTATGGTGATGTATTTTGGATGGTCACATGAGTTGTGTGTGATTTTGTGATGTCTGTGTGGTTATATTTGTAGTGTGATGTGGTTCGTGTTGTCACGTGTTGTTGTGTAATGTGTGTCGTGTTGCGGTAGGTGTATGGGCGGACTTTAACAAGCGCAGTCACGGAGTGCCTGGTGAGTCCACAGGCCCCCCCGCTGGAAAGAACCTGTCGGAGGTTGTCAACAACATTGTGTGGGTGCAGCAACTGGAGGCCAAGGTAGCGCGAGCACACGTTATGCAGCACAAACACACGAGCATGGCAAACACAAGCATGTGTGCATGATCATGCGTAGGTATGTACACCTGCATCTGCATATATGTGCTTGCTTTTGATTAGGGCTGTCATACTACAAATAGAATTGTGACAATTGAATAACAAGGATTAGTAGTAATTTCGACATGCCTTGCAAGCTTAGGTATTTGTGAACGTGTACATGTGCCGTGGGTGTATACAGATGCGAGAGACACTGGACACGGCGATGGTGCTGCTGGGCTCGTTGTCCGGGTTTGCCGCGTTTCGCACGGACTCGCTGGCACTGCAGGAGGAGCTTTCGCTATATCGGCGCGAGCACTTCGAGGGGTGGAGCCGTGACACACTCGCCGCCATCGCAGACCCGGATGCTGGTGTTGGGTGAGCTTGGGACGCCACGATAACTGCAGCTCTCAACCTGTAGACATGCACCTTGGTTGTATGTCCCAGGCAGTCCAACATGATTTCATGTGCACACGGTTTATTATCTGTATACCAATTTACCAAACGCGGCCTAGAAGTTTTGAGTTTCCATCGGTAACTACGAGTCCGCAACATGCATTTGCAAATTTCGTGGGGCCACGGGTCTCCTCCGTTAAAGACAGATGGGCGGAGGTAACGCTTTTACACTTTCAACCTGATGTGGAAAGTGTTAAAAATGCTTCAAAGTCACTCAGATGAGTCATAATGATCAATTTACATCACCGTTATAGATTTGAATACATTGTCAATGTGCGTGACTGTTGGTGTGTTGTATGGTTGGGCGGTGTGCCGTAGGCTGCGTGCCAGCGGGCGCGTGATGCAGCTAGAGCCACGGGATGGCTCGCTACGTGTGTGCTACTCAGACCACCTGGCCGCACTTATTGCTGAGGTCCGTCAGCTATCGGCGCTCGGCTACACCATTCCGCCCAAGGTCCTACAGGCAGCTACTACTGCCCTCAAATTTTACCGGCATGCCAACACCCTCAAGCAGGTATGTGGATTCAGGCTAGTCCTGTCATACATTTAGTAGACTAAAGTATTCTATCACAAATGATGAGCTCCACACTCAGACACTGGACTTCACATGTACACAGACACTAGACTATGAACTCACAACTAAACCAAGATGAGATCTACTTATTTTTTTGAGTTGCATCCTTCTCTAAAATTCTTTAACTGACCTAGCCTTTTATCTTTGTTTGGTCAAACCATCATCGTTACTGAGTCATTATGCATTTATTTGGTGTGAACAGGTGGCCCATTTTTACAACACAATCGACCAGCAGATGATCCCGAGTCAGAGACCCATGCTTCTGGAGGCAGCGCTGGCCTTTGAGAAAATAATAAAAGTATGTATACCTACACACACACACAAATTGACAAAGATCCATTCTTTAGCCATACAGACTCTGAAGGAAAGTGCTGTTAGCAAAGATCAATTCAGGCCAGCATGGCACTTATTGGGATGCTTGTTCTCTTTTCACATTTCACCTCTGCATACCCTCATACCTCCATCTTTACAACATCTTGCCATTTCCTTATCTCAGCTGCCGCAGAAACCCTCGGCTACACTTTTATCACATTCTGACTCCGCGATTGCAAATCTCTACTCTATGGCCTACCGAAATCTCTCTAAACTCCAGATGATCTAAAATGCTGTTTGCCAGACTCCTCACCTGCACCTTAAAGCAAAACAACATCACAATACTTAATTCCTTCACTGGCTCCCAATAAAACCCTGTATCAATTTTAACCTCTCACCACCTTCAAGATCCTTAATTGACTGTCATCTACCTACATTTATTTTCTCATTTCATTATACTCCTCTCTACACACTTTCAGTTCCAGCAATCAGAGCCATGTGTTGATGGTCCCAATCAACCTTCGCTCAGTGGGAGATCGCTCATTCTCTTCTGTTGCCCCATAGTCTGGCACGTAATTCTCACAGCTATTCATATTGTCACCTTCCTGCCACTGTTCGAGGTGATACTCAAGACCTTTATATTTTGCTGTGCCTATCACATACTGTCTCTATCTCTATAAAATTAGCATGCCCATTGTTTCTTTACTACACATTGAGATGAGGTTAAGTTTAGATGCTGTTATTACTAACAAATTTTATTATATTGTATTATTCATCTATCTTAAATTAAGAGAGGCAACCCTTAGTCCTGTATCTGATAGTGGCTCACCAACCTCTACTCTCTTGTTTCCCGCTCACACTCCCCTCGTGTTCTTCTCTCACATTAGAAGTCAGGTTCGCGTGCAGAAGGCGGGAGCACGGTGCAGGTGACGTGGGATAGCCCCGAGCAGCTGGAGTCGTACATCGCGGAGCTGCAGCGTGCGGCCGAGACGCTCACGGGACAGAACCGCAGGCTGCGGCGTACCCACCTGGACCTGTGCGACAAGGTGATCCAGCCTGAATTATGTTGTGACAGCCATACACGTGTCTGAAGCTGCAGCCCATGTGTGACAGTGTAACAATATGGGTGCATGTGTACAGTCGAGCCCTGCCTCCTTGTATAGGTACCAACTGGTGAAAGCCCTTCTCTGCCTGGCTGGGACTCAACCAGGGAAGATACTTGATAGTTTTCACTGCAGGGTGCTGTCTAGGCCGACACATCGCTTTCTGTACTCAAGTACTAAGCATAAGATTTTCCATTGTGATCTGTTGAACTTGACCGTAGTTCTAATCTTGACGTGCTGTGTGCTTGTGGGAACATGCCAGGTGGTGGCACTAATGGGTGTGGACCTGCTGAGGCAGCAGCAGAGGTGGAAGTCTGCGGTGCAGGAGATTCGACAGATCACTGAGAATGTAGCCGTGCAGGTAGCCTACACGCACGTGCTCATGCATACACACACACAGATAAACATGCTCACTCGCACATGCATGTACACGTGCGATCTCACAATGCATCCATGCAAATATACACATGCACACATTCACACATGCATGCTCGTACTCAAACGTGCACACAAATGTGGCCATATTCAGTTACATGCACAAGCTCATATACAAACACGTTAACTGTAAAACATGCACACACACACAAACATTCACAATCATGCAGACAATCATGCACAAACATTTGCTCATAGACTAACCTAAGTTTACGGGCACCCGCTTGAACACACTCGTTGACACATTTTTTGCACTAGCGCACACACAAATAAACACACAACCGCCATTCGCCACTAAGTGGCGGTGACACAGGAGGTCACGGGGCAGACCCAGGTGCAGCGGGTCGACACATTACACTGTCACACATGCAAGCGCATACAATGCGCACACACACATAAACACATGGACATACATAAACACGTTCACTCATGCATGCACATGCTGTGACATACACAAAGACAAAGATCCCCTGTATAGCCTTAACAGACTTTTGGGGCAAGTGCTGTTAGCGAGCACCTATGAAGGTCGGCAAGGCACAATAGGGGGTGGCCAGCACTACACCCTGCCGCCTTTGTCTCCCCCAGCAGCGATGTTTTCACATTGCACCAGGTATGCATTTGAGGCTGAGTCGACAAAGGAGAGGCCCTGGACTAATTCAAATAATCGTTACTGGTGTTGGCTGTGAGCGGGATTCAAACTCGGGCCAGTGGGTTCATAGCTACACTATCGCTCCCCACTCTCACATACACAAACACACATGCACACAACCTCAAATGCACATACTCTCATGCACGCATACATGCATATGTACAAAAGAACACGTATATCTTTAAGTGTTGTAGACTCTTAGAGAATGTGCTGTTCACATGCTGCTGTTATGACTGGCATGGCACAATTAGCACGGTTGGCTCTTTCCAGTGCGAAAGGGGTTCATCATACATAGACCTGCCCACTTTTGTCTCCCCATGTTTATGTCGACAACATGTATTAATTTTAGGCCAAGTTTACTTCAGGGAGGTACAGGCCAGTTTCAGTCACCAAATTTGAGTCGTGTTGTGAGTCATGTCTTGGAACTGAATCTCCGTCGCTATGATCATAATGTCGTGGGTGAACCGCCACTACTACACAATTCACAATTAATGCGAACACATATTGTATATTGCTTTCTTTATATGTTGTGCTTATCGCAATGTGTTGTGTGTATTGCAAGTCGTGTGCATGCGTGTGCCAACTGCCATCAGGCACATGTGTGCAGTGTATACTGTAGTGAGTGTCCACATTGTGTGTGTTTGCGCCTGGTGTACAATGTGTTGTGCTCGTTACTTCCAGGTCTTGTGTCGTGTTTACTACATGTAGTGTGTCTCTATATTACACATGTGCATTATGTTTACTGTGTGAAGTGTGTGTACCCATCTTAGGTGCATGCATTGTGTTTGTTACACTTTCGGTGCATTGTATGCCTTGTGGTACATATGTCACGTGCAGGGGGGTGTGCGTGTCGACAACATGGCACCATGGCTGCTGCACTGGGATCATCAGCTGTACAAGGCCCTGGAGCTGCAGTACCAGGCTGGCCTGGAGCGTCTTCATCTGCACCTGCCCGACATTCACACGGAGCTGACCTTCACGTGTGACACACACCTTTAAAACCATCATCGTTTTCACCATTAACATTTCCAGAGTCATGAAGTAATATGGCTACGTATCTAATTGCTAAATTTGGTTGTGAGAATGAATATTGGTGAGCTGAGACAAAAAATTATGGATGTATTAAACACTTGTACACGTGACAACTGAATTTCTTTGGCTGCCATCGGGGGGCTGGAGGGTCTTAACGACACAAATTTGGCCAAATCATTACGTGGCCAAACCCAAAAATAAATGATCGAGGAACATTACTATGAGCAGCCTGACATCACACAAAGTTGATATTCTCTTGAGATGGATGATGACATCGTTCTTGGTCACCATCACTATAATCACCAAAAACATTACCCCAATCATGAATAACATCACTCTTTAACAGCCTGGCATTAACATGGATTTGATCACCTTCTGACAATAACCATCAGCACAACATCACCATCATCACCAATGTTGTTGACTTCAATATCCACCTCTGGTGCCATCACAGTACATTTCTCCAGTAGAGAATTTGTCTTGATATGACCCCTGACCTATAGTGTCGATCTCTCCTTCTTTCCCCCTCCTTACCAATCACAGTCAGGGACGCCTGCAGTTGCGCCCCCCCATAGAGGAACTACGCTCACGCTACTATCGTGAGGTCCGCCGCTTCTTGGGTGCTCCTGCAGCCTTTTTAGGCGTGCGTGGCATCACTGGGCCGACGGCCATCTTCCCGGCCATGGTGGAGCGAAATGAGATGCGATTCCTCGCTGTGTACATGCGTGCCGAGGCCCTGTTCGCTCGCCTCGCTGACGCCTGCACCGCCTTTCAGGTGAACTTGGTCTCTTCATGATGGAGCTCTCACACTTTCCGCTTAGAAGACAACCTGCTATAGTGCATGATACCCACTTAACAGTCCATGAGCCCAGACCAGATGTGTAACTTATTGGTACCACATTAGGTGGAATAACTTTAGTGGTTCCAGTTTCTTTATTTGGCCGATAACAGTGAATTATGTTACAACCATTTTAAATTTAGTGGGTTATTAAATTCACTATTGTTCTTAGTTCTATTATTTTATTACTTCCCTTCTACGTGACTTTACCGAAAGAACCAAGAAGACGAATCCCTGCAGTCACGAAAGCTTTAAATCGAAATTTTATTCACTATTATTAACCAAAAAAAATGATATACTCCTATCGCTTTGCTACCTTTAATAGCTACCATTTTCTGCTTTAGCCCACGGGCTCTGAAATATTTGCCATCTGTAACCTCTTGACCCCGATCTCATATCATGATCTTGTTTTAATAGGGGACATGTTTAATGGACGACTCCAGTTTTACAGATGACTCCCTCCACCACCTCTCCTTTCTCGCCCCCTCTGCTCACATTTCTCAGGAGTGGGTGGTGTTGGGCCAGGTGGATGTGGAAGCGCTCATAGAGAAACACCTCCACACTGTCGCCGACTGGGAGAGGAACTTCCGCTCCCTGAAAACACGTGGCAAGGACGCTGAGAGGCTGCCCTCGTACGAAAACCCCATAATCAAAATGTTCACATTCACATTATTATCAATATGAGAATTAATATTATAACATTTTACGCGATCATCCTTATTCAATCTGGACAGGTGGCTCAGCGGTAGAGTGAACCACTCACAATTTGAAGGTTGCTAGTTCGAATCCTCCGGGGTCGATAAATACCACGTAGTGGTGCAGTCAACAAAGGGTTGAACTATTAATAATCTCACGTCCACCATAGGAATGAGTAATCTCCTCCACCATTGGCTTCGGGCTGTGAAAATGAGATGAGCACCACTTCAATGATCCTTTGAGCAAGAAATCACTTTAACCTTTGACTATCCGCATGAGAAATTACTTAATGAATTGTGGGATCATTGAAATAGTGGATTTTGGCAGTATTTTTTATAGAGAATTTGCATGTAAAAAATAAATCTCAATTCATGGGAATTAGATCTAACAAGCTTAGCATTCATATCGTGCCAATTCTTTGGATTGCTACAAAAATCCTGTTAGTTTGAATGGACTCCCTTTTATTTAACTTTAACTTTCCATTTTAAGAAATTGGGCTACTAATGATAATTCCTAGGTTGTCAAAGGATTACCCATTCATTTTGTGAATTATGCGATGGGCCCCTACCTGGTTATAAATAAATATCAAGTATGTATGTGTGCGTACTAACAGGCAGTTGAAGGTGGACTGCATCGTTGTAAACTGTGGGCCAGTCAGAACATCCATCGACACTCATATCCAGCAGCTGTTTGAGGGTCTTCTGCACTCCCTGCGTGGCTCCATACAGGGTGAGCACACACGGGGACACACAGGGACCAGAGGCATAAAGTGACAATGGAAAATACAGATACATGGACATGAAGAGAAAAGGGGACACACAAAGCCACAAAGGAGAAGGAAACATGGGAAGTCGGGGACCTGATGAGACATGAGCACGAAGAGACCAGGAATAGGGGCTCAGGGGGCATATGTGTGAGTGTCCATATTAAACAACTGCAGTTTTATTGTGGTTGATGTTGTGCTTACGGATTACCAGTGTAGTTGCTTGTTGACTTTTGGTAATTACTTTGGTAGTTGATGATTGATATTTGCCTGTGGCCAACAGTTGTTGCTGGTTGTCTAATGCAGTATCCAATGGTTGCCTGTGGTTGCTGTTTGCAGCACATGTGCAGGAGATGGAGGCGTTCATCTCAGAGGGGAGCCGGAGCCTGACCACACAGCCTCAGACGGTGGAGGAGATTGGCGATGCCCGCAGGCAGCATGCTGACCTTGTGGCACGGACACCACAGGCACGGACCCTAGCCCAACAACAATACAGAGCCACTTAATGACCTACTGATGAGGCCTAGGAGACTGGAATGATGCAAGGGCAGTATTGAGAATTTTCTCAGGGAGACTAGGATTCCAGATAGGATACTTGCCTTCATCACTGAATCATTCATAACTAGCTCAGGGAGTTATGATTTCTAGGTCAACATATTGAGACTCAACAGAAGAAGACTGGCTGTCATAAAGTCTCAGGAAATAGTTCAGGGAATCCAGGATTGATGTATTCATACTCGGCATTATAGAAGACCAGGTTACAAGACTAATGTGTTTTAGGTTGGCTCAAGAATACTCTGTTTCAGGATCAATGCCCTGACACTTAATTGTAGATGCTTAATCTTGATTTGAAGCTTTCGTAACTGCAGGAATCCATACTCTTTGGTTCTTTCAGTAAAGTCACGTAGGTATTTTATTTTCGAGCTACGTGACTTTACCGAAACAACTAAAGAGTGTAGATGTATACTGTGCATGTATGCACATTATACATCTACAAAAGGTATTCGTGTTTATAGTGGCATCTTTAAGTTAACGTCTCATAGACAAATGTTACACCATTTAAGGACTACTCAACAAACCTAATCCTGATTTAGATATTTCCTGGCAGCACCACAACACACTGCTAATAATGCCACTTATCCAGGAAATTTGCTAAGCCTCCAAGCTCTATACTCTCTGGTTCTTTCGCTAAAGTCACGTAGTTAGAAAAAATAATAAAAGAAACACGACGTTTCGGTCGCAACACAAGCGTCCTTCTTCAGTCGAGAAAATGATCTGCTGTTTTGGCTTTACAGTGATACCTCGGTTCACGAACGCTTCGGTTCACGAACAACTCGGTTCACGACCAGAAAATTTCATAAAAATATGCTTCGGTTCACGAACTCCGCTTCGGTTCACGAACAGGAGCCGCGCCCATTTTTATGCTAATTCCAGGCTGTCACATGGTCGTGATTTATTGTAGCAGGAGCGAGCAATGCAAAATCAGCCGAGGGAGTACCCGCCTCCTCCTCCTCCTCGGGGGCTCGCGACACGTGGTGCGCCCGCCTCTTCTGCCCTTCACGCGCAGGCTACACGCGCGCACGCACGCACGCGCGCGGACGTACGCACGCGCATGCACGCGCGCGCACGCACGCGCGCGGACGTACGCACGCGCATGCACGCGCGCGCACCCCGGAATGAGCGGAGAGGCACACATGCGCCAGCTGTGACAGTCATCCCTCTTCACCTAAAAATAAAAAAACCCCGAGCGATGGATTTTTTTCCACGTATTTTCGTCAGCGTTGACCACAGCCCCCCGAAACGATCTCTCCTTGAAAAATCCATTATGCAAAAATGGAATGAGTGCCATGACTTTTTTGAAAAGCACCACCCCAACATAGCTGTCACGAACAGAGTGTTAAATCTCATGAATGATAATGTGGTCTCTCAAAAAAAAGGTCAGAACGGATTAACCGGATTTACATTGAACCCTATGGGAAAATGTGCCTCGGTTCACGACCAATTTGGTTCACGACCAGAGTCATTTCACGAATTAAGTTCGTGAACCGAGGTATCACTGTATATAGGCACGGGAGGGGGGGAAGGGGGTGGGAGGAGGAGTTTTGTCGAGTCGTGGCTGCAGGAGTTCACGGGGGAGAGGGGGGGAGGGTTTGTGGCGTGCAGGGACGGGTGGGGGCTGGCACAGGGGGGAGAGGGGGAAGGGTTTGTGGCGCACAGGGACGAGTGGGGCTGGAGAAATTCGCAGGTCAATGAGCTTGAATTAGTAACCGAAAACCAAGACGACAGCAGATCATTTTCTCACCTGAAGATGGATGCTTGTGTTGCGACCGAAACGTCATGTTTCTTTTATTATTTTTTCTATCTACGTGACTTTACCGAAAGAAGCATAGAGTATGGATTCCTGCAGTCACGAAAGCTTCAAATCAAGACTCCAAGCTCTATTTAAGAAGGGTTCTGCCATTTTATTTTAAATGTGTGTTTTACATGTGGGAATAAACAAGAGTACCTGGAGATATCCCACAACATATTAAGGCTTGACACTCAAAAGGTCCGCAGAGTCCATTTTCATTAACTTATTATCTGTGCTGTTATCTTCAGTTTGAGAGTTTCACATATCTACACAAACCATCCACTGCTGCCTTGAAAGTGGTGGGTCACGCATGCTTGCCACTGGGCCCTGTGACAGTGACTCCGTGTGTGTACAGCTGGAGCCTCTGTTTGTGGAGATGGAGGCGAAGAACCGGTTGCTGCGCTCCGTGGGCGGTGCTGGTGTGGAGCGGTTGTCCGTGCTGCGCGGCGAGTGGGATGGATTCCAGCTACGGTTGCACAACCACGAGCTGGTGCTCAAGGAGCAGGTGAGGGTGGTGAGGGGGATTGGGCAATGGGCTGGTGCTCACGCCCCCTCACCCGTCTGCTCGATCAGTCACAGTCACATGGGTGAAAGCACGTGTGTGAGCATGTTCATGATTGTAATGCTAATGATCTTAATGATGGTGAGTCTGGGCAATACTGGGAGCAGCTGCAATTGGAGTTGACACCGACCGGTTGGTTTGTGATGTTTTTGATGTTGGTATTTAAAGTTTGTGTTTGTGATGTTGGTGATGTTAATGATGTACTCCCGTCCACTTTGCCTGCAGGTGGATCGTATGCGCGGCGCTGTGATGGCGCGCGTGACATCGAGTGCACGCGATGTCGAGCGGTTTCACGCACGGTGGATGCAGCTGCGCCCGAACGCTTCTGCCCTGGAGTCAAGTGATCGTGGAGCCGGGCTCCGCTGCCTGGAGTCGCTGCGTGAGCAGCGTTCTGAGCTCCACGAACTGCTGGTGACGCGTGCCGTCCTCGTGTGAGACTCTGCCCCGGCTCCATATGCTCTCACAGTGCTGTTAAAATTATGCACACCCACCCACATTTCCCACACCCAGGATTTATCATAAAAAGTTCCATACACAGTGAGTTTTGACTCTTATGCATTGATTCTTGTGTGCACTTGATTCTCTTATATTTCTGTCATGTGTGAATTAGACTCATGTATTATTGTATTATAATTTCGTGCATATAATTATTGTAGATGTAATAATCCTATGTATTATTTATTGTGTGTATGCTCACTTCCTGGGTATTCTTCACATGCATAATTCTCTTGCATGACTATTGTGGGTGTGTGTGGCATGTGTTGCCAAGTATGACTGCCATGCATGACTATTGCCCATGTCGCTGTCATATTCACAGCTCCGACTGCCACCACTTTGATGTGGAAGAGCCAAACTCAGAGCTGATTGATGAGGTAACTGTTGTTTTGTCCTTCAGTTAACACATTCAACATTTATTTTTCTTAACCAGGATAGTAAAGATATAAATGAAATATATGTAAACAATAAAAATACATATTTAAAATAGTTTTAAGAGAGATACAGTTTCTGTTGTCTTTGAATATAAGTACACAGGTAGCTCGGTTCATCTGGTGGCACACATCTCCCCACCTGTCAATTTTTTAGATAAAGTGTGCTGACATATCTATCACGGTCATATACACAGCATATGGTCATGTCACAGGCACACATCAAGTTTCTGCATCACTCCTTCCTTTCCTCCTAGGTCTGTCCTCTCACCAATAATTATTTTGAATGTCATTGTAATGATTTATCAGTAAAATCAATGAATTAACATTGATGTTCATGTGCATGATACATCAACTCGTGCACAAATGTATCAATTGACACGTCTATATTTGGGGTTAATGGTATTCATGAGGCAGAAAATGCAAACTACATAACAAAGAAGATAATGTAGAAATGAAATCGTGACCCTCAATTGTTTGTCTTTAAATTTTGGCTAGGTGAATTACTGATGTTCAACTGCCAATGAATTCCTAGCTTAACTACAGGGACCTTCTTCTGTTTGTGCAGGTGACAGCTGATGTAGCTCAGTACGAGGCCATGTGGGGCCAGTACGAGGAATTTGTGACTGCCCTCTCTGACATGGAGAAAGAGGATTGGATATCCTTCAGGTCAGTGCTGGTTAATTAGTCATGAAGCACATGGATTTTTTTTCATCACCGATGGCATCTCACTTCTCTTCAGCCAGGTGAAGATGTCATATTAGAGTGCTGAACTCACAATCGGCTGTGAGTTCAAATCCTGGTTGGGGATTGATTTAGCCTATCCTCTCCAGAGTCCATGAAAAAATAAGTAAAACCAAAATGATTATATGATGGGGGTTTTGTGCGCAATAAATTGTGTTTTGGCTGAAACCAACAACTCATGAGCCCCTGGTTTATTTGTGGGTAGTCAACACTCAGATTTGAACCCTGTATAACAGTAGTTAAAGCTGGTGTTTAAGTGTCAAGTTTGGCTTCGATAAGGGTTTAAATGTAATTTTTGTTTGGATCTCATGCGTGTGTATCAGTTTTGCATTTGAGATTTGTATATGACTCGGGTTTATTTTTTTATTTTTCAAGTTTGTTTTCAGTTCCAAGTTTGTGTGTGAGTTTTCTGATTTGTGTTCGAGTTTCACGTAAAACATTTGAGTCTCAAGTTTGTGTTTTAGTTGTATGTGCTTGAGTCTCATGTTGGTGTGTCCGAGTCTCCAGTTTGCGCTTGAGGTTTACATCTGGGTGCGGTTCATTTCACATTGTCATTCCATGCCTCCCCGCCACCGCAGGTCCCGTTGCCATGTGTTTGAGGAGTTCCTCCTCACTTGGCACGAGCGTCTACGGAAGGCAGCCCCGACGCCAGTGATGATTCGTCTACAGAGCGACGTGGACCGCTACCGCGTTAGTCTGCCCACTGACTTGTAACCCACAACGTGTAACCTCTATTCAACATCAGATACATACACTTCCTTTGAACTCTGATCATTGTAATCTTGGCTTATGTCGTCAGTGCTTCCATATATCATCTTATCATTGTTTTTACTACCTTATACTAATTGCCCTAGTTGTTCCAAAGTTGACACCCAAACTACAAGGTCAACAAGAGTTGCGTTCATAGGCAGTAATACGTCTGAAGGAGGCAGTTCAGCGAGTAGGTGCTGACATTTGTGTTTTTTTTCCCCTTGTGTACGTTTGTGTCTGCTCATAACCTCTCCTGCCTTTATGTGTAGCAACTATTGGTGTTGATGTAATATACAATATTCATGGGCCCGTGTTACATCATGTCCCCTCGTACACTTTTGGTCGTGCAGCTGGTGGTGCCTGTGCTGAAGTTTGTACGTGGGGAGCACCTGTCCGCTGACCACTGGCTGGAGCTGTTCCGACTGTTGGCACTGCCTCGTGGCACCACCCTGGAGCGACTCACATTCTCTCACATCCTGAACTCCACTGATGTCATCCTGCAGCACGCCACTGAACTTAAGGCATGATGCTGATCGATGACATGATGACACAGCACAACAGCGTATTATAACAATATGACACCGTCCTGCATGTCACTGAGGTCAATGGACAATGCATTGTATGTTGTGCCGTGGCACAGGAGCTGAACAGTCGCGCGCAGGGCGAGGTGTCGGTGCGTGAGGCACTACGTGAGCTCGAGCTATGGGGCGCGAGCGCTGCATTCTCTCTGGCGGAACACAGGGAAGTGGAGGGCGGTTCCGTGCCCATCGTGTGCGAGTGGAGGGACTTGCTTGGGCAGCTTGCTGACCAACGCAGCCTCCTGCAGTCTCTCCGGGACTCCCCATACTATCGGTGAGACACTCGGACTTTATTTCACCTGGTAAGACCCAGTGAGCTAAACAGCTATTTTACAATGATGACCAGACAAGATGAGGATGACCAGACATGGGACAACAAGATACAAGAACGACTAGACATGGGGGGAACAGTGAGTCTTTGGGACTTAACGTACTAATGTTAAGACACGAGGAAATAGTGAGAGGCTGTAGAGCAAGATAGAGGAAGGGAGGAATAGAGAAAGAAAATTTGATGGAGTGAAAGAGAAATATTGAAAATGGGGTTTGAGGGAGAGGCAAAAAGACAGAGGTAGTAAAGCGAGCCAAATAAAGAGATAGCGAGTGTGACAAATAGGGGGAAGTAGTGAGGGAAGGAGAACTGTAGGGAGGGATGAAGACTGAATCAGGGAGAAAATGAGGGTAACTGTAAAAATAGCTAATTCTTTGTTAAACACCTTGTCCTTGGTCAAGGCACTGTTTCTAAATTAAACCAATATAAGGATAAAGGAAAAGGCGAAATGGAGAGAGTGTAGTCAAAGTGTATGCCTGCTTTAATGAGCAAGTTATGGTGGAAATGACAAATTCCTATGCCATGGTTGGGGCCAGTTATCCATAGAACCACTGTTGACTTGCCTCGGGAAGAATGATTATGGGCTAAGTTGACTCTTGACTGGGATTAGAATTCACAAACTTTGACTTGCAAATTGAGCAGTCTGCCCTTAGACTCCCTAAGAATAAGGGAGGCCTTTATGTTTGTTTTTCTGTACACTCGTGTGTCCGTGCATCTCTCCAGCGGCTTTGAGGACAAGGTTCAGGTGTGGGAGTCACGTCTGTCAGACCTCGATGAGAGCCTCCACAGCCTGAACCTCATCCAGCGCAAGTGGCTCTACCTGGAGCCCATTTTTGGGCGCGGGGCCCTACCTCGCGAGCACGCACGCTTCTTACGCGTGCACAATGATTTCCGGTACACATGCACACATGGTCTTCATTAAACACACAACGACTTGAAATCGTACAAAGATCCGCCGTATAGCCTGAACAGACTTTTGGGGCAAGTGCTGTTAGCGAGTATCTATGAAGGCCGGCATGGCACACGAGGGGGTGGGTGGCCAACACAACGCCCAGCGCACCAGTCACTTATTTGATGCTGAGTCGACCTAGGGGAGGCCCATAACTGGTTAAAATAATCGTCACTGGTGTTGGCCGTGGGCAGGAATCTAACTCGGGTGGTCGGGTTTTTAGCGCAGCACACTAACTACTCCACTACTGCTCCCTACCTCGTTAATACACATAGACAAAGACACACACAGACATGCTGTACATGCTGTACACCTCCTAGTCACACTGACCTCGGCTCCAACACATCCACCCCCACTCACAACAACAATCACCATTTGTCACTAAGTGGCGGTGACGTCACCACGACGCTTGTGCCAGGCTATGTGCACATTAAGGCCACGTGAAGTGGCGAACGCCCGCTGGCAGGACGTCACGGGGCAGACCCAGGTGCCACGGGTGGACTGACTGAGATGACTGGCTGATGCACCACCTGTGCCTCCTACTGTGCCAACTGGCTGTGCTTTAGCTACCCGGCGCTCTGCTCGGTGTTGTGAGCGTCGTTCCTCCCCCCTCTTGTACCACATGACTCCATCTCTTCTCTAGCCCATGTCGTGCCCATTTAGCCTCCTCGATCCGGCCGAACAAAAGTTGTTTAGTCATGCGGTGGCTGGGCATGCGGGCTACATAACCCAGCCAACGCAGCCTTGCCTGCTGGAGGAGCTCACCGATGGGACTTTGTCCAGATCTTTCAAGGATATGTGAGCTACTCACACAATCCAGCCTGGTTAAACCCAAAATGGATGGTAAGCAGGCCAGTCTAAATGTTTCTAACCGATGAAGATGTTCTATTAGGGGGGTCCACGTTTTGCAAGCATAGAGAAGGGTGGTAATGACTGTGGCTGAGAAGACCTGAAGCTTCGTGTGGAGCGACAGACCAGGTAGCTTCCACACAGCTTTACACAACCAATGATAATGCTGCTCGACTGATTCGGAGTGAGACCTCTGCTGTTAATCCAGAGCTGGTCATGAGCACACTGCCCAGGTATGGGAAACTGTCCACTTTCTCCACAGCTGCCCTATCATCAACTGGGAGTTGTGGAAGTGGAGTGTACAAAATACCCAAGCAGGTGCTCAGTTTTGGTGGGGCTGATGGTAAGTCCCCACCTATTAGTGGCAAGCTCCAGGTTCACCAGCAGCGCCTCCAACTCCTCCTCTGAGTGAGCAGCAATTACCAGATCATCAGCATACGTAACATTGTTGAGCAATAGGGAGCCATCCCTTGATCGCACCCGGGCATCGATCAGCCTCCCATTGTATCTGTACCAGATGGAAATTCCTCCGATACAGCTATTGAAGGCTTCACGAACTACGTGGTCGAAATAGATGTTAAGTAATGTGGGAGCCAGAGGACATCCCTGTCACACCCCAAAGTGAACAGGGAATGGCTCTGACTCCCGGCCACGTAGTTTTACCCAGGCCCGCTCACCATCATGAAGGTCCTTAATGATCATGAGCAGTGGGTCAGGGACTCCGAAAGCTCGAAGAACAACCCAGAGCCCAGGCCTACTGATGGTATCATAGGCCTTGACCAGGTCAATAAAGCAGAGATATAGGTCTTGTTCGAATTCCCTACACCTCTGCTGATGCAGACGGACAGAAAATATGGAATATGTGCAGGATCGTCCTTTCCTGAAACCACATTGGGGCTCTGCAAGCCTCTCCTCAGCGTGCTTGGAAAGGCGATGTTGAATAATCCTTGCCAGGACCTTTCCCGGCACACTGAGGAGTGAGATGCCCCTGTAGTTGTTACAGTTTGTGCGGTCTTCCTTCTTAAAGAGGGAGACCCCTAGGGCATCCTTCTAATCCTGCAGAACTCGTCCAGTGGTCCAGACTGTTGTTATGATATCATGTAGGGCAGTGTGTGCACAAACGCCACCCTCCCTTAGCATTACGCTTGGAAGATCATCTCTGCCCGGTGCCTTTCCTTGTCTCAGGCTCTGGATCGTCTTCAGTACTTCCTCAACAGATGGCACCTCAGCCGGCCCCTCACAGGGTGTGACTTCTTCCAATATTTTAATCACCGCAGCCTCAGTAGGGTCATCCCCACTTTGTCCCATGATGTTTTCCAGGTTGAGGGATTTCCCCTCCCCCAGGACCCCACGGAAATGCTCAGCAAATCTGCAAACCTGTTCTTGGGGGTCGGAGATTGGATCACCATTCTTTCCCCTAATCATGGCAATAGGTGTGGCGCTGCAGGTAACTTTTTTGATGGAATTAAAGAGCGATTTGTGATCACGGGCCGTTGAGGCAGACTTAATCTCCTCAGCAACCCACGACCACCAACCATCCTTGCAGCGCCTCACAGCTCTCCGAACCTTTGAGTGAAGGCTGCGGTAAGCCTCCTCATTCTTTGACGTGGGATGCTGTAGACGATGAGAGTGGGCCTGTCGCTTTTTCTCAGCCAGCTAGAACACCTCTGTCAGCCCGGATCTCTGAGGAGATCTGGACCATGTACCCAAAACAGCCATTGCAGCTGCATGAGCCACAGTCCTAAACCTCACCCATCTGGAGGAGTGGGGGACGATGCTAACCCCAGCCGCAAGCAATGATGAAATTCTCGCAACTTTTATCAGCTAGCTGAGACCATGCCACTATGGGTTTTGAATGGGGTCCTGGGTGTACACCCACCACCGGAGTGGAAGAATGGCAGGCGCATCATACAGATGACAAGTCGATGGTCAGTGGGCAGATTTGCCTAATTTTCTGGCAAATCGCCCGATGATGCTGGATGTAATTACCAGCGAAACGTCGTACTCAGATTGTAAATGTGGATTCACTCTTCAACACACCGGTGGGCTGAAGTAATAACTATTTGGCGTTTTGTTTACTTGACAACTACCCCGTATTGCTTGGCCGTGTCGGGTGGGGGAGGGTTTCGACACATTTATACTTATGCGATCTAACCCAAAAACCCTTATTATGAATAATATTGGTTGCGAAAGCCTAGGTGTTAAACTGACTAGTATTATGATTTCCCCGATTTGATTGAGTGTATGGCTTGGTTGATGAACAAGCATCTGTGTCACCTGCTGCTTCCCCCAGTGACATAATGAGGGAAGTGTCAAGAGACATGCGCCTGCTGACGCTGGTTGCTCGCCCGGGTATCAAGCGGACACTCTCGGCCATGCTGGACCAGCTGCAGCGCTGTCAGAAGGCGCTCAATGATTTCCTGGAGGTAACAATCGAACAAAGTTCCCCCATATAGTTTTAACACATTGTTGAGGAAAGTGCTGTTAGCGAGTACCTATGAGTGGCACATTCATAGGAACACTAGGACATGTTCATAAACATACTGATACATACGCACAAATGTACTCTAAAACTCGCCCATACACACATCGATACAGGCAGTCATCGCTTAAGGTTGGGGTTGTGTTCCTGCAAAATGCAACTCTACGTTAAATATCGTTAAGCGAAACCTATTTTCTCATAATAAACAATGTAAACAGGGGAGGTTATGTTCATCGGAAATTTCCCATCACACTTAACATAATACACGTTCTTAAAATACATATTTAATGGAAAAACTAATGATAAACTGGTGATTAACTGTAGCTATACGTAGAGAAAGGTTAGTTAGCACTAACTAGTGATGATTGTGGAGTTTGCTATCGGTAGAGTAAGGTGTTGGATTCACAGGGACACATCCAATGACTTCTGCACAGCTTTCCTCTTCTTTTCTAGGTCAAGTTGCTTAGAGTATTGCAATATATATTTCAGTTGTTTTACAGCACATTTAAGCACTGTACTCCCTGCTTACATTATCCCCACTAAAAATGTCCACATCTTGTCGAAGGTGTGACAAATGTAATACGTTTTGAAGGCTGTAATACCACCCTGATTCACCACCCTTGTTCTTTAAGTCCTTAAACTTCGTGCCATTGCCTCTATCAAAAGTAAACTGAGAGGAATGTGCCACTGATTTTGATCTTCAATCCACACTGATAAACAGACACTCAATATCTTCTCATGCAAAGTGTCATAACACCTTTAATTTGGGTTGCACAGTAATTACCTTCGTACAGATCTTAGTCCTTGAAACAGTAGGATCACTTCTTGGTCTTTTAGCACTCATGTTGGTAAGGGATGCAGTGACAAATAACCTCAAATAAGAACAAATATAGTCCACAATGAATTCAGATGAGGGTACTCTGCTGTGTACTGTATCATTCCATGTACCACTCAGCCACACAGCTCAAGAAAGCGAGGACTTACCGTACAGTATGCCCGCGTTGAGATACACTTGCAACATATGTGCGACACAGCTGCCTCGCTCTCTGCCGTGGAAAGTAGTTCTTGCTGGCAGCGACGTTAGAGTGATACCACACGATGTTAAACGTATACGAGGGTAGTAATTAGTGACTTTATAACGAAACATCGTTAAACAGGCCAATGTTAAGCGAGGATTGTCTTTACTTGCCTGCATATACATACAGAAATTCTTGTACAACCGTAAATGCATCGCATACACAAAACATCGTGGTGAATCTTGATTTGAAGCTTTCGTGACTGCAAGAATCCATATTCTTTGGTTCTTTCGGTAAAGTCACATAGGCAGACTGTTTTAAAACAGTTGGTCTGCTGCTGAGGCAGACTGTTTTAAAACAGTCTGCCTCAGCAGCAGACCATGCATTCCCACCTGATGACGGACGCTTGTGTTGCGCCCGAAACGTCGTGATTTATTTTATTTTATACCTACGTGACTTTACTGAAAGAACCAAAGAATATTGTGGTGAATGGTAGCTCATCCACTGGCTGCATGGGTGATGTCAGCCCATTACATACACTACATATAAATACAAAAAACATAGATTCTTACATGTGCAGTCTGACAGTGTAATGAGCACTGAATGCGTGCGTTCCAAACCTGCTCACACCCACACGTGCTTGTACACATCCACCCATACTCAAGCACATATACTAGTCCAGAGTGATCCTACATTTACTTATGTGTGTATGTGCATACCCACACTCCTTTGCTGTTCTTGTTGCGCCTGTGGCTGTGGTACAATATTGTTCTTACCGTGCAGGAAAAGCGATCCACCTTTCCGAGGTTTTACTTCATTGGTGACGATGACCTGCTGGAGATCCTGGGCCAAGCAACCAACCCCACCGTCATTCAGGCACACCTCAAGAAGCTGTTTGCCGGTGTGTGAACACGTGCTTGCATCTACTTTTGTGCGTGTGTGTGCTCGTGCCCATGTTTTATCGTTTGCTTGCTTGAGTATGGGTTTTGTATTTTGTGGGGAGTGGTGGTGCAGTGGTTAGTGCGCTGTGGATGTGTGCTTTGGTTGAGATTTGTTTTATTGCGTGTGTTTAATAGTTTAAATAGCCTCTTATCTCGCAACAAGAAATTGTGCACAAAGGTAATTGGATACAGAATAATGCATCATTTGGAGGCCAACCAACCCACAAGAGCACAAGAGCAAATAAGGTTTAGGAAAGGTATCTCTCCCATTGACCATGTTGAGACAATGGGCTTGGGCAGGAAATATCCCGAGAAGGGATGATGGACCGGTGGTCAAGACTAATGTCTCGATGGCAGTCAAAGGAGGGAATATGCCCAAGAAGGAGTCCACCTTCGAGGATGGTGGTGAGGTATGAGAAGCTGTAAGTCCCACACTACTGTGGGCTCACCTTAACAACGGGAGGCGAGGAATGGTGGTGGTGATGGCTAATGCCTATTCCGAAGATAAACATCTGTGGTAACATGCAGGCAAAGCCGATGAGTCGGGTCCCTTCTATGACCTCCTGTCACAGGTGCTGGCTAAAGTGGCACCTTGAGATAGAGTCATCCTATTGGGTGACCTTAATGTCCGAGTGGGTGATGATGCGGTCACCTGGTCTGGAGTGATTGGAAGACATGGGCCGGATCAGCTCAATAACAACAGTGGGAGTCTGCTCGACTTCTGTGCAGTCTATGGGTTTGTAATTACCAACGCGCTGTTTAGGCACCGGCACATCCACGCAACATCATGGATGCTCGCCAGGTCCAAGCAAGAACATCTGAACCTTATGGCGGGACCCCGGGGTCCCATAAGCCCCCAGCTCTCACATAAACATTATATTATAATGTAAACAAAAAGTTTGCTCTTTTTCACCAATGGGTCTGAAGGATGGTGGCAAGTGTTGTCTTGTTAAACTATGCATTTAAAACTGAAAACTACTTACCTGCAGTACCTCTATTTAAATACACGATCGAAAAATGTTTTACACCCCTCTGTCAATCATCGTGTTTCTCAGTGTGGATTTATGAACACACTTTGTAAACAGTACGTAAACTAGTACACGTTTTCAATGCGCTGTTCCTATTTTAACAAGTGTTTATACCAATGTTACTCTACAGAGTAGTGGGTCGCTGCTTCTCTTATCCACATTGATACGAGCGGTATGTGGGGACTATGGCTTAACCGCAAAAAAAAACTATCTACACAGATGCATACGGAGAAGACAAGTTTTATTAAACAGGAGGCATTAACAGTGCAACACATCTCCTCTGTGAAATATCTGCAGGTAATAGGATTGTCATCGATTGATCCTGGCTGCAGATATTGGTAGGTCACAAATAATAATGAAGATAAGAGAGCAGTTTCACTGTATTATGCATACCGTGGTGACAAATAAAGGACTTAAGTCATGTAGGCAGTTTGAGCAGCTTTGGATAAGACTTATGATCCTGCCCATACCCGAGCGTGGAGTGCATCGCATGCAGCTGGGGTTGGCATCGTTCCCCCCTCCTGTTGATGCCGAGGGGAAATGGGTGAGGTTTAGGACTGTGGCTCATGCAGCTGCAATGGCTGCTTTGGGTACGCGGTCCAGACCTCCCCAGAGAGCCTGACTGACAGGAGGTGTTCCGGCTAGCTGAGAAAATGCGATTACAGCATCCCACGCCAGAGAATGAGGAGGCTTACCACACCCTTCGCTCGGAGATTCGGAAAGAAAGCTGTGTGGCGCTGCAAACATGAGTGGTGGTCGCGGATTTCTGAGGAGGTGAAATCAGCCTCAGTAGCCTGCGATCACAACTCGCTCTTTAATTCCATCACAAAAGTAACTTGCAGCACCACACCTATCACCATCCTTCGGGAAAAGAATGGTGATTCCATCTCTGACCCCCAGGAACAGGTTAACTAATTTTATGAGTATTTCTGTGAGGTCTTGGGTGAGGGGAAATCCCTCAGTCCAGATTACATAGTTTGGCAAGGTGGGGATACCCTTGCTGGGGTTGTGGTGCCTCAAATATTGGGTTAGATAGAGTAAATATAAATGTGTTATTAAATCCACTATCACCTGACACAGCCAATTAGTAAGGTTTGTCACGTAAAAAAAACACATGCTAATTTGTTACTAGTTCAGCACAGGGGTGTGTTGGAGAGTAACCCCACATTTACAAATCAAGTATGACATTTCGCGGGTAATTAAAACCAGACTCATCAGGTGAAAGCCATCATTGTGGAGAATTCCTCGTGTTTCGGTCTTAAATAGAAGGGGTAAATGTGATGTCATCACTGTTAGCCAACGACATGTTAATATTTACGCGATCTAACCCAAACAAAACCTATTATGGATAATATTGGTCACGAAAGCCTTTGTGTGATATTGGAAGAAACTGTCACTCCATGTGAGTGGCTGGCTGATGTGCCCTCTGTTGAAGTAGAGAAGGTGTTCCAAAGTCTAAAACCAGGAAAAATGCCGGGCAGGAATGATCTCTCAGGCGAACTGCTGAGGGAAGATCGCGTTTATGTGCAGATTCCCCTTTATGTCATTATTACAATAGTCTGGACCACTATCCAGTGGTCCAAGATTGGAAGGATGACCTTGTGGTCCCCTTCTTTAAGAAGGGGGACTGCATAGACCTTAACATTTACAGGGGCATCTTCCTCAGTGTGCCAGGAAAGGTTCTGGCAAGGATTATTCAACATCGCCTTGCCAGGCATGCTGAGGAGAGGCTTGCGGAGCCCCAATGTGGTTTCAGGCCAGGGCTGTATTGCACAATTGCCAAAAAAATTATGTCTGTCTGATACAGCAGGCCTCTGGGTTGTTCTTCGTTCTTTCAGCATCCCTGACTCTCTGCTCACAATCATTAAGACCCTTCATGATGGTGGGCAGACCCGGGTAAAGCTTCATGGCCAGGAGTCAGAGCCATTCCCTGTTCACCTTGGGGTGTGACAGTGATGTCCTCTGGTTCCTACAATATTTAACATTTTTCAGAGAAGTTTTCCATGGCTGTACCAGAGCAATTTCCATCTGGTACAGATACAATGGGAGGCTGATCGATTCCTGGGTGTGGTCGAGGGATGACTCCCTATTGTTCAACCATGTTATGTATGCTGATGATCTGGTGATTGCTGCTGAAACGGAGTTGGAGGTGCTGCTGCTGAACCTGGAGTGTCCTACTAAGAGGTGTGTCCTTGCCATCAGTCCCATAAAAACTAAGCATCTGCCTGGGTATTTTGTGTCATCAAACACTCCACCCCTCAACTCCCCATTGGTGATGGGGCAGTTGTGGAGAGAGTGGAAAAGTTTTTATACCTGGGCAGTATGCTTATGACCAGCTCCAGTTTTACAGCAAATGTTTCACTTCGAATCAGTCAGGCAGTTTTATCTTTTCATCAGCTGCGCAATACTGTGTGGAGGCTACCTGGTCTGTTGCAACATCTGCGCCGGTTCAAAACCTTTAGGCTGGCGTGCCTACGATTCATCCTGGCATTAACCAGGTTGGATTGTGTGAGGAGCTCACAGATCCTTCACAAATCTGAACATAGTCCCATCGGTGAGCTCCTCCAGCAGGCAAGGTTGCGTTGGCTGTGGGGCATGTAACCTACATGTCCAGACACCGCATGCCCAAAAAGCTTTTGTTTGGCTGCATAGAGGGGGCTAAACAGGCATGACACGGGCTAGAAAAGAGATGGACTGATGTGATACAGGAGGATATGAAGCTGAGTGGACTTGCCAATGACTGGTAACAGCGGGGTCAAGATCGGTTTTTGTGGAGGAGGCTTGTGAAGAACACTCCTGGGTAGTTGGAGGCAGTTGCCCCCCAACAACCACGGTGGGCAGAGGAGTGATGCTCATAATAACGAGCTGAGCACCGGGCAGCTGAAACACAGAAAGTTGGCACTGTAAGGGCACAGTTGGTGCATCTGCCAGTCTTCTCAGTAAAGCCATGGCACCTGGGTCTGTCCCGTGACCTCCCACCATTGAACCTTTGATACTTGATGTGGCCTCAAAGTGCACATAGCCTGGCACAAGCACGATGGTGATGTCACTGCCGCTTAGTCGTGAATGTCGGTTGTTGTTATCTGTGGGGAGCAGTAGTGTGGTGATAAGCGCGCACTCTGAATCTCGTGACCCGAGTTCGATTCCTGCTCATGGCCTTAAATAACACCCTCATGTGTATAAACATCAGCACTGGGGAGACAAAGCTGGCCGGTCTGGTGCTGGCCACCCCCTTGTGTGCTGTGCCAACCTTCACAGGTGCTCGCTAATAGCACTTACCGCAAAAGTCTCTTAAGGCTTTACACGGGGATCTTTTTCTCTTGTGTGCAGGCATTCACAGCGTCGAGTTTGATGATGGCTGTCATCACATCATGGCTATGCGATCTCTGGAGGGGGAGTTGGTGCCACTCAGACAGCAAGTGGAGGTCACGGCTGACGTCGAGGTGACAGCTTAGCTTCCCCACCAGCGTCATCGCTACCATAAATACCAATTTTCAACACTACCAGAAAAAAAAAACAAGTTTCATTGCTACCACAAATATGCTGTCTTCACCACGAGCAACACTACGAGCAGCACGACTATCATCACCATAATCAACAGATCTTCAGAAACAGTACAACACTGCCAGTGATGCTATGAACACATTTCATACCACGTTTATCACCACCAAATAACACTAATAGAAACTATATAAGCATGAGGATCATCACCTTAATCAACATTACAATCACCACGATCATCGCGATCTTCATTTCAGAAACTCTTTCTGCGATGTTATTATCATGACTATGACTATTAACACCAGCAACTCTACCAACACGACACATACCGACAACACAAACAGCAACACTTCTAGAAGTTCCATTAATACTACAATCTTTAATGCTGGCAACAGCACTACCATACACAAGACCAGCGGTTTGTGCAATTTTCGTGCGTGATGTCCTCAGCGTTAATGAGGTGTGTGTGTGGCTCTTGGTGTCCAGGTGTGGCTGGGCACGTTGGCTGAGGAGATGCGGCAGACACTGAAGCAGCTGCTGGTGCAGTGTCTGAAGAATGGCAAGAGTGGGGACATTGACCCCTCTCAGTACCCATCTCAGGTTCGCTCACACACGTGCACTCATTCACACATACACATGTGCTCTGTAGTGGGGAATGATGCATTTATTCATAATTAATATTGATTGCTCAGCTCAATACATTCATGAAATCATGTGGAAGGAATGTTTTATTCTTTTATCAATTTGCATCACTTCTACAGCCACTAGATTGGCTCCCATTCAGAGTCAGAATCTTATTATATCCTGGAGAAATCCGATGAGCTATGAAGTTATTTTTTCACAGATGTCTAGTAGGGACGGGTCAGAAGGTTTGTTCATTGTTATACCCCTAATACATAATACGCACACCCACACGCATATTTACTCATGCACACACTTGAATACACACTCGTACCATGCCTTGGTGTGTGTCTCACGTGTTCCCGGGTGAGCAGGTTCTGTGCTTGGCTGAGCGAGTCCGATTCACAGGGGATGTGGAACGAGCGCTGCCGGCGTTGGGGCTGTCTCAGCTGGAGGTGGAGTTGCGTGAAAAGATCCAGGCATACACGCGTTTCACCGGTACACACACAGGTACGCACACATACAGATACACGAGGTGAGTTGCCACTTGTCTTCATTCATCTGATTCCAGGGGCTATTAGATGCTGACCACTTCTGGTTGTGAGGTATAATTTGAAGCTGCACTTACACCATCTTCCTCTGGCTCGATTCGCATGTCCCCAAGTGTCTGCACGTCTCTGTGTGTACCCGTTACAGACCCGGTGCTGGCGCTGAAGCTGAAGGCGCTTGTGCTCGACGCAGTGCATGCCCTAGATGTGGCGCAGACCCTCAACACAGCTGGCGCCAGAGACATCCACCACTGGGACTGGCAGAGACAGCTCCGCTTCTACATCCGCTCTGACGGAACTTGCGTCACACGCATGGTGGATGCTGAATTCCTGTACACCTATGAGTACCAGGTATGTGTGGGTGCATATTTGGATGGTGGTGCATTGGTTCATGCAGTGCTCTGTGAGGCCAATAACCAGAGTTCGATTTATGGTCACAGAAATTATTGTCACGAATATTGCTGGAGGAAAGCTTACCATGTGTTGTGTTGGTCATTGGATTGTTTGAACATGCTTCATTACGCTGGCTAGTGTGGCTTAGTAAAAGGGAGGCCCAGGACCAATTCAAATACCACTCATAACTGAGTGCGCGAACCACTATGGTACCATTCCACCCATTGCTCTTTATTTTTATGTACATATGTTGAACTTCTTTCGCACTGTATGTAGCTAACTATGCTTAACTGGAGGTGCCGGGGAAGGACAACAAACTAAACACAAAAAGTAGTTCTCAAGATATGGGTTTTCAATCTACATTTAAAAGTGTATAGGTCCAGTGGCTTCCTCATGTTGGAAGGAAGGGCATTCTAGACAGCCGCCGAATCGCATCTAAAAGCGCGCGATGCAGTGGCCGTCTTAAATGGCTAGCCAAAAGCCCCTGCGAGGATGACTTGGATTCGCGTGATGGTTTATGCTCCTTGACGATATCAGCTTACCTTTGATCTATTGCCCATTGTATTCCTCTTTCCTCCCCTCACCCCAACTCCTTTCTGGCCCTTCCCTACCCTTTCGTGGTCCATAAGTACCCTATGTCGTGGCCACTCATTCCTAAATTCTTGCACTCCTTGCCATCTACGTCTTTCTATTCTGTCACGATTTTTTGTAAACTATGTCAAGCACCTTGAGCGAGAGCACTCGATAAATATTAAATTTGATTTGATTAAATATATCCAGAAACACCTCGTTGAGTCTTAAAACTCTTTTTTCAGGAGGGTCTTGCATTGGGATTTTGACTAATTTTATGCGAGTGGCATAATTTAAGGAAACTGGAACACGAGAAAGACTTCGTCTCCATTGAGTGCCTTGTAGAGTGTGAACATCAGTATTGAGGAGACAGGCAACCAGCTGTGAGGCCAGCCACATCACCTGTTAATGTGCTGTTCTGGCCTTCACAGGTACTTGTTAACAGCATTTACCACAGCAGTCTGTATGGTTATGAAGGAGATATTTGTCTTTATATACATGATGCGCTAATGAGGTACAAATGTTTCCAAGAGTTAAGTGGACTTGCAACTGACGATTTCAGAATCGGCCTCTTTGGAGGAAGCTAGTGAATGATGCTAGGAAGCAACTGGTGACAACTGGACTGTGGCAGCAACAGGAAGTGGAGGATCAACATCATAAATTAATTTCCTGAGTGAAGCCCATTGAGCTGAGAAGCTCTATTTCAAGGGCGATTCTGCTGGCAGACAACATAAAATAATTACACAATTACATATTTAAAAAACAAACACTTAGAAATATCAATTATTTTGTCAAATTGCATTTACACTTAGACTTTAGTGATTTAAGAGTCAGCAGACTCGAGGTGCCATTAGATGAAACCAGGTGGTTCAAAAACTTTGGGACAGCTATATTAAATGATTTTGAGCCAATTTGTCTGTGAAATCTGGGTACTGTTAACAGACAATCAGATGCCTGTCGCAGATTTTTTGGATTGTCTCATGGTAATAATAGGTCAAGCAAGTAAAGAGAAGATCTTTGGACAATAAATAGCCTTGTGAATAAAAATATCCCGGTGAAAATGTCTTCTGACCTTGGTTGAAATTGTCTCTGTGTTTGTATATGTGGACAGAGGTTCTCTGCAAGCCATCTGGCTAGCATGAGAGATTCGTTCATGAGGCTATCCACATATACAAACAAAGACAATTTCAATCGAGAAGATGGATTCTGGCTTAGCAATCATTTGAAGGATTTGATAAACCATTTCGGGTCTTAATTGATTGTGTTCACGCTTACGGTGACTTTCAGACCGCATTTCATTTTCTGCTCCCCCCTCCTCTTTACCGAACATAGATGGACTCATACTCGTCCATCTGAACAACTGCCAAATCACTGTCCGTGGTGTTAGCGTTAAGAAAAAAACGCCACTTTTGTCAAATTTTCTTGCTGTAGTTTTCACACCTGATGATGATTGCTTGTGTTGCAGTGGAAACGTCGTGAGAATTTTATTGTTTTATATTTTTATTATTTTATTGTTTCCCTTCTACGTGACTATACCGAAAGAACCAAGAATAAGTAGTTATATGTGTGATGCAGCTCTCAAAGTTTTTGGTCAAAGACAAAAACAAAAAAATGTCTCTTCTTTGAAAGGTTCTCGACCCTGTACTAACCAAACTAGATGGCATGTCTTACTGGTTAACAACATTAAGTTGATCACAAATATTTTTTTACTCAAACCAATGCATATTCTCAAACCATAGTTGATCAAGAGAAGCCAACAAGATGTTGTGATCAAGTGTCAAAGGCCTATGATAAGTCAAGGAATAATTCTTCACAGTTTTGTTTGTTACGTAAACTATTGAAAATATAGTTTCATGTATCAACAATTGGGCCCAATTGATACATTTCTAATTTGAATGTATCACATTTATTTAAAACCTCATGAATATGTATATGAATAATTTCAAATCCTATTATATAAACAAAAAATCTAATGAAACGTAGTAACTGCTGGTTGTCGCAATACATAATTTGGTCCAGGGTTAGGTTCAATTCCTGTACTTCACAATAGCAGTATTAAAACACTTATACCCAGGATTTTACACATTTATCTCAATTACTAGATTTAATAATCTAGTACTTGACAAATCTGGAAAACAAAATATTTTTTAAAGGTTGTGTCAAGTATAAGACATACAGTTTATCATACAAGGGTGGGAAGGTAAAGTATTGTGAAATTTTAGATAAAGAAGAACACTTAAAGAAGGCAATGTGTAAATCATAACAGGCAGTAGAAATGGCTGAATATGATGAAAACTGCAATGACAAACTTAAGAAATAAAGTGAAGCGAGTAAAAATGATAATGCCATAATAAATATAGAATAAAATTATTTCTTTACAATCATGATTTGAAGCTTTCGGGACTCCGGAATCCATACTCTTTGGTTCTTTCGGTAAAGTCACGTAGGTATAAATTAAATTAAATAAAACAAATCACGACGTTTCGATCGCAACACAAGCGAACTTCATCAGGTGGGGCAACTACAGCAAGAAAATGCTGAAGTCGGCGGGAGAGCTGCAAATTGACACCAGGAAGCACAGCCCAGGCAGGGCCAGGAGCACTATCCCAGGCAGCACGGCAACCCAAGTAGACCAGCATTCAAGCAGGCAGACCGGCAGGCAGTCAGGCAGACCCGACAACCAGACCAACAGACAGGCAGGGTGCCATCAACTCCAGGAGTCCAGAAGGCAGGCCGGCAGACCAGTCCATATACCGATAGGTCAGCAGCGCAGGCCGATGGGCCAGTAATGCAGACGGGCAGCCAGCAGAACAGGTTGGCAGGCAATCCAGCAACCCAAGTAGGCAGACTGACAGCAATATCAGGCAGGCAGCACTGGCAGTTTCCACGCTCTGAGCAGAGTGTCGGAGTAGGTACAGCACAGCCAGTTGGTGTCTGTTCCCGATCATTCATGTACCATCCTCTGTGTCTCATGTGTGTCCTGTGCCTTCCCAGGGTAATGCCCAGCAGCTAGTACACACCCCACTCACAGACAAGTGCTACCTGACGCTGACACAGGGCATGCGCATGGGGCTCGGTGGAAATCCCTATGGCCCCGCCGGCACTGGCAAAACCGAATCCGTCAAGGCACTGGGTGGCCTATTCGGCCGCCAGGTCCTTGTCTTCAACTGCGATGAGGTGAGGATGCACACTGGCAGGCATGGTACGGGCATATGCACTGAGTGGGTGAGTGTGAATGTGTCACCAAGTGTTCAGTAACTCACCTTATTTAAGTAAAAATGTACTTGTATAAGTTTAGTCATTTACCATTTCCTATACACAATTGTTTTTCAAGGATGTGGGAATGGGTTCTATGTGTAAAGTGTGTGAAAGTTTGTGTGAGTGGGTGTTTGTAAGTGGAAGTGTGATTGGGAGTGTGTTCAAGAGAATGGGACCATGTATGTGTGTGTGACTAATCATAGTGAATGTGTGTGTGTTGAGAACAACTTCCTACCTCCTCAGTGGTGCTGGACGGTAACGCTGTGGTGGATGTGAGCAATGCCATGGAGGGAAGGCCAATTCCAAAATCGGTTATTCCCCTCATGGCGCTTGTAGCCACCACAGCAGCCAAATGGGGACTCTGGATGGGTGCGAGGGGCTAGTAAGCTCTCTACCTTCAATTCAACTACTACTGAACTACGTGCAAAATATAGAACAAAGCTTGTGCCGGAGGCCCTGGAGGGACAGGCGTCTATGACGTTTCCTGGCCAAACCCCATTTTGCAGAGCCAGGAGACTGAATTCTTATCCTCAGGGTTCCTCCACAACAAGCAATAAGCCACTTCGAGTGGCCATGTGGAATGTTCGAACGATCACTGAAGAGGAAAGGCTGTCACTCCTCTGTCGGGAGCTGGACCGGTACTGCCTGGATCTCTGCCTGTATTCAGGAAGTCCTGTGGACTGGCTCTGGCTCCAGTCACCATGAGGGGTGGACAGTCGTCTTCTCGGGGCAGGAGAGTTCAGGGAGTCGCAATTCTTCTGAACAAAAGAATGAAGGGGGCGTGGGAGCGTCACGGTGAGGTGTGGAAAGCTGTAAGCACCAGGATATTGTGGGCTCACCTTCCAATCGACCAGAGGCGAGGAGTGGTGGTGGTTGCTTACGCCTCCACCAAAGATGAACATGAGTGGAGGGATGCAGGCAAGGCCGATGAGTCAGATGCCTTTTATGACTTCCTGTCACAGGTGCTAGATAAAGTGGCCTCTTGGGAGAGTCATCTTGTTGGGTGACTATAATGCCCGAGTAGGTCATGATGCTGGCACCTGGGCATGGGCCAGATCAGCTCAATAACAACCGTAGGAGGCTGCTAAACTTCTGTGCAGCCCATCGGCTTGTAATTACCACCGCGCTATTCCAGCATCGGTGCATCCACACAACGTCATGGATGCTCGCCGGGTCCAAGCAAGAACATCTGCTGGACTATATCGTGGTGGAACAGCAGATGCGGGCCCATGTCCTTGACACCAGAACTAACATGGACGTAATCTGACTACTGACGATCGACTTGTCATCTGTAACATGTGCTTGCCTTAGTGTACACCATCGCTTGCAGCTGGGGTTGGCATCGTCCCCACTTCCTGATGCCTAGGGAAAATGGAGGAGGTTTACGACTGTGGCTCATGCAGCTGCAATGGCTGCTTTGGGTACACGGTCCAAACACTCCCAGAGACCCTCGCCAACAGAGGAGGTGTTCCCACTGGCTGAGATAAAGCAACAGGCCCACCCCCACCATCTACGGCATCCCATATCAGAGAATGAGGAAGATTACTGCAGCCTTCGCTCAGAGGTTCAGAGAGAGAGCCATGCGGCGCTGCAAGGATGAGTAATGGTTGCGGGTTGCTGAGGAGATGGAGTGTGCCCACGGTCACAAATCACTCTTTAACTCCATCAAAAAAGTTACTTGCAGTGCCACACCTATCACCATCATAGGAGGAAAGAAAGGTGACCTGATCTCCGACCCCCATGAATAGGTTTGCAGATTTATTGAGCATTTCTATGAGATCTTGGGGGAGGGGAAATCCCTTAGCCTGAAAAACGTCGTGGGGCAACGTGGGGATGACCCTGCTGGTGCTGTGGTGCCTCAGATATTGGAAGAAGTAGTCACCCCCTGTGAGTGGCTGGCTGAACTGCCATCTGTTGAGGAAGTATGGAAGGCGATCCAGAATAGGAGACCAGGAAAAAAACACTGGGTAGAGATGATCTACCAAGCAATATGCTGAGGGAGGTTGGCCTTTGTGTGCAGATTGCCCAATTTGACATAATAATTACTGGATGGGTTCCGCTGGATTGGAAGGATGCCCTGGTGGTCCCCCTATTTAAGAAGGGGAACCGCACAGACTGGATCAACTACAGGGGCATCTCCCTCCTCAATGTGCCGGGAACGGTCCTGGCAAGGATTATTCAAGATCGCCTTGCCAGGCACGCTGAGGAGAGGCGTGCGGGGCCTCAATGTGGTTTTAGACCAGGGTGGTCTTGCACAGATGCCATATTTTCTGTCCATCTGCTACCGAAAAGGCATATGGACTTCTAACAGGACCTACATCTCTGCTTTATTGACCTGGTCAAGGCCTCTGATACCATCAATAGGCCTGGCCTCTGGGTTGTTATTCATACTTTCGGGGTCCCTGACTCTCTGCTCACAATCATTAAGAACCTTCATGATGGTGAGCAGACCCGGGTAAAGCTATGTGGCCAGGGTCAGAGCTATTCCCTGTTCACCTTGGGGTGTGACAGGGATGTCGTCTGGTTCCTACAATATTTGACATCTTTTTCGACCACATAGTTCAAGAAGTCTTCCATGGCTATACCAGAGGAATTTTCATCTGGTACAGATACAATGGGAGGCTGATCAATTCCCGGGTGCGGTCGAGGGATGACTCCCTATTGGTCAACCATGTTATGCATGCTGATGATCTGGTGATTGCTGCTCACTCAGAGGAGGAGTTTGAGGCACTGTTGCTGAACCTGGAGTTTGCCACTAAGAGCTGGGACCTTACCATCAGTCCCATCAAAACTAAGCACCTGGCTGGGTATTTTGTGCCATCAAACACTTCACCCCCTCAATTACCCATTGGTGATGGGGCAGTTGTGGAGAAAGTGGAAACGTTTCCATACCTGGGCAGTATGCTTATGACCAGCTCTGGTTTGACATCAGAGGTCTCACTGTGAATCAGTCGAGTGGCATTATCTTTTCATTGGCTGCATAACGCTGTGTGGAAGCTACCTGGTCTGTCGTTCCACACTAAGCTTCAGGTCTTCTCGTCCACGGTCATGCCCTTCCTTCTTTATGCTTTCGAAATGTGGACCCCCCCCTAATGGAACATTTTTACCGGTTATAAACATTTAGGCTGGCCTACATAGAATCCATCCTGGGTTTAACCAGGCTGGATTGTATGAAGAGCTCACAAAACCTTGAAAGATTTGGACAAAGTCCTATTGGTGAGCTCCTCCAGCAGGGAAGGCTGCGTTGGCTGGGTCATGTAGCCTGCATGCCTTAATAGCTTTTGTTCGGTTGGATCGAGAGGGCTAAACAGGTGCGGCACGGGCGAGAGAAGAGATGTAGTAATGTGGTACAAGAGGATGTGGAACTGAGTTGACTTGTCGATGACTGATACCAGCGGTGTCAAGATCAGCCTCTGGAGGAGGCTTGTGAAGGACACTACTGGGCAGTTGGAGGCAGTCGCCTTCCAGTAACAATGGAGGGCAGAGGAGTGACGTTCACAAGAACGAGTGGAGCTGCCGGGCAGCTAAAACACAGCAAGTTGGCACAGTAGGGGGCACGGGTGGTGCATTGGCAAGTCATCTCAGTCAGTCAACTCATGGCACCTGTGTCTGTCACATGACCTCTTGCCAGCGGGCGTTCGACACTTCACATAGCTTTAAAGTGCGCTTAGCCTGGCACAAGGGCCGTAGTGACATCACCGCCACTTTGTGGTGAAGGGCGGTTGTTGTTGAAGCGAGTGGGAGGGTGAGTAGAAGTGTGCTTTATGTGTGTGTAGATGTCTGTGGGGAGCGGTAGTGCAGAGATGAGCGCACTGCGCTACGAACCCAGCGACCCGAGTTCGATTCCCGGTCATGGCCAACACATGTGACAATTATCTAACTGGTCCTGGGCCTCCCCCAGGGCAACTAAAATAAGTACCGTATACAATGTATAAACATCGCCACTAGGGAAACAAAGGTGACCATGGGTGTTGCTGGCCCCCAACCCCCTTGTGTGCCGTGTCGGTCTGTATCGGTGCTTGTTAACATCACTTGCCCCAAGAGTCAGTTAAAGGTTATACCCAGATATCTTTGTCTTGTTAGGCCTATGCTCTGCAATTATATTCCACTTTTTACTTTAGGCAAATTAAATTAATGAGTTTAAACGTGGCACAATGAAAATAGGAAAGTAAATACATTTCATTAAAAAGAATATGTTCTATAATCAAATAACGACCATGATTTTTGTATGGATTGTAAGTAATAAATACATGAATGTAAATGAGAAAATATAAACTGTTTCATATTTGCCACTGACATAATCATCGCAACAAATGGAAATTAACGAATGGAAATTGTAAAATAATTTAATAAAGAAGGCTTAAAAGTTGGGGAGAAGGTAAAGATGTGCTCAAGAAGAGTTGTGTACAACAATCTCGCTAAATATTTGAAGGTAATATTTTGTAAGGACAATGGCAGCCAACGGCGGGAACATGCTCCAGAGGACTTCTAATGCTGAAATGGAGTTATGAAAACATGTTGTGCACAGGGGATTGGTTGATTGGTGCATCACGAGATCGTGACAGATGTTGCCTGCTTGTGGAGGCCTTGGTTCAGCAGTGGATAGATCTTGACTGATGATGATTATCATGTTGCCAGGGAATCGATGTGCGAGCCATTGGACGGATCTTCGTGGGGCTGGTCAAGTGTGGTGCTTGGGGCTGCTTTGATGAGTTCAACCGTCTTGAGGAGACAGTGCTGTCTGCCGTTTCCACGCAGATCCACACCATCCAGGACGCGCTCAAATGCCGTGCGCACAGCTGCACCCTGCTTGGCAGCCAGGTGTTCTGCGTGGTGTGGCTTGATGTGACGTGTGGTATATGGAATGGTATTTAACTGAGAGTCGTGATTTATGCTGTAACGATGTGAGTTGTTACATGAGTGGTTTAATGTTTGGTGCGATTGTATGACGTTTGTAGGAAAGAAAATGGAACAAAAACTTTTTTTTTAAAGCATGGAAAGATGCATGTTTGGCAGTTACATAAAGAGACAGAGAAACACTTGGATTAAACAACATACGTGGGTTAAATACATAATTTTAATTGTTAAAAAGAGTACATTGCTCTAAGGGATGTTGGCCTATGGTTAAATAGAATGATAGTAACAGCCAAGGGAGGGATCTCACCCAAGAGGAAGTCAACTTTCGTCCGGAAATGAAATAATCATAGTTGATTATGATTGTAACAAGGCCACAAAAAGCATTAGGAAAATAGCTCATGCCTCTAACCACCCTTCCTTTCCCCCAAATTGTCCCTCACAAGGTTGTCTTAGACCACAATTCAGGTATATTCATCACCCTGAACCCAGCCGGAAAGGGCTATGGCGGCAGACAGAAGCTGCCGGACAACTTGAAGCAGCTATTCCGGCCCGTGGCGATGACGCGGCCGGACAACGAGCTCATTGCATCTGTCATCCTGCACTCGGAGGGGTTCACAGATGCTCATGCACTCGGTGCCAAGCTCTGCGCCATCTTTAGCCTCGCCAAGTAAGAGAGCGATTGTGGGTTTGTGTCAGGGAGCAAGTGTGTTTATGAGTGAGTTATCCGTGGGAGAGTGTGTTTGTGAGAGTGAGTGAGTGTGGGTGAGCAAAAATGGGGTGCGGTAGTGTAGCGGTTCGCGCCCTACACTACGATCCCAGCGACCTGAGTTCGATTTCCGCTCAGAGCCAACACCAGTGACGTTTATCTGAACTGGTCCTGGGCCTCCCCTGGGCCGACTCAACCTCAAATGTGTACCTGGTGTCATGTGTAAATGTCGACACTGATGAGACAAAGGCGGCCGGGCATGGTACTGGCCACCCACCCACTCGTGTGCTGTTCTGGCCTTCATAGATGCTCACTAATAGCACTTGCCCCAAAAGTGTTTTAAGGCTAAACAGGGGATCTTTGTCTTTGTGTGGGTGAGCAATAAAGCGCTTGAGAATGTGTGAGTGGCCAAACAATTGTTTGTGTAAGTGTAGGTCCAAAAAGATCTGGACACAATCCCATAAGTGAGCTCCTCCAGCATGTGAGGTTGTTTTGGCTGGGTCATTTAGTCCACAAGTCAAGCCACTGCATGCCCAAGCAGTTTCTGTTTGGCCAGATAGAGGAGGGCTAAACGGACGTGGCACAAGTTAGAGAAGAGATGTGGTGTGGGAGGGTTTGAAGCTGATTGGAGTCCTTAGTGACTGGTCCGTGTGTTTTGTTTCTGTGCCTGTGTTGATCTTGTGCAGGGAGCTGCTGAGCCCACAGCAGCATTACGACTGGGGTCTGCGTGCTCTAAAGACAGTCCTCAGGGGCTGTGGCAGTCTCTTGCAATCATCGAGGCAGGAAGGAGCTGACAAGAAAATAGGTTTGTTCACACGTGTCTCTGTACGGCTCCTAATTTTAAATAATATTTATCTCTATTTATCCAAGAAAGCTTTGAGTCTCAATGACTTAATACTCGAGAGTAAGTCTACTGGGAGATGGAGCGATTTGATCAGTTCGTGTGTAGGTACCAAATGAAAGATGCAACATAGACAAGGAAGAAAATAGAATAAAAATCAAGCATATGCATGGCTTCTATAATACTCTTCAAAACGTGTTAGTACTTAGAAGTAATTAATTTGTGATAACATGTTTCAATCCACACCAAGAGATGATGTTACATGTAATGATGTCATCATTGGAAATGGAGGTGTGTGGGCTTCGGCCGGTAAGGTGCAAACGTTTTAGTGATGGGTTTCGTCTAGTTTTTATAGGGTAAGTACGTAATAGCAACGCAGATGTTTACTATATTTCATATTGGATCATCATTACATGAATTATTGTGCCCCCATGTTTCATGCAGACAGATGGACAGAGGAAATGTAATAACTCTTTCAAGCTTAGTTGAGCAAGTTGTTCTTATCAGCAAATATGTACCTAGGTTATGTATTACATGTTGTGCAATAATAACAAAAGAAATACATTTACATACGAGGACGTCATTAAAGAGCGTATTCATGAAATATATGGGAGCAGCAACACAATAACATCACTAGAGTGACATGATATGCTTAACCATAACTTGAAGCTTTTAAAGTAATTTCTTCTCATTCGTGAAACTTAAAACATGTATTGGACAGCCTTGGACACACAGCCCAGGTACATATCTGTGGAGCTTTTAGTTTGTTTAAGGAGCAATTCTCCTGTGCGGAGGTACTGGAGCACCCAGGCTGTGTCTCGTTTCTTCTTGAACCCATGTGTTGAGTCTCAACATCATCTGCGTGCACGGCAGATGAGAGTGGGCTGGTGGTGCGTGCGCTGCGCGTGAACACGCTGTCCAAGCTGGCGTTCGCTGACGTGGCGCTGTTCGACGCCCTCGTGCGCGACGTGTTTCCCGGCACGGACCTGGGAGGCGTGGAACATGGGGAGCTGCACAATGCTCTGCTGGAGGCGTGCACGCATGCGGGTCTTGCCGTCGTGGACGCGCAGGCAGGTGGCAGGGGGTTCGTGTGCAGTGGTACATTTGGCAGAGTGCTGGTTATTCTAATGGCGAATTAGTTATAATGCTATTAATCATTTAGAAAGGTGGTTTCAGACTATTTTTCACGAGGGTCCTGCTTGGCCATTTCCATTTCAAAGCAAGTTGTAACTAAAAAAAAGGTTTTATCTTGTATGTCACACCAGGGCTTTAAGCTTCAATAAAATCCCAAAAAACACTTTTAAGTCATAATCAAGAATACCACCGTAGGGCACTGTAGTTTATTTTTATTTTACCTCTTTTCCCCTGGTCTGTGTATTTTTCATCGTTTCCTGGTCTCTGTCTTGGTCTGCTCTTGTTTTATTTGGTGGTCTCCCTTTGCCTCCACTGGATTCCATGTGCTCCTTCCCCCTGACCTTCATTCTCTACACTGAATACAATCTCTGTTTATCTTCATTCATTTCTTCTGATCTCTGTTCGTCTTTCCTCAATACCCCTGCTCTCCTCTAACTCTTGTTCCCCGGTCATGGTGCTCCTTGATAACCCTGGTGCTGCATACTTGCAGGTGAGAAAGGCGCTGGAGTTGCATGAGCAGCTGCGCCAGCGCACGGGCGTGGTGGTGGTGGGGCCAAGTGGAGCTGGAAAGTCGACTCTTTGGTCGCTTCTGCGGATGGCGCTTGCTCGCCTGGGCCGAACCGTCGTCCAGCACACGCTCAACCCCAAGGTCTCGCACCACGACCTCCCGCAAAATTGCTGGGGTTTACATTGACAATGAGTAGAAATCTAAAGTTATTCCAAACAGGATTGCCCGTTTTTCAGTTTAGTGAGTTTGAGGAACCTAGCATTTTCCAAAACAGAAATGTTTCTTTTTAACAGCCGCTACTGGAGTGTGCTGTGATGTTGTAAATGGTGGCTGTCATTCTCATGAATACTTAAATGCTGACTTAAATGCCGTGTGGTGTCCACCACCCAGACATCTGCCAGTATAATCCAATATAGACATGCTGTTACTGCAATATCCAGCGTAGCCATCTAACACATGTTATTACTTGCGCAGCCATCCAGCCCAGTTATTATCTAATCACCTTCATTAGTTGTCGTAAGTGTGAGATAGCTCTGCTGCCCCCTTTGCCGGGGCTCACTGAGTGTTGCGCTGTGAGTCTGACTGTGACCTTGGCGTGATCCCAGGCGCTGCCACGTGCCCAGCTGCTGGGACACCTTGATATGGACACGCGCGAGTGGACGGATGGCGTCCTCACAGCCAGTGCCCGTGCTGTTGTGCGGCAGCCACAGGGTCAGAGACGGAGTGTACCTGTTTGTGTGTGCATGTGTCCGTATGTATGTCACAAGATCTGGTAACATTCCCATCAGTGAGCTCCTCTGGTGGGCAAGGATGCGTTGGCTGGGCCATGTAGCCCGCATTCCCAGCCACTACATGCCCAAGCAGCTTCTGTTTGGCCGGATAGAGGGGGTACTGCTGGTAAAGAAATTGACTAATGTGGTTCAGAAGGATGTGGAGCTGAGTGGACTTGTCGACGACTGATATTTGCAGTGTCACGTGGTCTCAAAGTGCACGTCACTGTTGTTGTATGTGTGTGTATATGATTGAGCACGTGGCTGCAGGGCTACATGTGTACATGCGCGCGCATGTATGTGCGTGCATTAGTCAAGTATTGAATTGCCTCCGGTACTATTTGATCAATTGTCACAATTTGCAGTTATGATTTGATAAAACATTTTTTTTATATTGTTTTGCATGTAGTGCCTCTAGTGGCTGGAGGATATAATGCACCCATTTATGTACTAGATTTAATCAAATTTTGGAAGCTAAGCAGGTTTGAGCCTGGACAGTGCTTGAATAGGTGACCACCATGCATGCCAGATTGTTATATGTGCCTGCAGGACTACACTTTGTTGCGTGTACAGAGGGTAGTGCAGCAAAATACCATTGATGGAGTGTGCTTCTCTACTACCATGCTTTTACTCCCCATTTTCACCAACTTGGACTGATCAACGTGGTGAAGTATGGTCGAATAACACCCCATGACCTACGTGGTTTTTGGGAAGTCCTCATCTAGTGGATTACAAAAGGGCAATACATATAAATAACTTGAAAATAACAAGCTCTTTTATTCCAGCCACAGTACCCACTCGTGTGATGTTCCAGCCTCAGTGGGTGCTTACTAACAGCCCTTGCCTCCCCATTCTGTATGGCGAGAGAGGAAATATGTGCCTGTGTGGGTGTGTCACAGATGTGCAATCATGGGTGGTGTGTGACGGCGACGTGGATCCCGAGTGGATTGAGTCCCTGAACTCTGTGCTTGATGACAACCGCCTGCTCACGATGCCCAGCGGCGAGCGCATCCAGTTTGGTCCCAACGTCAACTTCATCTTTGAGACACATGACCTGAGCAGTGCCTCTCCCGCAACTGTCTCCCGTATGGGCATGATCTTCCTCAGGTGCGGCACCAACATATGGCATTTTTTTTTTTATTGTTGAGGGAGTTCATAGGAAACATATTGCTGTACCTGGGAAATATTATCTCTGTCTCTTTAAAGACACTTTACATGTTTTCACGGAAGCTTAAAAACCCTCAGACCAATTGCTATGAAACATACCAGACAGCCTACCTTTGCCACAATCGAATGTTTTTAGGTGTGATTAACTGCAACAATTTTAATAAGGAGCTTTAATTTGAGCAAATGTGACATAATGCATACCAGTGCAATTACTGCACGTGTTACAATTTGTGTACGTGGGCATAAGATTTGTATGCATGACATGCACGTGTTTCTCTGTGGACGTTTCTTTGTACAGTTGAATTCCATAAGAAAATGAAGGTTTCATTCGTGGACTGATTTTCAAGTTTGTTAACAATTGAGAATTGCATATGTAATCGGTGGACATGGCTCGTTGTGGTTGTGTTCCTATGTACGTCGCTGTCCATGCGGCTGTGTTGTTGTAGTGATGAGGATACAGATGTGCGTGCGCTAGTTGGTTCCTGGCTGAGCCGGCAGGATGAGGCAGTGCGTGATGACCTGGGGGAATTGATCAATGAGCACTTTTACCGTGCCCTCTCCTGGGTCACCAAGCAGGTGTGCCACTCACGTACACTCACACGCTCCCATCCCCACACACTCTTCCACACACTCACTCGCACACTAGCTCAGGGCACCTTTACCATGCCCTCTCCTGGGTCACCAAGCAGGTGTGACACTCGCATATATACTCACACTCACTTACATTCACATATTCACATTCATACACTAACTCACTTGCACACGAGCTCAGCACACAGCAAAATGCTCACTGTAACTGACTTTTGAACTCTATCGATCACTCTCACGTTCGCTCACTCATTCTGTTACTGTTGCATTTGCTCATTCTCACTCACTATCACACTGACTCACTTGATCACTTGATCACTCATTTTTTGTCGCTCACTATCTCTCACAACTGATTACTCACAACATTACTCACTTGCTCACTTGCTTACTGTCACATTTGCGTATCTTACACTTGCTCATATGCGCACACTCATTCACTTGGACAGCTATACGTATACAGAGTGCCTTGCTTGCTCATGCAGATAAAATTATTAGTAGCCGCTTGCCACACACACATAGTAGTCAATTGCTCGCTGATCGTCACTTGCACAAGTACAGCAGATCACTCACACTAACTTACGCAAACACACACATGCATCCAAAAACACACACTAAGTCACTCACTAGCACACCCACACGCAGGCTCGCTCGTCTGGTTGCACACAAACTCTCACTTGTGCAAGTGCAGTCGCTCAATCTGACACACACGTTTGCGTGTGTGTACCCATGCATGCAGAGTGAGCAGGTGGTGCCGTGCTCGCTAGTGGCAGTGGTGATGAGTGGGCTGTCCCACCTGCACAGCTGTTCTCACCGAACCCACTTTGCCGTAGGACTCGTCCGTGGTCTAGGCGCAAACCTACCTCCCCGGACACGACTTGACTTTGCTAAAGAGGTGGGCGCGGGGCATATCTAACCCCATGTCTCCCTTCCCCTGTACTCTATTCCTGCTGCAGCTGCTAGAAGTTGCACATGTGCTGTGATTAAAGCGCTTGACTTACTGTGGGAAGATTGCAAAATCCTGATTGAAGGTCATTCACTTCTGTAATTGGTTTATGTGGGAAGTGACCTGAGTTTGTTTCCTGGCCATGCCTAACGTCACTGGAAAGTGGTGTCTGAACTTTTTTTTTGGTCTTTCCTAAGGTCGACTCAGCTTTAAATGAGTCTGTGGAATATGTATATATCGGTATCGATGAGTCATATGGGATTGCTTTTGTGACCTATTCTTCAAGCAGAGAGACACATTGGCAAAGAGAGGTATTAAAAAATCAATATATATTTGTTGTCTCTGTGCTGAGGAAGGACCATGGCCTGAAATGTCATTGTGTTATATATTTTTCTGTAATGGGGCAGTGTTAATGATGAATGCGTTAAGCACTTTTTAGTGACACAAATGGGTGTGTGTGCGTGTCGTTTTGTGTTTGTGGCTCCATGCGAACAGGTGTTTGGCTGGGTTGGTGAGTCCCTCCCGGATCCTCGTCGTCCCCTCGATGTGTTCGTTTCATCGCCGGCATCTTCAGAGCCCCCACGGCTCTGCTGCTATGACTCCGACACTGCTTCCGCTGTCGCCAACGCCACAGCTACTGCCACCGATGCGGAGGAGGCATGGGGGCCGCCGCCTGTCGTGCTGACGGCGCACGCGCGACGTGCCCTCGACACTTTCGGGCCCTGGCTCGACGAGCGTCACCCACAGCCGTTTCTGCTCGTTGGGCCCGAGGGCTGCGGCAAGAGGTGAAGGGGCACGCTGAATGACTACCAATCTATATAATTACAACACCCTCCCCCTCTTTGCCTCGAATCACTGCACCAGATTGAATTTAATTATATGATGACGTCACCCTGCTGCTGCTGCTGCTGCTCTATTTAAGACCGAAAGCAACAGGAGAGCTTCACCATTCTTGCCCGATGAAGCTGATTGTAATTATTAGCGAAACGTCGTACTACTCAAATCTTAAAATGCCGTTGATTCTCTCTTCAGCACACCGGTGGGTTATAGAAGTGAATTATTTTGTCCTTTGAAAAAGTGACACATTTTTTACTGTTTGGCCATGTCGGGTGGTGGAGGGTTACGACACATTTATAAATAACGCGATCTGACCTAAAAACCTATATTATGAGAGTGATGGTGTTGAGTGTGAAGGTGTGGGTGATGAGGGGCGGCTGTAGTGTATGTTGATGTGGGTGAGGATGGTAATGGTGAAGATGATAGTTGGGAGATCGAGAGTAGTCTTACCTTTATTCAAATCAGGTCATATTTTAATGTAATTCAAAGGTAGAATTAAATAAAACACATGACATTTTTTATATTTAGTAAAAATTGTGATTGTATACAATTTGATATGTATCATAGAAACAATAGCTTATTAAAAATTGGAGTGGAAGAGATTATCGACATAATGCAGATCAGATGAAACATTGTTCCATGTGTGAGGAGCAGGATGTGTTTTGCTGATCTCGTTTTGTTTCAATTAAAATACTTCAGTTAAGTCGTTTCCAAGAATGTGTTGCTTGGTGACATCACGGTTTAAAAAAGTTGTCATGTTAAACTATTTTCTAAATGTTTTATATTTGCCACTGGAAGGCGCCAGTGAGCATGATGTCATGACAACGTCTTCAGATTTTGAGTGCTGTAAGGAGCAAAGTTGAGACGAACAATGAATAAAATGTTTTATCTGTGCATATGAAACGGACTTGTGGCCCAGAGCTTCATGCCCTGTGCTTAGAATCCACCAACTTAGGTTAGGTTCAGTTAGGACCTTTATTTCAACCAAGTAAGAGCCGATTGAGTCCACAAGTTTTTTGTTTCCCACCATAGGAATCATCATCAGAACTCCGTAAGTCAGCTTGGCCTTAAATTAACACCTGAACCTTATGGTGGGACCCCGGGTTCCCCAATAAACGGAATTCAAAATCGTAAATAATCTATTTTTGGCGACTCCGTCCCACCGCGCACATCAATGCCGCGACCCACCTGGCGCGGATCATTCACGACTTAAATCCTTTATTTGTCATCACGGGATGCATAATACAGTGAAACTGCTTTCTTATCTTCATTATTATTTGTGACCTACCAATGTCTGCATCCAGGATCAATCGATGACAATTCTATTACCTGCAGATATTTAACAGAAGAGATGCGTTGCACCGTTAATTCCTCCTCCTGTTTGATAATACTTCTCTTGTCTGTATGCATCTGTGCAGATAGGTTTTTTTTTCGGTTAAACCATAGTCCCCACATACCGCTCGTACCAATGCGGATAAGAGGAGTGGCGACCCACTACTCTGTAGAGTAACATTGGTATAAACGCTTGTTACAATATGAACAGCGCATTGAAAACGCTTACAATTTTATGTACTGTTTACAAAGTGTGTTCACAAATCCACACTGAGAAACACGATGATTGACAGAGGGGTGTAAATTATTTTTTCGATAGTGTATTTAAATAGAGGTACTGCAGGTAAGTAGTTTTCAGTTTTTAAGGCATAGTTTAACAAGACAACACTTGCCACCATCCTTCAAACCCATTGGTGAAAAAGAGCAAAGTTTTTGTTTACATTATAATATAATGTTTACGCGAGAGCCAGGGGCTTATGGGACCCCAGGGTCTCGCCATAAGGTTCACCTGCTGCGGAGTATAAACATAATCACCAGGGAGGCAAAGGTAGCCAGGAATTATTCTGGCCACACTGCTTCCTCTTGTACTATTTTGGCTTAAATAAATGATGTTCACGAACAGTACCTACCCCACAGTCTGTATGGCTACATTTGAGGTCTTTGTGTGTGTATGTGAGAGCAGCACACTGCTCCGGCAGGCATTCTCGCGGCTGCGCTCGGTGCGTGTGGCCACGGTTCACTGCAGCGCGCAGACAGCGCCGCACCATGTGCTACAGACATTGGCGCAGGCCTGTGCCCTGGTCAGCAGCGGCTCTGGCCGGGCCCTTCGGCCGCGCGACTGTGAGCGCCTCGTACTGCACCTCAAGGATGTCAACCTTCCACGGCCCGACAAGTGGGGCACTAGTCAGCTGTCGGCCTTCCTGCAGCAGGTGAGACACGGAGTGAATGTGGAGAGGAAGACAAAGAGGGAGAGGAGGATATATATAGAGATAATTAGATTAGTGGGGCACCAGCGTATCACTTCCCTTCATCGGTGGAAGGTGGAGGCCAAAATAGAGGAAGATAGAGACTTTAAGGGGTATATGACAGCCTTCTTGCAACAGGCAAAACAACAGGGGGTGGGAGATTGAAGAAGTGAGAGAAAGCTGGCGAAAAGACCAGGGTTCCTATAGCGTGATTGTGAGGATCTATGGTTTAGATTATCCAATAAAACGAAATCTCCATGTGTTAATAACCTCTTTAATAGTCCTTTGGCCAGAGCAGAAATTGGTACCACCTAAGGAAGAAAAACCTAAGACGCACCAATGTATTTACATGGCTGATAATAGTGAATTATTTCACAATCCACTCAATTTCAAGTTATCTTCTAATTCACATTTATTGATCACATAAAGAAATTGGAACCATTACAACTATGCCACCTCAGGTAGTATCAGCAAATGAAATATTTGGTGTGGGCTCATAGGATATCACATTGTGTGTGTCGTGATGGTTCTGGATGCAGGTGTTGACGTACCGTGGGTTCTATGACGAGGCACTGGAGTGGGTGGGACTGGAGGGGGTGCAGGTGGTGGCATCCATGACGGCTGGGGGCTCTTCTGGGCGCCACCCACTCTCCCCGCGCCTCTCGTCCATCCTGCGCATAGCATGCATTGAGTGGGTGCTCACACACACACATGTTCACCCAGCTTCAATCGTTGTCTGGTTAACATGAAGTTAATGGGGACATGACCTGCAGTATATCCGAATCCGCGGTATAATGAGCTGCGTTATATTGGGCTTTTACTCTATATGAGTGTGTTTATCTGGGTGAATGTGTGTATATACGAGTGCGTCTATAAAAATTTCCACTAGGGAGACAAAGGTGGTCAGGCATGGTGCTATCACACTTCCTTGTGTGCCGTACCAGCCTTCATACGTGCTCGGTAACAGCACAAAACTTTGTCAGGGCTATATGGGGGATCTTTGTCATAGTAGTATGAGTGTATATGTATTAGTGTATGTGCGCTGTGTGGTCCAGCTATCCGGAGGCGGAGGAGCTGCAGGCTGTGTGCTGCGCATATCTGGGCTCAGTGCTGCACGCCGTCGCCCCCGCGCACCCGTTATGGTTGGCCACGGCTTCCGTGAAGAAACTCGCGGGCTCCATGCTCACCCTGTACCAGCAGGTGCTGCCGGCACCTAGCTTGCACAACAAGCACTGCACACACACACACTCTTGACATTCAACCAGCCATGCATCTTACCAACAAAGCTTCCGTATTTTCATTTAATAATCCATGCCACCAATAATGATCAAATCACCCATCCACCTAATTTACAATCTGTTCATAAATACATCAGACTAACAAGCCATCTATCCATCCATCCATTTAACCATCGATCCAATCAACAATCGATCACCCACACATATCACCAACAATTCATCCATTCTTTCATCCATCCATATCCTTCCATTTATCCTATTATCCATCATCCATCCATCAATCAATTTCCCCATCCATCAATCAGTTTAGCCATCCATCTATCAAGTCATCTATCCACCAACCTCTATACTCCTGTCCATCGTAATATCCATCCATTATATTATCTATCTATTCATCCATTATTACATGCCTTACATCCATTTGTATTTGCATACGTTTCTTGTTTATGTTTAAATGTGGATGTATGTATTTGTCTGTGCATGTGTTTTATATGTGATAAAGTGTGTTATTTCTTGTTCCAGGTTCGGGCCAAATTCACTCCTGATGACCACAACCATTACCTCTTCACTCCCCGCAATTTGACCCAGTGGACACTGGGTCTATTGCGATATGACCCCTCCTCGGGTGAGCAAGACAATACTTTCATCCACGCACGCAGACACATGAATGCACCAAATACTGCATCTGTTTCGTTCTGTCCCATCTCTAATCTAATTCTCATCCGTAATGTCTCACATTTGACCCATTCACACTAAGGCTCAAATTAAGCATAAAATTAGCATGGGTCAAAAAGAGTCGATTTTTATGACATGTACAACTTAATGTGTGTCGGAATGATTTCAATGGATGATTGAGTGCATGCCTGTTGTTGACTGTGCGGGTATTGTTGGTGGTGGGGGGCAGGGGATCGCGCGAGCTCATCTGCGGACGCTGTGCTGGAGGTCTGGGCGTACGAGTCATGCCGTGAGTTCCGCGATCGCCTGGTCGGCAGCCGTGCAAGGGACACTTTTGACGCTGCTCTGGCCTCTGTGCTGCACTCTGACTGGGGCTGCAACCCACTAGCTCAGCTTGCAGGTGCACAGCAACTGTGTGTGAGGACGCATGCACGTGTACGTCTGTGTGTGTGCATATACATATACACATTGTGAAGAGTGGTGTCACAGTATTAGTGCGCTGTGCTCTGACCCCTGCTACCCGGATTTGAATCGTGGCCACTGCTAATATCAATGTCAAGTGTTATCTGATCAGCACAGCGGTGGCGAGATGTTGACTACCTCCATTGGTACACAGGAGGTCGTGGGTTCAATCCCGACCCTGACACCTATATATTTGGAGTTTGCATGTTCTCCCCATAGTCACGTGGATATTTCTCCGGGTCGTCCAGTTTTTGAAAAAGAGCTGTATAGCTCAGTGGGCCTTATTTGGTAAAGTAAAAATAGTTTAATTCTAGATTTGAAGTTTTCGTGACCGCAAGGATAAGTGGACATTTTTTTTGTGTTACTCTTTGGTTTCGATAAAGTCACGTAGGTGAACAGATAGAATGAATCCTTAATTCAAAGAGTAAAAATAGTTTATTATAGTTTAGTTTAGTGATCGTTTCTGAGGCCCCTCCTAGATTGGCTCTGCCTTATATGAGTACCTAGTGCTCTCTGTAAACATCATCAGTTTAAAGATGAAGGTCACCAGGAGTGGTATTTGCCAAACCACCCACTCGTGCACTGTGCGGAGCTTAATAGGTACTTCGTGCTTGCTCAAACCGCCAATGTTAAGCTATATGGGGCTCTCTTTAGCTGCCCTAAGGCTCGTTAGGGCACGTCCCTGGTTGCTGTGGTGTTGCTGTCTCTTCTCTCTCATATATCTCTGCTTTGACCTCCTACCACCCTCCTTTTTTTCCTAAGGTTTTTTTTCTGTTTTCGTAAAGCATCTTGATATTAGATTGCAATTTGACAGTACAGAAATCCCTCGCCCACCACGGGGGTTAGGCTCCTGGAAAAGTCCGTGGTAGGCAAATCCGCAGTTGGTAAAATACAGGGCCTATGGGAAATAAGGGGTTAGGGGAACCACGTCCTTGGTAAGACTCGTCATATCAGTCGGCCTGTGTGGGGAGCGGTAGTGAAACGGTTAGCATGCTGCGCTACTAACCCGGCGACCCGAGTTCGATTTTTGCTCACAACCAACACCACACCAATGACGATTATCTGAATGGGTCTTGGACCTCCCCTAGGTGACGCAGCCTAAAATGAGTACTTTGAACGGTGTAAACATCGCCACTGGGTAGTCAAAGGTGGCCCGGCGTGGTGCTGGCCACCTACCCCCTCGTGTACTGTTGTGGCCTGCATCGGCGCTTCTCAGGAACAGCACTTGCCTCAACAGTCTGTTCAGCCTACATGGGGGATCGTCGTTGTTGTGAGTGTGTGTGCGCACGCGTGTGAAATTGTGGGGACTCATTACAACACCCCTTCCTATAAATATTCTGGCATCAGGTAAGTGAAAATAATCCTGATTTTTTTCTATTTATGTTACTTTATTTTAATATACGATATTTATTACAGTATTATTTGCAAATGTACAACATTTCTTCCTATTTATGAGTTAAATAATGCTTTCCTGTTTTGTTGAACCGTAACACAGAATTATAACACTCCATTTAAATAAGTCAAATTTAGTATTCTTACTTACGAACCGTTCGACTTATGAACGGGACTTGGGAACGAAACCCGTTTGTAAGTTGGAGACTGCCCGTATGCTATAAAAAAAAAAATCAACGTTTTGGGAAATGGCCATTCTTCACAGCACATAGGGAGGACAGCGAGGTAGGGACTATATGAGACCGAATATGGTAAGGTTGACTGCTTAAAATGAATAATTTGTGTAACACAACATGTTGGAGGCTAAACTTGCTGATCCAGCATTTCCCTGGATGTGTCACTACTATATGGGTTCTGCCAGCCTTAATTGGTGCATGCTAACACCTCTGCTTCTGTGTGTATGGGTGTTCTCAGACGCATACTATGTGACTTGGGGCGCACACCACATGTCCGTGAGTGCTCCAGGGCAGCCGCTGCCGCAGCACGGAAAACCGCTGGGACGGCTGTCATCTACCGACCTGAAGAGCGTTATCAAGAAGGCATGTACACAACGACAAAGATCCCCCGTATAGCCTTAACAGACTGTAGGGGCAAGTGCTGTTAGCGGGCACTTGCCCCTACACCGGCACGACACACTAGGGGTTGGGTGGCCAGCATCACGTACACAACATCAGCCACGATTCGCCACTAACTGGTGGTGATGTCACCACGGTGCCTGTGCCAGGCCAGATGCACTTTGAGGCCACGTACCACACAAACAATCTCATACATACACACAAACCCACTCATACATTTACTATAATTCTCCAATATTAAGAGCTTCAACAAGAAGATGATCCACCTTCAATAGCTGTTCTAGGTATCTATACTCTCCTGTGTTTTCCAGTTGTGTCCCTATGTCTGATATATCCAGTTGTTCAGCAGACTTGGTGTGCACAAAGATAAGAATAAGGAAATGCAGTTTCCTTATTCCCAGTGTGCAACCAACACTAGAACCACCGAGTCTGATGCCAAATAGTTCCCAGGGTGGCCACAGCTTTGGTGTTAGTCGTGATGGGTAGTCATGGGACTAGCCAGGATGAAAATTAGAATACTCTTATTTCCGATGCTGCTGCTATTTATAATGGTCTTGAAGCTACTGAAAATGCTGCTGCTAACGGTCATGCTCCAACTGTTAACAGTGTTATTGATGATGATCGTCATGATGATATCTCTCTACAAATAGAGGCATTTTTTGGGTAAAGAATAGGCAACATTATTACGTGTAAAGTATATATCTGTGTGTATGTGTGCTTGTGTCTATGCGTGTGTCCCAATACCAGGGCCTCGTGCACTTTGCCCGTGAGTACCGCCCACTGCGGCTGCTGCTCTTCCCGGAGCTGCTGGCGGCGGTGGCACGAGCGGAGCGTGTATTGTCACGCCCCGGGGGCTCCCTGTTGCTCGCCGGGCCCAGTGGCGTTGGGCGCCGCACGGCCGCCACCCTTGCCGCCTCCATGCATGGCCTTTCCCTCCTCTCGCCCCGTGTCTCCCGCACCTATGGCTCCAAGCAATTCCGTGGCGACGTAAAAGGGGTGAGGAGGGCCCACTGGCTACGGACCAAGTTACACAAATCCCAGAAATGCAATGGATTATCATAATTCGGGAATGTAATTCTTTTACAGAATCGCTACTTTTTGTGGTCTGATTTTGACGTCTGTATTGTTTCTCGTTTTACTTTGCTCAACCTTGCAATTAAATGCATATATTACGAGCGTCTCATGATATAAGAGACATAGGTGAGGTGGTAGTTATAAAGACAAGGTTTTGGAGGTGATGTGGTGTAGTGGTAATGTGGTGAAAGTAATAATAGATGTGGTGTTGGTGGTGATGGTGGTTGTAGATTTGGTGATGGAGGCTGCTGCCCAATGGCTCCTTTGATCAGGGAGACATGTCTACTCTGACTCCACTGTTGCTCTATATGTTTTGATTGTGCAGAACTGTATAAATGTTAATTTGTGTGTTTATAATTTGTACATGTGTGCATGCATGTGAGAGTAGCTGATGCAGCAGGCCGGCGTCGAGGGCCTGCAGGTGGGCTTGCTGCTAGAAGATTTCCAGATGCTGTCACCTGAGTTTCTTGAGATCGTCAACAGCCTGCTTTCATCAGGTGCAGCAGAGATAAACCCTGACCAATACACAAAGAGGCCTCACTTCTCACCGCCATCGCCACCCCCTTCAGCATGACCCAGTTGGTGTTCTGTGGGTGCTCACTTGTTCTAAATGTTGGGGTGTTCTCTGTGTGTACTTTATTAACCTGGTCAAGGCTTGCGATACCATCAGTAGGCCGGGGCTCTGGCTTGTTTTTCGTGCTTTCGAGGTACCTGACTTCTATGCGCACAATCATTAAGGACCTTCATGATGGTGGGTAGGCTCGGGTAACGTTGCGTGGCCGGGAGTCAGAGCCATTCCTGTTCACGTTGGGATTCAACAGGGATGCCGTCTGGCTCCCACATTATTTAACATCATCTTCGACCATTTAGTTTGAGAAGTCTTTCATGGCTGTACTACTAGAATTTATCAAGGTCAAGGGATGGCTCCCTACTGGTCAACCATGTTATGTACGTTGATGATCTGATGGTTATTGCTCACACTGAGGGGTTGGAGATTCTGCTCCTGCACCTGGAGCATGCCACTAGGTGGGGCCTTAGCATCAGTGCCATCAATAATAAGCACCTGCCTAGGTATTTTGTATCATCCAATACTCCACCCCCTAAACTCCCCATGAGTAATGGGATAGTTGTGGAGAGAATGGAGAAGCTTCCGTACCTGGGTAATGTGCTAATGCAACCTTCGGTTTGGTAGCAGATATCTCACTCCAAATCAGCCGAATGTGTCATCTGCATAACGCTGTGTGGAAGTTACTTGGTCTATCGCTCCACATGCAGTTCCGGGTCATGCCCTCACATTTTTGCTTGGAAAACATGGTCCCCTCTAATGGAATATCAAGGCTGGTCTGCCTATGGTCGATCCTGGGTTTAACCAAGCTGGATTGTGTGAGGAGCTCACATATCCTTGAAAGATCTAGACACATTCCCATCAGTGAGCTCCTCTGGTGGGCAAGGCTGTGTTGGCTGGGTCACGTAGCCTGCATATCCAGCCACCGCATGCCCAAGTAGCTTCTGTTTAGTCGGATAGAGGGGGATAAACGGGCATGGCACAGGATGGAGAAGAGGTGGACTGATGCGATACAGGGCGATGCGGAGCTTCGTGGACTTACCGACGACTGGTACCAGCGGTGTCAAGATCGGCTTTTATGCAGGAGGCTCGTGAATGACACTCCTGAGGTAGTCGCCCTCCAATAACAGTGGAGAGCAGAGGAGCGACACTCACAACAATAAGCGGAGCACCGAGTGGCTATACAGCAAGTTGGTACAGTAGGGGGCACAGGTAGTGCATCTGCCAGTCATCTCCGTCAACCCATGGCACCTGTTTCTGTCCCGTGACCTCCTGTCAGCGTGCCTTTCAAAACTTAACGTGGCCTCGGAGTGCACCCGTCCTGGCACAAGCGCCATGGTGATGTCACCGCCACTTCGTGGTGAATGGCTGCTGCTGTTGTTGTGTGTGTGACGAATGGGGAGCGGTGGTGTAGCGGTTAGTACACTGCACTACAAACCCGGTGACCCAGGTTTGATTCCCACTCATGGCCAACACCAGTGACGAATATCTGAACCGGTCCTGGGCCTCCTCTAGGTCGACTCAGCCTCAAATGAGTACCTGGTGCGGTGTGTAAACATCACCATAGGGAAGACAAAGGTGATCAAGCGTGGTGCTGGCCACCCACCCCCTCGTGTGCCGTGCCGGCCTTCATAGGTGCTCGCTAACAACACTTGCCCCAACAGTTTGTTCAGGCTATAGTAAGGATCTTTATCTTTGTATGAACAGAGGGTGAAGGTCCCTCTGGTTGGACCTTCATGATGATAGGCACACCTAGGTAATGCTACATGGCCAGGAGTCAGAGCCATTCCCTGTTCATCTTGAAATGTGACAGGGGTGTCCTATACCTTCTACATTATATAAAATCTGTTTTTATTGTATAGTTCGTGAAGCCATCCATTGATGTACAATCTGGTAATGATGTAATGGGAGGCTGATAGATGTTTAGATGCACTAAAGGGATGACTCCCAAATGGTCAAACATTATGTTTTCTGATGACCATGCAATTTCTGCTCATTCTGTAGTTGCAGCTTTCTACAACGAGATGGGGCCTCACCATGAGCACCACTTAAAGTACACCTGCCTGGGGTATCTTGCATCATCTATGAAGCCCGTGTACTGAGTTTGACTCTCGGCCGCAGCTAACATCATTGGTGAATGATATATGATTTGCTCCTGGACCTCGACTCGGTTGACTGAACCTCAATAAGAACTTGGTGCAGTGTGTAAACATCAAAGCACCCCCTAGTGTGCCGTGTTGGCCTTCATAGGTGCTGACTAATACGACTTGCTCCAACAGTATGTTAAGTCTATATGGGAAATCTTTGTGTATGTATGTGTGTGTTTGCGAGTATAGGCGAGGTACCCGGGCTGTTCTCCCCAGAGGAGTTGGAGCCCCTGCTGGCACCGCTGAGGGAGTCGGCTTCGCAAGACGGATTCACAGGGCCCATCTACAACTACTTCACACGCCGTGCGCATTCACTCGGACTCACATACAAAACAAACAGCCTCCATATAGCCTTCAACAGACTTTTCGGGCACATGCTGTTAGCGAGCACCTATCAACGTCACAATGGCACACGAGAGGTTCAGATATAGCACCAATAAACATCAGCACTGCACACAGGACTGGTTCAGATATTCGTCATCGATTTTGGCCATTGGCGGGAATCAAACTTGGGTCACTGTATTTGTATTGCAGCACACTAACCACTACATTACTGCTCCTCGCCGCCTACACACGCAACAACAACAGCCGCCATTCACCACTAAGTGGAGGCGACATCACGACTTTGTTTGTGCCAGGCTAGGTGCACTTTGGGCCACATGAAGTGTCGAAGACTTGCGAGCAGGAGGGCATGGGACAGACTCAGTTGCCATGGGTTTACTAAGATGACTGGCAGATGCACCACTTGTGCTCCCTACTGTGCCGCACATACACTCACCAATACACGTTCACATATATATACAAAGACTTATGCTTTAAAGGCTCTTCGGGAAAGTGTTGTTAGCGAGCACTCTAAGCCTGATAACGCACACAAGATTTTGTGATGTTTTGGGCCTTTGGGCTTGTGCTCAGCAAACTGTGTTTAAAATTGTATTTATTAATGTGTACTTGTTTGCTCGTCCAGGAGTGCAGCAGAACCTCCACGTGGTCCTGATCATGGACTACACGCACCCTGACTTCACGCTCAAGTGCGACAGTAACCCTGCGCTCGTCAAGCGCTGCGCCGTGCTCTGGATGGACGGCTGGTCCAAGCAGACCATGCTTAAGGCATTACCCCATCCCCTCACCCCTCAGTCCTCAACTGTGAATGATGAACCCTAAGCAGACATTCGAAGCTCACTACCTGAACCCTTTATCCGTGATCGCAAACACATTTCTTATTTCAATGCAGCACCATTTGGATGTATAACATTTCTATGACTGCATTTCACGATGATTTACATGAAGAAAGGATGTGCAAATTATTAGATCAATGGGTAAGAGTATGAATTTTACATTTTTAAGGTAACCATAGTAAAGTATGGTTCTACAACCCCAAAACATGGAACTGGTACCTAAAAACACAGGGCCCAAAATGCAGCCGCTCTGGTTCTATCAGCCATGATTCCAATATACAACAGAAGCAAGTTGGATTTAGGAAAGGGGTTTCTACCATTGAACACATACATACTTTCAGATTCTAGAAAAGGCAAAAGAATGTACCACCATGCCTGGCTTTTGTGAGTGTCTATGTGCGTTTGAGAGTGTTAGCTAACATTACACGCGCTTACGGTCCTGTAAAGCAAATATCATGTTCTTGGTTCTTTCAGTAAAGTCACGTAGAAGGAAAATAATAAAATAACAAAGATAAAACATAATAAAATAACTCTCACGACGTTTCGGCCACAACGCAAGCAGCCGTCTTCAGGTGGAGAACAGGTCTGTCAAGTAGACAGAGTCTGAATGGCACGCTCCAGGCTTGGAGCGACTATTTATGCTGGGATGGAGGGGCGAAGAGCATCTTGACAAAAATATGCAATTTATTTTCGCCCCTCCATCCCAGCATAAATAGTCACTCCAAGCCTGGAGCGTGCCATTCAGACTGTCTACTTGACAGACCTGTTCTCCACCTGAAGATGGCTGCTTGCGTTGTGGCCGAAACGTCGTGAGAGTTATTTTATTATGTTTTATTTTTATTATTTTATTATTTTCCTTCTACGTGACTTTACCGAAAGAACCAAGAAGGTGAATCCCTGCAGTCACGAAAGCTTTAAATCGAAATTCAAATATCATGTGATTCGATCACCCATCCGGGTTATATAGAGGATTTCTGTTTGCCGTTTGTCAGATCCCTGAGATGATGTTGAGTGAGGAAGAGGAAATCGGATCCGACGAGAAGGCCAAGGAGCGGCTAGGAAAGCTTCCAGGTAATTTCTACGCACCCCCCATACACAGACGAATATGAGCACACTGTGTGTGGGAGTGCATATGAGCCACGGTGGCGAGATGTTAACTGCCTCACCTGGTATACAGGAGGTAGTGTGTCTGATCCCGAACCTGCTGCCTGTATATTTGGTGTTCGCATGTTCTCTGCATGATCACATGGTTTTTTCTCCAGGTTCTCTGGAGTTTTCCTCCACATTGGGAAACATGCGTTTAGAGTATTTGGCTGCTATTTGTGGCCAGGTTGCTTCTGAAAAAGAGCTGTATAGCTCAGTTGGCCTTACCTGGTAAAGTAAAATTATAACTTAAGTTTACTTCAATAGTTTAAATATATGTGTATGTGTGCATGTGCGTGCGCATACAGGAGGTGCGGAGCTGACCCGTGCGTTCTTGCACGTGCACGAATCCTGTGCGGCGCTTGGTGCCACACCGCGCCGATACCTGGCCTTTGTGCAGCGCTACCAGCATGTGCTGACTCACACCTCCACTGCACTCATACATCGCAAAGGGCACCTGCAGGTGGGTGTTTAACAACACTATCACCACCATCGGCATCGTCATCAGTAACACTATGATCGTAAAAAAACTCCATCATCATCACCACCACCACTCACAACAACTGTGAATCTGCACGAGGCCCAGTTTCAACTTCTATGTCGATACATTTTTTATGAAGACAAAAGACATGGTTACCAGCAGGGAGGTGCAAGTACTTTGTGCTCAGTTTTTTAAATAACTAGGATGAGTAGGGGCCCTCTTCACCACTTTAATTGCCTGTCAAAGACTGTAGCTCTCTGCAATTGGCAGCAAGTACCAGGGGATAATGCTAAATTGAAGACTGACATCAGTGTCGATTTGAATTATGAAAAAGATCTTTAAGGTAAGAACAACATATTCTGTAAATATAAGTGTGTATGTGCGTGCCTGTGCTCAGGCGGGTGTGTCAAAGCTGACAGAGGCTCGCACCCTGGTGGACGAGCTCAAGGGACGTGCGGCTGAACAGAGTACGCTTCTCGCAGAAAAACGAGCAGACGCTGACCAGGCACTCAGAGACATCACAACCTCCATGCAGGTCTGCATACCTCTTCCTCCTCAGCCACCTCTTTACAACCACCTCACAGTCCCCTCCCAACCACCTCCTCACAGACACTTCACACACCTCCTTAACAACCCCCTGAACACCTCTGCTTTTTGAGAGCAAATTTCAGGATGAATGTCTTCTAACTTGGCTCCAGGAGAAGAGTTGTCATCATAATAATTTTTAGACTTGACTCCAGGAGGATGGATTCCAGTATCATTGTCTTGAGATCTGGCTCTTGGAGACAGTGTTTTAGGATCGTTGTATTTCGAATTGATTCTAAGAGACCAGGTTTAATGGGCAATGTCTTGAGGCTTGGCTTGCAGATAATGGGTTTACAGGTAGTGTCTTCAGATTGAACTCCAAGAAACCAGGTTTCAGGGTCAGCGTCTTGAGACTCAGCTCAAAAATTCACTCCGCGCACGACATGAAGCTGTGGTTTAGTCTGGGATGAAAGGAGGGAGCATGTGCATTAACGCAGGTGGTTTGGTGTGGTCAGAACGTGAGTGTGCAGAAGGCTGAGATGGAGCGTCTGCAGGAGACAATTTTGCAGGAGGCTGTTCTGATTGAGCAGCGCAAGTGCGCGATCGATTTGGAACTCGCGGAAGTGCAGGTGCCTCTTTCTCAAACACAAGCATGAGACAGTTCTCTGTTGCTCAACACTGTATGATGCAGTGCGATATGCTACATCGCTGACAATGCTCTATCACACAATGCATAACACTCCTGTACAATATAACTCCATTCTGTATCGTGCAAAATGTCACGACATTTATATATTGGTATACAATGTCTATGGGAACCTTTTTGCCAGTAAAACCTAGTCTTATTTTTCATTATTGTTAAGATGTTCAAACACCAAATAGACACCTATCACAAGGCATCAAGTCTGTACTAACCACACATGCTTGTGTTTGCATGTTTTACCACAAGTTTGTGTGGTTAATGCAGACTTGATCCCTTATGATAGGGGTCTATTTGATGTTTGAAAATATTAACATCTCTGGTATTGCTGGAAAGGGTAAAGCCTCTACATTTTTTCATCATTGGTATACATTGTATAAAAAAACTGCTGCAAATGATACAGCACTCTACGATAAAACACTCTCTTTTTCTGTGTATGCGTTCCCTCCCCTTGCATCAGTGTGCCTCATATGTCCCTGTTTCTCCCCATCATTCCACATGTGTCCTTGTTGATCCCCAAACTCTATCATATCTCCTCTTGCCTTTCTATATCTCCGTACGTCTCCTCGTATCTCACCATGCCTCTTCGTGCCTCTCTTCACTGATCCCTGAATGTTTGTGTGCCTCATTGTGCCTCCTCATAAATTTGTGCTCTTTCCCATTCCTCCCCATGCCTCGTTGTGCCTCTCTGTTTCTAGCCTCTGGTGGATGAGGCCAAGCAGGCAGTTGGCAGCATCAGACCGGAATCACTTTCTGAAATCCGCTCCCTGAGGATGCCCCCTGACATAATTCGTGACATTCTAGAGGGTGTGCTGAGGCTTATGGGTACCTTTGACACATCCTGGGTCAGCATGAAGAGGTGAGAGTGTATGTATACGCAGGTGTGTGTTTGTGTGTGAGCATGTCTACAGGGATAATAGACTTTAACATAATACTAGTTCCACTAATCTGTTCATGTGTTTGTGTGTGCATGCTTGCGTATGTGTGTATATTGATGTGTGCATGGTTGCCAGTGTATTGTTGCATGTATGTGGGTGCTTGAGCATGCGTTTATGTGCACATGTGCATGCCCATGCGTGCATTATTGCCTATGCATGTATGCTTGCCAATGTGCGTGTGCGTGTATATGTGCACCCTTGCTTGTGAATAAATGTGCCTGTCTGCAAGCATGTTTGTGTCTATGCGTGATTGCCCGTACATGTGTGTGTTTATTTTTATTCGTGGAGAGTGGTGGCACAGTGGTTAGTGTACTGCACTACAAACACAGTAACGCAGTTTTTTCCTGCTCACAGCCAACATTGGTTACGAATATCTGAATCAGTCCAGGGGCTACCCTAGGTCGGTTCAACCTTAAATGGGCATCTGGTGCAGTGTGTATACATGAGCACTCGAGGGACAAATGTGGCCCGGTATGATTTTGGTCAGCCAGCCCCTCGTGTGCTATGCCGACCTTAATAGGTGCTCGCTAACAACACTTTCCCCAACAGTCTGGTAAAGCTTCCATAGGGGAACTTTGTCTTCATCTTTGTCTTACCTGGGTATATGTGCTTTCCTGTCTCTGCTTGCACGTGTGCTGGAGCACACACGCTTACCTTTGTGTGTGCTTGCTCACCGGTGCGTGCGTGTCTGTGCGTGTGGATTTCCAGCTTCCTTGCGCGGCGTGGCGTGCGCGACGACATTGTGACGTTTGATTCACGCTCTATCACACGCGAGATCCGTGACAGCGTGGAAGAGTTGCTCATGCGCAACGCGACCTCCTTCGATCCCAAGGTAAGCACCACGTGCATGAACTCTTTCTTATTATTTAGTGATAGTGGGCCGATATCCTTTGCGAAGCGTCAGTGAATTGTATTTAACCGTATCCACACTTTATCATCCCCTCATTTTGCTAGGGCCTCATTGGCAGCAAAGCCGACACCTGACTGCTAAAGTCGACTTTTGCAGCCTCATCACCTCCACCAAATATGGCTTTAGGTCTTCCACCTGATTTTCCGACCTCTAGCTGCCACTACAATGCTTATCTCAGTAATCTCACCTCGGGCAGCCTGCACTTATGTCACACTCATTATAACATCCTCTTCCTGGTTACTTTTACATCACAGAAATGTTAAGGGCTGTGACTCTCCAAGATGTTCAAGGCTTGATCTGCAAACATGAGTCATCAAAGCAAACAAGTCGCCTTTAAATTTCGATTTAAAGCTTTCGTGACTGCAGGGAATCATCTTCTTGGTTCTTTCGGTAAAGTCACGTAGAAGGGAAGTAATAAAATAATAAAAATAAAACATAATAAAATAATTCTCACGACGTTTCGGCCACAACGCAAGCAGCCGTCCTCAGGTGGAGAACAGGTCCGTCCAGTAGACAGAGTCTGAATCGCCAAGAAGATGAAGTCGCCTTTACTTGACGGAACCAATACTATTGATGACTGAGAAATTATAATGACACCAAGTGATGGAGAAGCTGATTGTTGATGATATATTTCATCACTTTCTGTATCAATGGAGTCAAGGTGATTAGATGACATTTTTTTTTGGGAATAGCAGGACCAAAGATAATTTTCAAGTTCTTAGTACAGATTGAGTGTTATTTGAGAGCTTTAAAAGTAAACAAAATAACTGGTGCAGGTTCTGGAGTATACCTTTTAATCACACTGCCTCATTTACCATCGGAATCACACACCTTAGAGGTATAAAGCTTGAATAGTACCCAACATACTTCATACGTTGTGACTCTTAGTTGATTACTTTTACTTTTAGAAGGAATCACAATGAATAGAATACAATTTTTGTCATCAAAAATTGAATTTGCTACAAAATATGAGGCGAAGAGATTGGCCTTGTTTATTGTGTCAAGAATTACAGACGCAGATTAATCCTTTATTGGTAGAAATTACTTTACAGAAATTGCTTGAAACAGCTGTAGTAAACGACCAGACTGGAAGTGAGCGCTAACTTGACAGGGTTCCGGTTTCTTGCATTTATGATTATATAAGTAGTGAACCAGTAGTAGACTGTGATATCTGTCAGTGTGACTTCGGCTTGTCTTTTGTGATGTAGAACGCTAAGCGAGCAAGTGCGGTCGCAGCACCCCTGGCCGCCTGGGTGCAGGCGAATGTGAAATACTCCCACGTCCTTGACAAGATCCAGCCTCTGGAGAGTGAGCAGAGCGAGCTGGTGCGGTACGGACAGACACATGGCTCACGCGCACATGTTCGCTTACTCAGGGGCAATGTCTCCACACCCAGGGGATCAAGTAAGGGAAAGGACCACGTATCATGATTGATGTCTTGAGACCGGTTTTCATGTTTGGTGTCTGGAAATAAGGTTTCAGGATCAATGTTTTTAGATCGTGTTTCAGAATCGGTGTCTTGAGATCGGTTTCATGATCAATGGCTTGAGACAGGGTTTCAGGATTGATCTACTGAGGCTCATCCCCAGGAAACTTGGCATATAACCTATCCGAGTGTAACTATCAAACTTCCTGCTCTTCATTGCCCTAAGGATGATTATGAATTTTAGTGGGCGGTCGCATGCTTTAAATTGTATTTGTGCTGGCCTCAGGCATCTGCAGAAGACGGAGTCGAAGAAGAAGAAACTGGAAACAGAGCTCAACTCGGTCGATCAGAGAGTGGCCGAACTCAAGGAAAAGTGAGTGAACGATTAAGGGTGTCGTGTCATGTTGTGTTGTGCTGTCATGATGTTGTGTCATATCTATTTTCATGTTTTGTTATGTTTTTTTATGAAGTGCTGTGTTATATCTTTTCATGGTGGAGTGTTACAATATCACGGTGCCATGTTCTCAATGTAAGGGGTGTAGTGAGTGATTGCAAATGTATTCTTACACTTAAAAGATATGTGTAGAAATGTACTTTTCCAATTGAAGTAACTTCATAGTTATTCCACCATATTATTGACAGATGCATACCATTACAGATGCTAGATATTCATATCATTGTTGGTTCCCTATATTCAAACCACTGTAGATTCATACCCCTTTACAATATACTGATTGATACCACTCCATATTCCATAAATACCCCTTTAAAATATACTGATTGATATCACTCCATATTCCATAAATGTATACCCCTTTAGATTCAACCCACTATATAGTGTATATGCACCTCAAAAACTGTTTGTGAATTAGGTCGATGTTGTTGTGACCTGTTCCATTGTCATGTCGGTTGTATTGTCATGTGGCTGTGTACAGCAGATCGATATTATTGTATTGTTGTGGTGTGTTGCATTGTCATGTCACCATATCTTATAGTTCAATGTTACAGTATTCCCTCGTTATTTGCAAGGGATATGTACCAGAGATGCTCATGAATAGAACATTTAGTGTATAATGATATTGGCCTACGAAAACCTATTATCTGAATTACCTTAAATAAATACATAAATAAGCTATTAAATTCATGAAAATTATCATACCACAAGTAAAGTGTTTAAAATGAACATGAATTTAATTTAAAATATATAAACGTATGAAATAGTTTACAAATTGTATTACCTTAAATTATGGTGCTGTGTCACTCTATCTCATCAATTTTTCTCTCACGATGCAGTTGTGTAGAGTTCCAGTTGCGATGCGCGGATAGCCAAAATCGCGGAGAACAGGTTCTTGAATAATGAAGGAATATTATTCTGTGTTGTTGTGATACATTGCATTGCTCTGTCACTGTATCCTGTAGATTTATGTTACTGTGCTGGGATGTGTTGCATTGTCATGTCACCGTGTCATGCACGTCTATGTTGTTGTGTTGTTTAAATGTGTTGCGTTGTCATGTTGCCGTGGCATGCAGGTCTATGTTGTTGTGTTGTTGAAATGTGTTGCGTTGTCATGTTGCCGTGTCATGCAGGTCTATGGTGTTGTGTTGTTGAAATGTGTTGCGTTGTCATGTTGCCGTGTCGCACAGATTTGGGTCGCGCACCTCCGAGGCAGCTGTGCTGGAACATGAGCTCCTGCGCGCGCAGGAGACGATCGCCGCCGCTGAGAGCCTCGTGGGACAGCTCGAGGGGGAGTTCATGCGCTGGACCAATCAGGTCAGCATGGTCACATGAGGTCAATTGGGGTCGGTGGCAGCCCCAACAGTCTGGACCGATATCCCTCTGCATATTCGCAGCATCACCTCAATCGCCTCCTTCAAGAGAGACTTAAAAACTCACCTCTACAATCGTGCTTTCGAGCGACTCTGAGCTTGGCTCCGCGCCTCTAAGTTGCGGCCACTACGTCTGCAAATTTGCGCGCGTTACAAATTGAACTATTATTATTATCATGTGGAGTTGCAAGGGGCCACATACAATGGAATGTTTCTCATCAGAGTTGTATGCTCGTGGTACTGTTGATGTTACTGATATTGTTGAAGTTGCTAATTGTGGCAATGTTGATGGTATTGATGGAGTTTCTGATGTTAATTCTGTTTGTATTGTTGATGGTATGGAGTGTGTTGATGATGTTAATATTGTCGATGGTCTAAGGTTGTTGAAGTTGTTGGTGTTGTTTATGGTAATGTTGACATGTTTTTGATGGTGTTGGTAATGTATTTTATTCATTGCATTGCTATTGTTGGTGATGTTGATAGTGTTGAAATCAGGGATGATAGTGCTGGTATTGTTGATGATTGTGTTGGTACTGTTCATGTTTTTGATTATGGTGTTAATGTTCATTGTATCCTCTTCATTATGGTGTTAGTAATGACAATGATGGTGGTGTTGGTAGTGATATTGTTGGTCATAGTGTTGATGGTGATTTTGGCCTTGTTGATCATAGTGTTGTTGGTGTTCGTGTTGTTGATGGTGCTGATGTCTGCCGCCGACTTCACATTGGACGTTTAAGATCCCCTGATGTCATTCCAAAGGAGTAGGCCATTGTGTACCAGCATCATGGTCCAAATTACTTCCAAATTACTCAATTGAAATTGCTCATGAAAATCATTAACCCCTGCTGGCAGACAAATTCCCGATTGAGTCACCTTGTGCCAAGGAGGACAGCTGCCACTTGAGATGCAATTTGAAATGTCTGATATGAGATATGATGTAAGTAGCTTATTGTGTTTAAAATACTCCCAAGAAATTTCGATTTAAAGCTTTCGTGACTGCAGGGATTCATCTTCTTGGTTCTTTCGGTAAAGTCACGTAGAAGGGAAGTAATAAAATAATAATAAAAATAAAACATAATAAAATAATTCTCACGACGTTCCGGCCGCAACGCAAGCAGACGTCCTCATTCTTCACCTGAGGACGGCTGCTTGCGTTGTGGCCGAAACGTCGTGAGAATTATTATATTATGTTTTATTTTTATTATTTTATTACTTCCCTTCTACGTGACTTTACCGAAAGAACCAAAAAGATACTCCCAAGATACCCTGGCTTAACGGGCACTGTATCAAAACAAATAATCGTTTTTATCATTGATGTTGGCATTCAGGTGTCTGAGATCTCATCCGAGTTGGACTCTCTGCCAACACGCTCTCTGCTCGCAGCTGCCTTCATCACTTACCTCTCGTCTGCGCCCGAAGATCAGCGGCGCGCGAGCATGAGTAGCTGGGCTGCCCGCCTCGGCCTGCAGGGTGAGCGCACAGTGCTGCTGATGACTTCTAATGTGTGCAAAGACTCCCAATGACTCACGGCACTCCTGACGACTTACAGCACTGCTGATGACTCCCAACACTCCAGAAGACTTAAATGTGCACAATAATGTCCTTCACTCCTGAGATTCTCTACACATGCTATAACTCCTGTCACTGCTGGTGACTCAAAACACAGCACATGACTCACAATACACTGCCTTAATTGAGACTCCCAACACAACACTTACAATGTAGCTTCAAAAATCAGTTATAAACGATAGCCTGTCTATTCACCACAGCATTCGTATCTAGGACCTAGTTCCCATGCTGTGTGATGCAGCTCTTGCTGTTGCATGCGGTTCACCTGCCAAATTATGTGTATGTGTGCCCAGACTTCAACCTCCTCCGTTTCCTGAGCACGGAGAGCCAGCAGCTGCAGTGGAAGAGCGAGGGGCTCCCCACCGATGAACTCTGCATGGAGAACGCACTTGTCACGCTGCAGGTGAGAACATGTGCCTCGTTGAGAACCCAGTGATTACATCACACACATGGCTCACATGTGGAAGGAACACCGCATTCTGGGAACACAATGGATCACTCTATGAGCATATATACACCACAGCTTGGATTACCACGAGTGGCTATATACAGTGCGAAAGAAGTTCAACAAACATACAACAACCGGAATCACCACGAAGTGGCGGTGACGTCACCTTGGTGCTTGTCTCAGGCTATATGGCCTTAAAGGCGACATGACGTATCGAACGCCCGCTGGCAGGAGGTCATGGGACAAACCTAGGTGCCATGGAATGACTGGCTGAGATGACTGACAGACACACCATCTGTGCCCTCTACTGTGCCAACTTGCTGCGTTTTAGCTGCCTCGTGCTCCGCTCATTGTTGTGAGTGTCACTCCTCTGCCCTCTGTTGTTGCTGGAGGGAAACTGCCTCTTATTGCCCAGTTGCGTCCTTCACGAGCTTCCTCCACAAAGGATAATTTTGACACTGCTGGTACAGTCATTGGCTAGTCCACTCAGTTCCATATCCTCTCGTACCACATCATTCCATCTCTTCTCTAGCCCGTGCGGTGCCTGTTTAGCCCCCTCTATCCGGCTGAACGAAAGCTGTTTGGGTATACAGTGGCTGAGCATTCGGACTATATAACCCAGCCAGACCATGACCACACACATATGCCACATCGTTAACACCGTTAACACACATGCCACTCCATGAACATACACACCACACTGTGATCACACACACGCTACCACACTGAATACACACACCACACTATGAACATCGGCATTACGCCTTGACCATACATACACTTAATACCGTGTACACACTGTCAACACATATATTATGAACGTGTATGACACCAAGAACACAGTGCACATTGTGAATGTACTGATTATGCCATAAATGCAACCATCACACCATGTGCGTGTACACATACGTATATGTATGTGCGTGTTTGTGCTTTGGTGTGTCTGATTGCGTGTGCAGAGTGGCATTTGCCCATTCCTGATCGATCCATCATCTCGGGCTATCGAGTGGCTAAAAACTCATCTGAAGGACACACGCCTGGAGGTCATAAACCAGCAGGTAGATGACCCCACTGTCTTCACAATGCTGACTCGAACCTCTAGGTCTGTCTTTCTGTACAGTAAGTGGTGCATTGGAGGTTGAGATTGTCCCTTCTATCTTATATTTGCACATTAATCCCATTGGCTATGACCATTACACATTGGAAAAGTAATTTTTCCCTTTCAAACGTAACCCTCTAAAACCAAATTTGTACCCCTGTTTCTCAAGGTGGTTGGTTGTGCTTACAGCTGTCTCCACTTGATAAAACATTCACGAATCAAACAGTGACTTTCATTCAAATAAACTCGAGGCCTAGTGGTGTCTGCCACCAAAAGGTGAGGATTAGCCAAGTGTGTCCTGTTGCCGATGACCCAATGACCCCTCCCCCCATAACCTGTGACCTCTAACACTTTCTTCACTTCTTCACCGTCCTTCTCTCACGATGCAGGACGTGAACTTCATGACATCGCTTGAGCTCGCCGTTCGTTTTGGCAAAACCCTAATCATCCAAGAAGTGGAGAACATTGAGCCGGTGCTCTACCCACTGCTGAGGGGAGACCTCATCGCACAGGGTATTGAATCCATGAACGATTGCCTGTTAGCATTAGTGTGTTTGTGTGTGACGGTGTGTGTTAGCATGTGCAGTGTTTAGCACACTATGCTAGAATTCCTGGGCATTAGTAACATCCATGACAATCCATATCTAAACCTGACTTAGACCTCGGTTAGATCAACTCACCCTTAATTGAGTACCTGGTGTAATGTGAACACATCAGCACTGGGGAAACAAAAGAGATGATGTCATACTGACCACACCATCCCCTTTGTCTGTGTGCGAGCCTTAATAGGTACTTGCTGATAGTACTGGTCCCAACAATCTGAACGTCGTGGACGTTTTTAGTTGTTAGTTTCTTTGTTGTGAGTGTTTGTCACAGGGTGAGACTTGTCTTCGTGAATGTGTCACAGCATGGGTTTGATTTTAAGCCTGTGTGTGAGAGTGATTATCACAGGGTGAGTGTATATGTGTCTGATTGAGTGAGGGTCACACAGTTTGCGTCAGCATATGAATGTGTGAATGTCACATCAAGCGTGAGAGCATTAGAGAGAATGTGTGTGTTTTAAATGCGTCAAATATCCTCGATTTTAATTATGTCGCTCAGTGAGAATCACAGGGTCACACGGTCAACTGAATGGTGAATGTGTCTATCTTCCATAACAGAGGTTTTTTTGGGTTAGATCGCATAAATTATTTACGCCATCTAACCCAAAAAACCACGATTATGGATGATATTGGTCGCGAAAGCCTAAGTGTTAAAGTGTCTATCTTCGTGATTGTATAATTGGGTGAGTGCGAGTCACTGTCACACAATGAATGTTGAAATGTCACAGTGCATGTATGAGTGTGTCACAATGTCATTATGTTTATGTAAAATCTATGTATAAGTGTGTGTCACAGGGAGTGATTATATGCATCATACTCATTTAAATCACAAGCTGAGAGTAATATACATTTAGCTGCCCAATGTATAGATATTTTACCATCAATCATCACTTGAATACAGTTCTTGATTGGGGTGACAAAAATCTGGTCATGTTCAACTAAAACAAAATTCAGTCAGTGATAATATTACATAAGATTGGGATTTTTACAGTTCCTCCAATCCTGTTTAACAATTATATTTTTAGCCAAAGTAAAACCATTCATTTGTTTCGCATAGCATTCTTATCTAAGTTATCATGGAACAACTGTGTTACGAATCTGGCTAAGGAGGCATCGAAGAATCTTGGTTTTATATTCCATGCCTATAACTTGTTTAACACTGACTAATTATTACTGCTATACAAAGCACAAAATCGGCCAAAGTTGGAATCTTGCTGTCATATTTGTGGTGGAGCACCCAGTTCCTACCTCAATGTACTTGATATAATTCAATGTAAAGCAGGCTGATTGATGATCCAGTACTAACTGATTCACTCCAATGACTCAATTACTGCTACGACCATGGTTACTATTCCCGTGAACTTCATTCAACCCATTTCGAGAACTCGGTCTTGCCTCAGCCATCCTATATTCTGGCACCACGCTGTGCAGGTGAAACACTTCTCTTTCTGCTTCTTCCCTGCCACGAGCTCGACTTGGGCATTTCCTCCCATCGTCTCATAGCATATAAGTGCGTTTTAAGAAGTAATCATTATAGTTATATGTCTGAAGAGCTTTATGAAGGGGAGGCTTGGGATTATTTTAATTGCACGCGTTTTTCTTTGCTTTTTCAAGACTAATATTGCTAGTTTGCTCTATGCTGTTAATTGAACAGCTCTGTGCCTCAGTAAATCTTTTTTTACTGGTGTGATTGAAATACGGCACCTAGAATTGTTGTTCTCTAACAGTATCTCTAAAGGGTTTATGTGTTTTACTTTTGTATACCTTATTTATTTGCATAATATTTATGAAGTAGGAATGTGGGCGTAGTACGGGACTGTAGGTATTGATGGTTTGTGAGAAGACAAATAAGAGACGGATTGCATTGTCATGCTGGGTTTTTCATAGATTACATGAAACATTGAAGACTAAATAGGTCAATTTTAGTGTGGAGACATGTGTGTTGATGCAGGAGTACGATTTATGTTTCTAGGTCCAAGAGCTCGATTTTATGAAAGTAATTATAAATTAAGATTCTGGCATATAAACACAGGTGCATATGGAAGATGTTCGGAATATTATGAAAGGATAGTCTGATTAACTTTGAATATTGGAATAGAACCTGACAGGAAAATATAATACATGTAATTGGAAATAGGAATTTTTCGATTTAAAGCTTTCGTGACTGCAGGGATTCATCTTCTTGGTTCTTTCCCTTCTACGTGACTTTACCGAAAGAACCAAGAAGATGGAAATAGGAAGTTGTGTTGGGTGGAGCATGTATACGGGATGGAGGAGGGCAGGTCACCGAGACAGGCAATGGCGTGGCACCCAGATGTTAGGAACAAAGGGAAGATAAAATTCCATATGGTGATGTTGATGGGACTGTAACAGCAATCTGGAAAACTAGCCTTTTGCCCATCCAAGGACGGGTGTATTGCAGTAAATCTGAAATTTGAAAGCGAAAAGCAGACCGTGACATGATATTAATTGCATTAATGCGTGTGCAATTTGTAAGGGCACGGTGACACAGACCTATTTCATTTTAACGTTATAATCCCTTGTTCATCATGACGTCCTTTTTTACTTGTATGTCTCAATAGCGCTACGGAGATCGCGTGACGTGAGAGTTTTGCTTTTGTAGTGAGGGTTATAAATTGACGCCGAGGGGGGAGGAGGTGCCTCACCCCCCCATGTGTAGTGACGTCACCCTATTAATGGAGGGGGGTGTCCATTTGGAGGACGTCACCTGTTCATGATTATTAATCAGGGGGGCTGTTCCATGTGGAGTGACGTCACTTGCTCATGATTATTAGTGAGGGGGGGGGAGTACTCCATATTGAGTGACGTCACCATCTCATGGGGGGGGTGTCCATTTGGACGACATCACCTGCTCATGAATATTAATGAGGGGGGATGGTCGATGTAGAGTAACGTCACGAGCGTTAAGGACATACCTGGGTGATTCCATAGGAGGTTTTTGGGTTATTATCGTAGGTATGGGTGTTTACTGTGGAATAATATGGAGTACCCAACAAAAGACCCACATGTAAAAGCATCACTCACCAGAGTCCACACACACCATCCATGAACTCATCGCCTGCTCACTTTGCAGCCCTTTGGGTTTTGGAGTTTTACAACACAATGTCTCATCACTGCCTAATCCACCAACCCCATTTTTCAGTTGTATGTGTTACGAGTGTGTGTTTCTATAACAACCAGTTAATCTTTGATTTTACATGCAATCTGAAAGCACGTTTCAGATTGAATATTTCAGAATCTTCTTTTTCTCTCAAGAGGCGTCTAATATAGTAACTGAAAAAATTACAAGCCTGGCAGTTTAGTTTTTTTCATGGCCGACCTTGCACTGCACAGATGTCCATTAATGAGACAAGCTTTTGGAAATATATTAAAAGCTTGTGAGGTCAAGTGTGTGTCTGGGTGATACTAGCAAAGAGTACATCTCTCCTTAGATTTGAAAACGGTTTTTAAAAGAAAAACATCCACCGTGCATAAATGTATGGCCCTTAAGGGATTGTGCAAATTGGCCAAGCCTTGAAGCCAAACCAAGGCACCCTAATGAGACAAAGTTCTTTCTCGGATGGGACAAGGGTTTTGTGTCAGATGAGATAAGGGTTCTGTATAGTATCAGATGGCATTCCTGTATTGGATGAGATGAGGGTTATGTGTAGGATATGGTTTTATATATAGGATTAGACAATTTATGTATGTATGTTGGACGTAGCCAACCGTGCATATCGGAGGTTCGGGAGGTACTGTGTAAGATGGAACAAGGGTTATTTACTTCATAGATAAAGGATACTGTACATATTAGATGAAGCACTCTGGCTGGTACCTTTATATTATATGTGAAGAGTATATTTAACAGCAGAAAAAATCCGAGTTATTGTTTTCATTTACTTAAACTGACATCCAACATTAATTACAGTGCCTTTAATGTAAGGGTTGTACAGTGTCATTTTCATTTTCCACTCCATGGAAGAAAAAAAACGAAGGTTTTTATGCAATTTTATTTTGTGAAGTCATTGGTGAGCTGGCTGAAACCATCAAACTCAACAACCTGGTTAAATCACAAGTGGGAGCTCGGTCTTAAACTACAGATTCTCACTTGCACTGACTGGCTCATTGTACTGACTTGGTCATAATAAACCCACTGAAAGAGAATAGGAGAGACACTCACCCCTAGGGCTTGAACCTAGGATCTAAGCTGTGCTGACACATTGCTCTGACATGGTCATTATGAACCCCCTGATAGAGAAAGGGTTAGACACCCAGCTCCAGCGCTTGAACTCAGCATCTCAGCGGTGTTGGCTCAGTGCTTTGACATGGATATTATGAGTATTGTGAGACAGAGAAGAGACACCCAGCCCCAGAGCCCCAACCAAGGATCTAAGCATTTGTGGCTTAGCGCTTTGACATAGCCATTATAAGCCTCTTGAGAGAGAAAGAGGAATCTGTCTCCAGGGTTTATACATGAGGCCTCAGGGGTGCTGGCTCCATGTTCAGAGACAGCCATTATGAGCTCCCCAAGCCATGAGGATGCCTCGTAAATTTCCATATATCCCTGGATAATGAATGCCGTGTGGCTCACAGTCTTTGCTTGTTCGTGGGAAGCAGGGAACCTTAATTAAGAGCTGTCGCACAATTATATTCAAGGGCCATTTACGATGCACATGATGATGCGTAGAGTCAACATTATTTTCCTAGCATCGACGGTAATTTTACAACCACATCAGCAGTTGCTAGGAAAAAAAAGTTCACACACTTTTCACAAAATTTGTGCTATAATTAAAGTAAAAAAAAGACAGCATGTATTCTTGTTTAGGCGAGTATCAGGCAGTGCTTATTTATGTCATGCGGAAAAGCGAACATTCCATTTGGGGACCTTTTCCTCATCTAGGAAGACCATAG